ATGACTTATTGTCACCATAGGTTAGTGGTGTCATAGTTACTATTGGGTTTGAAGAATTAGACACAGGGGCTGTAGGCTGATTACTCCAGGAAGCTGTCATAAGCTGTTGGAGCTGCTGAGTCAGCTCTAGGAACCTGTGCTTGAAGAATAGAAATGGGATCAGGGAATTCTTCTGCTTGTTCCATAATGGTGGATATGGAATAAGGCAGGTGTTGGGTGTGTGTGGTAAGAGTAAAGGCAGGTAAGAGTAGAGGTGGAGTGGTGAAGCAGAGGTTGTCCCTTGGAGACTTGGTCTTCTGTTAGGGCAACACAGGCTGACTAAGTCTGCTCACCTAAGAGTGCCAAGAGTCTAAGCAGGCAACAAGGAAGTGGAGTAGACCTGATGACTAAGACCTATCTACAGTATAGGTATCTGTGGATGATCCTAAGAGACCAAGTCTGAAGAGACAGTCCCAGGCAGAGTAGGCCTTATATTTATACCTCTGTGGTGGAACCTGCTAGAACATCTTGCTTACTCAGCCTAGTCAGGTGATCAGGTCATATGACCAAGGATGAGGTCATATGAGGTCATGCACAGCCATGCACAGCAGGTCACCTGACCATCCAATCCTTCCAGCAGGTTCCAGCACATGCCAAGGTATACCAGCTACTTCCATGTCATAAAGGCTTAGTCATGTCTCTTGACCAAGCAATGAGCTGGTGCCCTGACAGACATCTACATCAAGGATGGGCTGGGGAAGGTGCTGTGTGCCTTTGCCAAGGTGGATGTAGGAGGGGAGGGAGGAGTTGAAGAGGAGTGGGTTCTCTGCCCAGATCTCGACTCTGAGGCGCCTGGACGGTGGGCTCTGGTCCATCATCCAGTGCACAAGAGTCTGGTGGTCCTGGAGAGGGATGGAGTGGAGGGATGGATGAGCAGCAGCTCTGTGTGCATGGCATGCTCTAGTAAGTCCTTTTCACCTGACACTTCATATTAACTAATACTTTATTCACAGGCACATCTAAAGGCAAGCCAAGCATATCCAGGCTGGCTGCATCAAGTAGCCCTGCAAGGGCCCAATGGGCTTTGCTGTGTCAGGTCAGAAGCGGTGCCACTCTCCTGCTGGGCCGAAGAACTCGAGCCCGATCAAGGGCAAGGGGAAGGGGAAAGGGAAGGGGAAGGGGAAGTGGAAGGACAAGGGAAAGGCCTTGTTTACCAGTAAGTCCTACTCATAAAGGGTCAAGTCATTAAGGCAGCTGCCTAACTCCTGTGTCAGGTACATTTTTTGTGGAGAGGGAGGATGGTGAGTCCATGCTTACCAACTGGGAAATATCAGGCATACTAACTCTTTGCTTAGGAGTATTGGAAATTTGAGACTCTGATGAAGAAGATGAGCTCAATGGCAGGTTCAAGTCAGAGGAAAGGGAGGAGTCCTTGTTGCTGCCTCCCAAGAGGCAAAGGGTGGAGTGGCTGCACACATGCACTGTGGAAGGGATTGGATCTTCCCAGGGAACAAGTAAGTACCCACCTGACACAATGAATGAAGAAGCTAAGTGTGAGCTTAGGCATCAACAATGGGGAAATCTTTGGGCCAGGGGAGGAGGAGGTCATGGAGCAGGACCTCTCCTATGAGATTGAGGAGAGGATGGAGCTGCACCAGGTGTATATGCAAGTGCTGGAGACTGTGGAGGAGCTGGAAGAGGAGCAGCAGGAGCTGGAAGAGGAGCTTTGGGTAGAGGAGGGAGAGGAGCAGGCAGAGGAGCAGGAGGGCCAGATGTTCCAGATGGGTAAGTGTCAAGTGTGTATTTGGTCTGGATTGACTACTAATCATGTTATCTTCACTTGACACAGATACTATTGCCTCTCTGCCACTGGTACAGGCTCCATTTTCAAATGAGGCAGCCACTATGAAGATGCTTGAGCTCTCAAGAGTGAGCGGAGAAGCAGAGAGCTTCAATCCCACCTTTGGTGCAGGTAAGTTGTGAGGGAACCAATGAGGTATCGACCTGACACAGCTGCATAGATGGACAATCAATGCTCAAAGAGCATTGGGAGAAGATGGAGAGCTGGGAAGGGGGGGACATGGGTAGCCCCATACTTGGAGGTACATCTAATGTCAAGTGTCAACTGTCAAGTGAGACAGTCTAATCCCTTTTACAGACTCCAATTCCTCTCATGATGGGCTGGCTGAATTGAGGGAGGAACCCCTCAATCCTGTTGGTAACTCTTGCATATACATTGCCCTAGATGCGCACCTGACACAAGGACAGATTTCTACTTCTCTGAGCCACACAACCCTTGCTCAAGCCATCTCACCTTGCCCTTGAGCAAGGTGTCAATACAGATGCGTGTCAATGTAGAGAAGTGGCAGAACACTTGGTTACTCTTGGCCTTCAGCAATTGGCTTGCCTGTGGGCACCTGGCTACTACATCAGGTGCCTTTGGCTGCAAAGTCATCAAGGCTGCCATGTCTAGGGAAGTGCACATCACTTCCTTCCCTACCTTCAGCATCATGGCCTTCATCAAGAGCCCAGGTGTCTACCTGACTGAGTTCCTGGCGCTTCAAGACTTCCTTGCATCACCTGACGAAGGGGTGACAGTCTGCATGGTCAAATCTGCTGTGGTTGGGGATGAAGTCCCCAAAGCCAAAGTCCTCCAGAGCTGGATTCACTATGGTGCCCAGGGATTCAATCCCCATTTGAAGGTGCTATCCCATGGTGTCTTTGACATCCCAGCATCCCCTCAAGGCATGGGGAAAATCAATTTTGGGGTACCTAATGCAGTGCATCAGGTATGTGTGGACATTCATCTGCTGACAAGAGATATCTATGTCTCTACATCATTCATGGGGAAGGGAAGCCTTACACTTCCCCATATTGACTTGATCTTCTGTCATGTGACAGAAATTGCAGTGAGGCACAAGCTCAATGGTGCCCCCAATAAGCTGTGGTTCCTTGCCCCCCTGACCTTGAAGAATTTGGCCCTCTTGTCAAGAACAGTTCAAGGCACTGCAGGGCATGACTTTGGAGCTCAGCTCATTGCTGAGCTTGAAGATCTTTACTGGGTCTGCCAGACTGATGACATTGGCTTCATCCTCCCTGCCGGCTGGATCCATTGTGTTGAGTCCTTTGCCATCTTGCTCCATACTGGCTTCAAGTTTGTCTGTGACCTTCACCAAGAAGAGGCTCACAAGTATATTTGATGGCTCATTCAGCAACTGGCAAACATTGGAACAGAGAAGACTGGGCAGGAGATGATCAAGGTGCTGGAGGAGGACCTGGCACACTGGGCGCATGTTAGGTCAGCGCAGGCATGGGTGAGAGAGGCCCAAAAGGAGCTGGACACTGCTAAAGGCAAGAAATTTTCTTATAATTAGCTCATTAATCTTGGAACTTGATGTTCAGATACCCATTGGCTAATTTTTTGTATATACTGTACATTAATTGATCTCAATAATTCACCTGACACAAGACCCTTTCACCTGACACACATGGAGACAGCTTCCTGCAGTGATTCCCCAGAGCACCATGACCTGTCAAGGGGTATACTGGTCATTTGGGGGCATAATGGAATGCAATGATCATTTAATTTCATAATGGTACCTAGTAGTAACTCATGCTAATCTATATCTATACTGGTTCAGTGTTAGCATGATGGGCCCACACTTATGAGCAATGGCCATGCCTGACATGGCCTGGTCAGGGTCCTCATGCCTGGATGCAGGCCAGCAGGCTGCAGACCTTTTCACCAGGCCACATCATGGGTCTGCACAACTGTAGATGTACCACTTACTCACCAGCACATGATAAGCTGTTCCATGAAGTGATCAGCCTGGTTGGGTATAAAGGGATGGCAGTCAAAAACCACTTTGCCTGAAGCTGGTCCTCACACATTCCTCAAACTGCACTCTTCATTTCTTAGCAGACACTGCACTACCTCTTCATCCTTCTCACACCATATCAACAACACAATGATCTTCCCTAACCTTGCTATTCTGTTGTCGGTCTCTTCTGCTATGTTGCTTGTTGCATCATCCTGCACCTACTCCTTATGTGGACAATTCCTCAGCATTGTCTCTGCGGCACATCCTGACCACCAACCTGGCTGAAGAGCTATATATGTGGTCCCTCTATGGTGTGGAAGAATCTGAGCCTGTGCTTGCCACTAGGGATGTGTGTGACTGTGCTCTTTGGACCAGAAAAGGATCACTCAAAACCCCAGATAGTATGAGGCAGGTGAGAACATTTGGCAAAAATCCACTAAACAGGCTGGACAAGTTGGCTGTGTGGTTACTTTGGTCAGTGAAATTCCACTATATGCTTCTAACTGTGACTCATTCTTTTTTGAAGGACCATACTGCAGTTATGTTTGGGGATGGGGAACCTGTCATTGACAACACTGATTTGACAACAAAGCCAATTTAGAGTAGAGTTAGATCTTCCTGTAATGAATCCGAATCCTGGGCAGCAAGCAGCCATTTGGCTGCTTTGGCCAGCAGCTGTGCACAGATGCATACTGTTGCCTCCATTAGTCTCCATCAAAGAAGAAAATTCTGTTTAATTCTGTTTTGCTCCAGTTTGCCTCCTTTTGCACCCATGCCCAGTGATCCAACCCAAGAGGTGTCCAATATATCAGTCCAATGGGTAGTGCAAGAACTTGCTAGGGAAAGAGGGGAGAGATGGGGAAAGTCAGTAGAAAATGTGGGAGTCAGCCTGTAGCTGAGCTGTCAGAAATCAGTCGGTAAATCAGAGCTCAGTGTCTGTCCAGTCAAGTCATGCCAAGTCAAATCAAGTACACTAAGTCAAGTCAAATCTGCCAATATACAAATAATCAGGTCTGTAGAACTCTGTCAGAAAAGGGGCAGAATATGCTAAGTACAGGAGTTTCTGGGAACTACTTATACTAGCTACTATAAACTGTACTCTATACTAATCCTGTCTCCAGATACCTCACCAAGGCAGGTGTTGGCATGCCGAATATCTGTGTAGGTCAATCCCATTGCGGAGGAAACCTGTAGTTGTCATGCTGAATATCTGGGTGGTCCTGTCACCTGGGAGCCCTCATAGTCATCATGCCAAATATTGGGGGGGTCAAGACTTGTTGCTGGGGTTTGTTGTCTGCATAGTGAGGGTCCGTAGTGCTGCATAATGGTCTCCAAGGGCCCAAAATAACCATGGGAATACCAGCCTGACACACCCCATTGGAGGTGGGGTTGTTCACTGGTTTATCTGTTTCTGTGTACCCAGTTCATCTGGTTTGGACTTTAGCAGTTTAAAAAAAACAGAACTGGGTCTTCCAGTTTTCTGGTTTTGCAAAAATTGTGTTTTTTTTTAAATTTGAGCTTAAAATGCACTATAGCTTACTCCTATTGTCAATACTCAGGATGGGACAGGTGCAGAATGAAGAAAACCATACTGAAAACAGATAAACCAAACAAACCAAAGCAAGGAAGTGCAGAAAACTGGGAAAAAACTGTGTGGGAACTGGGCAAACCAGAGGCAAAGTTGTGCACAGATGCCAAAGGCTTTCAACAGAAGCAAATGGAAGCAAATTATTTCTGCAGAGGCTCCGCAGAGGATCCTAATGGAAGCTAAACATTTTATTTCCATGCACAGTCACTGGCCAAAGCAGCCAAATGGCCGTGCACTGCCCAGGATTCATACTTTCTGGATGTCCTGAACACAGCTTGGCTAAGACCATTCAGGCACTCAAAATATAGAACTATATAATCAACTAACCTGCTGTGCTCCCATGCATCTCTACTCACCTATTTGGTGACCCCTGTGCTGGCCTGTATCATCATGTGCTCAGCTGACTGGAGATAGGAGGTAATTCCTCTGATGACCCCTTGGGTGCAAATCCCTGAAATGACCCCAAGGCCTGCCCTAAGCAACCAAAGACCTTCCAATTAAGGAAGGTGGTGGTAGCAGTTCAAGATGCACTAGGGTCTGGTCTCTTCATGTTGGTTTATAAAGCATGTTCTGACACTTAATTTGCAAGCTTTGTTTTGTTTTTTTGATTAGCTATGTTACAGTATCTAGATTAATTCTGCATGGATGCCTCATATAATAATTCACCAATTTTCACCATTGTAAACATAGGTGAGAGAACACTGCACTTTTACAGCAAGGTAATGAATTTTGCAGCAGTTCTTGAAAATACTAGATACCATACACAATGCCAACCAGCTTGTCTTTTGAAAAAGGTCTGTTCTAATAGCAAATTCACAAAAATGTGTTGTTGGATTGACCGGAGGCATGTGCTTCTATTGCCACAGTCACTGCTTTCCTTATTGGGTTACTTAGGGGCAGCATTTGGGGTCATTTAGGGAATTTGCGCCCGAGGGGTCATTGTAGGCGAGATATACCCCCGAAACGGGTCATCAGAGGAATTACCTCCTGGAGATGACTAAGTCAACCTGGGGCCTAGAACCTGTTTAAGGGCAGTTTTCGGACGAGCCGTCCTTTACTGCGCTACTCGACATCGCCAGCCGGACCAATCAACCTGGGGGGGCGCTGTATGCTTGGCTTAAAGACATCCTACATGGCCGCAAGGCCCTCTCTCCCTTGTGTAAAGCATAAGTATCAGCCCATTCGCATGTTTTCGGGGCCTTCAGTTATTGCACCATCCTCAGCAGACCCAAGAACAGCATGAAATTCCTCATTTTCCTGTCGCTATTCACGATGGCCTTGAGCGCGTCTGCTGCGATTGTTCCCGAATGTGACATCGGTTGCATCTGCGACCTCGACGGTTCCAATTGTTATAATCCCTGTAGGCCTGGGAATCTACCATGCCTAAAGCAAGCGCAAGTCCTGCTGCAGCCAGCTTAGTTCTGAACGTGCGCTTAGGAAGGATCGAGAAGCAGATCATCCTCGATCGCTCGCAACATCGGTATCATAGAAGCAGTTGGCCAGTGACAGGATGGGATTTGCTGTGTTTATGGCGCCAAGGATTCCATGTATGACAGGAGCCGTTTGCTGTAGCTTGAAATCCCTAGCCAATGTTATGTTTAAGCAGTTCTCTGACATTATCATCGCGTTGGTGAAGCACTAACAACAGGTGTGGACACCAGCTCTCAAACGTGTGCCGGCCCCTTTTTCCACGTGTCCCCGAATAAAAGTCGCGCTTCTTCTTCCAGGGTCCGTCACTTTTCTGCAGCAGACAGACAATATGAAGATATTCACATTGGCATTATTGGCACCCGCCTTTATTGGCGGAGTACTAGCGTGAGTTGCTTGTACATTTACGCCATTTGTTTGCTTAATTAACCGTGGAACAGATGGACAAAGGTCCGGACAAACCCTTGAACACGACCCTGCTCCGCGCTGACGTTTGAGCACAACACAGGAGGACTACGAGATCTTTGACCTGGTCTCTGCTCTTGAAGCTGCGGAAGGGAAAGGCACGACATTTTACTCGTGGCTTGACGTTCCTTCTACTGCGACATCCACCGAGATCGGACGTGCGTATCGAAAGAAATCTCTGGAGCTACAGTGAGCCCGTTGTCTGTGTGATGTGATAGGAAGACGTTAACTGATGTACGCTCAGTCCGGACAAGAACCCGGGTGTGAAAGGCATCCATGACCGCTTTGCCCGTCTTGGTGTTATAGCAAAGATTCTGCGAGATGGAGAGGGAAGAGAGCGCTATGACTTCTTCTACAAGAACGGCGTGCCGAAATGGCGAGGTGCGCATTTTGTCCAAACCTCAACATTCACACACTAAACGAGTCACAGGCACCGGGTACTACTACTCGCGCTATCGTCCCGGCCTGGTCAGCGTGTCCATCTTCTTGATCTTCCTCTCCTCCGCTTTGCAATACATCGTGCAAATGATGACGCACCGGCGGGAGGTGGACCATGTACGCAAGCTGGTTACCCAGGCTCGGGCGGTCGCTTGGGGCCCGAAGGGGACGCCGCTCGATGGTCCGAGGAAGGTTCGCGTGTCCTTAGGTGAGGGAGAGGGGATCAAAGCCGTCGACGTGCTCGTGCACGGAGAAGGGGTCTTCCTGGTATGTGTGTTTCGTCGACGTTATTTTGCATACTCTGAAGCATTATTAGCTGGGCAACGACGACCATGAGACGGTGCCGCTGGACGAGTCTGTACCCCTCAAGCCTGCCGTGTCGCGTACGTGGCCTGTGGTGCTCGTTCGCGCAGCTATCGAACCCATCATGTCGCGGTTCGCCTCTGCGCCAAAGGTCAAGACCGATGATGATGCAGATGAGAGTGACGCCTCGACTGTTAAAGCGAATGGGAATGGTATCAAGAAGCTTCCCACTGCTGCTGCGTCCATGGCTGGGGGGAGAAGGCGCAAGGCTGTCAAGCCTGTCAAGAGGAAGCCTAAGGAGAAGGCTGAGGAGAAGGCTGAGTGAAGTTCCCAGCCTTCAGGAGACCTAGCCGCTTCCATCCCATAGAATGTATACTTAGACCGTCAATGGAGCAGCATGTGATACCTCTGTCCAATAATTACTGGATTGATATATACTCCGGGAAGTACAATTTTGGTACCAAGAACGTAAGGTCTATATGTACGAGATTTACAAGTTCTTGATGACAGCGTTAGTGAAATCACTGGTCGTGGCGTTGCCGCCCATGTCTGAGGTCTTGGAAATACCGGCCTGTAATACGTTGAAGGTAGAGTTGGCAATGTTGTTTGCCATCTGGTCCAGCCCAAGATGACGCAGCATCATTGTCGCAGACAAGATCATGGCAGCGGGGTTGGCGCGGTTAGTGCCCATGATGTCCTTAGCAACGTGCCGGCAACCAGGCTCGAAAAGGGCATATTCACGACCAACATTGCATCCAGGGACAATCCCAGGGCCACCTACCAGGGCAGCACCAATGTTGGATATAATAGCACCGTAAAGGTTGGGCATGACCATGACGTCGAACTGTTGTGGGCGAGCAACGAGCTGCATAGACGTATTGTCGACGATCATATCGTTGTATGCCATACCGGCGTGCTTGTAGTATGTCTCGGCAACATTCCGGAAGGTATTCAGGAACAAACCATCACCCAGCTTCATGATGTTGGCCTTGTGCACGCAAGTGACTTTCTACAGCGAGAATCAACCAGACTGCTCGTAATTACCAGAGTGAAACGCTTTACCTTCCTGTTGTTCTTCAGGGCAAAGTCGAATGCAAACCTTGCAATGCGCTCAGCCTTGACACGTGTAGATACCTTCAAGCTCTCAACGACACCGGGGTAGCTCTGGTGCTCCAAACCAGAGTACTCTCCCTCCGTGTTCTCACGGATGATGGCAAAGTCGATGTCCTTGTGTCTTGTGGGCACACCCGGAACAGTCTTGAAGACGACAACGGAGGCATAGATGTCGAGCTGTTTGCGCATAGCGACGTTCCACGAGGGATGGCTTTGTTGGTCCATGGGGGTGAAAAGGATACCTGTTTGCACGCAAGTCAGTATTGCTGATTAGAAGATTTCCCATGAGACGCACCTTTCAACCCAACCTTGTTCCGCTTCAGACTCTCCATCGCCTCGACCAGCAGGCTCTCGCCCATGGCAGTCTCGCCAGAGACGTTATACTGTTCCCACTCGATGGGAGCATTGACGTGCTCAAAGATCTGCTTGACCGAGTCGGTGATTTCCGTGCCGATACCGTCACCGGGGATGAGGGTGACCTGAGTAACACCCATAAGTTGTTGAAGGCTACAGGATAGCATATATGCGCACAGTATATACACCGCCATACTTAGTAGGCAGCTGTATAACGAATAAGATACAGTACTAGCTCTCGCACGGGCATACACGTACCCGTGAAGCGACCTTTGGGAACCCAGCAGCCAGGGTAGTGGCGCTGCGCTATGGAAGTCTTTTAGATCGCGTTCTTCACGTCATCCATCACGAACTCACCTGTTGCAACGCCGTTCGGGCAGCAGATACGATAGCCTTGGACAGCATGGCCGTGGGGAGGGAAAAGCGAAGGGGAAGATGAGGAGGAAGGGATTTGGCGGGGAAGAGTGAGCGGTCTGAGACGAAGAGAAAGTCCGGGGCTGGAAGGGAAATTAGAGCGGTTGACCCGGTTGCTTCCGAGCGCCGAACTGTGACGATGAGGAAGCGACGTGTTTGATGAGTTATGCATTAGCCAGCATCTTTCACCATGGTCCACCCCATCGCCAGGAGATGGCTGCCCATCGTTTCAACAGGCGTCGCAATGGCTGCACTTGGATTCCAAACAGGCGTATTGTAAGGACGTTCAAGCCAAGCAGTACCATTTCTTACGCAGCTCACTAACGTGTTACTAATCTACAGGTACCCCTGGCATCACGAACTGTACGACCTCATCATCCAGACGGATAACAAGAATGCAGCAAAGACCCAGCAGCTCGTAGATTCGCTAAACAAGGCGGAAGAGCGACTGGATCGCATCACACGACTCTTAGAAGCCCAACAAGGTACTGCTCTCTCGTCGCACTTTCGATTCCTTGACCAGGCTAACCAGCCCCTGACAGCCAGCAGGGGTGGACCGTCTCTCAGAGGGAAAGGCGCCGTCTGATTGGTTCCTTCGCCGTGATTTTCATTAGACCCGGAGCATGCTTCGGAGCACGTCGGCCGTGTCCCTGATGCTGGCTGGCTGCTTTCTTTTTCACGTTTCATTCTTCAGACGTTGACTAATAATTAAATTAATCAATTTGTCTAAAGGCTGTTCATATTTGGAAACCAACAAAAACGATAAATACGATACACAGATGGAAACTTCAGCGATACACGTTTGACGAAAGGAATGTTCTCGAGAGCACCGATGCTCTGCTCAGCTTTTCAACCCAAGGACTCGGACTCGGACTGCCACGTCAACGTCACTCCGAGGCCGGCTACTAAATCGACTGGAATATCGAGCCAGCGACGATCTGACCGATCGGAGCAAACGCATGGAACGGCACAATGTCCTCGGGAATGCAGGATCTGCCATTCACCCTGTAACCCTTGCTGCAAGAGATTACGCTGCAAGCGCCTTTGATACAGGCAACATCCTGCACACCCTCGATCGCCGTGCAATCCTGTCCGGTTGTAGGCTGGCCGGAATATCCCGTGGTACAGCCTCCGCCTACAGACTCCTCAGTATTCCAGACCAGCTGTTCCGCAAATCTGACTCACAGCTCCAAAGGTCGCTGTCTGTGTCAACACACTCCCAGCTACCCGAAGACCAAGATGACTGGATACTACACAACGAATATCCCGGGAGACACTCCCGGTCACGACGCCTGTCGTGCTATTGCATTGTGAGCAGGTTCGTCAAGAGTGTCCCACGACTAACCTTGTTGATAGAACGGCTTCTGACAGGCGAGCAATGTGGGCTAATATGGATCTGTATCTTCATTGAGTGATGCCCGACTTCTCTTGACCTGATATACGTACCAACTCCTTCAGCTCAGCGATAATGTAGGAAAACCCCATCACGGCCACAGCCTTGACAACGACCTTGTTCGTCAAAACGAACTCTATGCCATTGTCAGACGGTTCTGTGCGCGCTTGAAGGACTCGCTTACCTGGAATCTCGCTTAGACACAAGCACAGATCCAGCTGGCCAAAGGACTGGACGATCCCGCCGATCTTGCCTGTGAGCTGAGCATCGATGTGCGCACACACGTCTATAGGCTTGGCGTGCATCATCGGAGTCAAGAAGACGGCAAAGATTACGAAGAACGAGAGGATGCGCATGATGAGCGAGCGGAATCGATTATCAAGGAGAGTGAGTGGGGACTAGCAAACGAGCTTCAATGTGTTGATGACAATTCTCGAGCTCAATGTCGTGCTTATATATGCGCAGAAGGGATGGGCTTTCGGTGAGCATGAACGTATTCATGGCTCGAGAGCGCATGGCGTCGACGGCCGGCAGCACAAGACCACGCCCTCCGAATTGATTTCGGGACGCTAGTAGGTGGAGCTCATCCGACATCATTGTCCAGAATGCAGGCGTCGATTTCTGAAATAGGGTAAGAGATGAGAAAGAATCGTCACAACGTGTTTCGGTGGTCAGCACGCAACGTCAGGTTCTTTGATCATAAGCCCAAGTTCGGTATCAGATCACTGCAGCACGCCATACTCCAGCGCCGGAAGGGCAGATCGGCATGGCGACCACTTCTACGCTTCGCAGATGTTCGATGGCGGCATGTCTGGCCGATAGCCGCAGACAATGCCGACAACCAGTCTGTGGATGCACCCTCATCCGACAGAGGGGAACAACATGTTGCCGCTGTGCAGATCTTGAGAGCAGATAATATATTTCTGGCCATTCCACAAGATGTTGTTGGAAGATGCGGAGATGCCGAGCGTTTAGCTGTGCCGGGCTTGTGGTTTTGCGACGGTGCGGTGTTCCGTTGTCATGATCCAATGTACAGCCACGCTAATAAGGATCATCTTCAAATTCTGGATTGACGTCATCCCTTGAAAGTGGCAATTAGCAAGTTGGACTTGGAAAATAGCATTGCGACGAAATCATAGAACAAAAAATGTGTTCGCGAGATATTCGCGGTACAATTCCGCTTCCAATAACGAAGTCCAGCCACGATGACTGCAAGCAGTCAGATGATCGCAAGACCACTAGTACCGGCACGGGCACGCTTGATTAATCCTCGGCTAGTGGCCAAGTGCTCATGACAAATACCGAGCCCTCATTCCTGTAGTTCAAGGGAAAGAAGGATGCCACAATCGCTGGATGCCCGTGTCGACCTATTCACGTGGGTAGATCTCAACTTCTCAGGGCCACCAAGTAGCTCGCACTTCAACAACTGATACCCCGACCGGAACCTGCGATTGATATGGGATACGAGCACAGCGTCGCCTACGCCACATCCAACTCGGGGCCGCAGATGTATGAACATGCGCTTCAATTGGCCACCCACCCGCCGCCAAGCTGAGATGATCCCGCGCCATCTCTGATGCCTGCTACTCCAGCAGATAAGAGAGCCCGCAAACAATGAAAGGGTTTTGACTCTGATATCCAAAGATATGCCAGCATCAGTCTATTCAAAGGTATGAAGGGCGTTTTTCAGGCAGTCAATGAAAGTGGAAGATATTTGCACGAACTTCACCGATGGCAAGTTTTCCTGTTGCATCCGTGCAACGACGAAAGCTAACATTCGCGATAGTCAGAAAAAACATCGAATACGTGGCATCTAAAAGCAAACAGGGAGGAAATAACCTAAAACGGAGAAGGCGTCGCACGTGACGTGTTCGGTGCGCCCCTGGGGGTTGTCTTTCTGCCGATTCCGGCGCCCGAGCCTGCCCTGCCGCCCGATGACTGCCAACCAAGTGGAAATCAAGCAGTGAATTTGTAAGGCTATCGTCGGCCGCCGTCCATGTCCGCTCCGTCCAACTCGCACTCATGATCATGAGGGCATTGTCCTTTTCGTTGTCCCGGCAAGCACGAGGGCCAAGGCTTTCTCGGCGCGGAACACAGTATAAGAGGAGGTCGGGACAGCGCCTATTGTCGGAAAACAACCAAACAATCTTTGACTGTCCTGATGTTACTTCGAGGCTGTCTGAATCGCTGGATAATAACTTTATCATGTTTGTTTACAATCGTCTCTGCTACCAGCCACCCAGGCCCCTACATTCCAGAACCGAACCCGTTCGCCGACCCAGCAAATGACCCATATAATCCCTTCCGATACATACCAAACAACACTGTCACGGGTGTCTCTTTAGGATTATATCTATTGACTGGCCTTACCCTGACGTTTTATGCCTGGAGATGGGGAGCGCGATGGATGACCGTACTGATTGTTGGAACTTACAGTGAGCAAAGTTGGGAGTTGAAAGATCTCTCGTCTCAATCATAGAAGCGTTCTCCATCGGTCTAACGATGCGTTTCGCATTGGCAAATGATCCTCACAACGAGACGTTCTACATCATCGAATACCTCTTCGTAGTCTTGTCGGTACGTCCATCCATCCAACCTGTTAGTTCTAGATACGCTGACCATGCCAGCCTTGCGCGTTCATTGCCGCAGATTATGTCCTTCTATCCCAACTGGCGACGTGGCTTGGAGCAGGTGAACATCTCGTAATCTCACCAAACAGAGTCACGCTCGTCTTCGTCCTGAGTGACGTGACTACCTTTTGCGTCCAGGTACGCCATTTTCCACCCAGGCCATTTTGCTGCTGATAAACCGCTACAGGCAGCAGGAGGGGGGCTGTCGACCTCCCGTAACCTCGCTACCCTTCTGAAAGGCTCCCATGTCCGTTCAATTGCATGATCTCTCTCGCATTGCTACTAACACACGCGCAGGTCTTCGTAGGCGGTCTAGCAGCTCAACTCCTCTCCTTCTTCCTTTTCACCATGATGTACCTCCGCTTCCTCTATCGCCTGCGAAAGTACATGCCCCACCTCTGGCTCAGCACACGGTGGTACAAAGGCTGGAGACTGCTGACCAATTTCCTACTCGTGAGCTGCGTAGGGATCCTTGTCCGTCCCCTTTCCCCTCCCCAGCCTAAAGACTGACAATACGCTTCAGATCAGGTCATTTTACCGTACTATCGAGCTCTCCGAAGGCTTCACAGGCTACCTAGCGATCCACGAAGTGTACTTTTACGCACTCGACACTTACCCGCTATATATCGCCATTACCGTGTATGTCATCCTCTGGCCAGGATGGGTGTTGACGGAGGACGCGAGGATGAAATTGAGCCCCGACGGGGAGGTGAGGTCCGGGGGGGGTTGAGATGGTCGCGATTGGCAAAGATTCTGAGCAGGAGAAGACAGTCTCACGCTCAGAACACGAGAAGACACCCCCTGAACATGAGGAGACGCTGACAGGGCAAGAGACGCCGCCAAATCATGAGAATGTGCTCCCAGAGAAGAAGAAGACTCCGCCCTGTGAGGCTTAGTAGCAGATGTTGGTCTCGAGTTTGTACTGTACGAATATGTGGATAGACCGCATCTTCTAGCACGAGTAATGGAATGCAGTCTATAGTCTATGGAATACAATTGTGATATATCGGGATAACATGATGTGAATAAAGATACCCCCCCTACCAAGAGGCTCATGCAAGCCTGCCCTTACCCTCATACGGCTTCCCCAAGAGCTCATCCACCATAAGCTGGTTCACTGCGTCCGCGTTGTCCAGATACACATGATGCCCCGCATTCTGGATGATGTACATCCTCGCCTGGTCATTCCCTGCTTCCCGGAGTCGTTCGACTGAGCCTAGCCCACCGGCTGGGTCCATCCAATCATGGTCCCCGTAGACGAATGCGACTGGCACTCGGATGTCCCGTATGCGGTTCACGATCGGGTAGTAGGCGTATGCGCCCGGAGCGAGGATGTGCGAGATGCAGAACTCGCCACTGCCCCGCGCACGGGAAATATGGTACATGTAGTTGTGCATGTCGCGGATGTCGTCTGGAGAGAGATGAGGGAATCGACGCGTAGAGTACTTGCTGACCAGCAGTGGACCGTAGAAGGACGACATGCGGAGGATCGTGAATGGAGAAATGCCGGACTCCCACAGATAACGGAAGACCGTACGCAGCATGGTCCTCTGCTGGGGTCGATCGTCCTTGGGGGCCTTCGGGGTTTCGGATGTGGGATGCTTGGGGTGGCTGTTAGTCTTTCCGTCAGCTGGGTCGGCCGAGGGGTCAAGCGAGAAGTCCGATGTCGGCACACCAGCAGGGGACAGGAGCTAGCGCACCATGTCAGCGGGTCGGGAAGTAGACAGAAAGAAAGGCACATACCACAAGTCTGGATACATGTTGTGGGTACTTGAGAGTATATGCAACGGACAAGTACCCGCCAAGGGAGTGCCCAACAAGCGCCATCTTGTCGATCTTCTGTACCTTTCTCCACTCCTCAAGAGAGTCGACAAAGAAGCTCTCCGCCTCGAGTACCTTAGCCAGCACGCCCTTGCTCCGGATCTTGAATGGTACACGGGCGCTTCGGCCCATGCCTAGCCAGTCAAGTGCGTACAAACTCCCTCCACGCTTAGCAACCCATTCATTGGCGAGAAAGGGCAGGTTCTGGAAATAGAATCCTAGGCCAGCGGCGTACCCGTGCAGAAGAACGGTGGGCTCCGGCGCGTCGGCTACCGGAGTGGAGGGGAGTATGGAAAGCATGTTGATGAATGTGTGTGAAGGTGTGGGAAGGGGGACGGAGGTGATCCGGGAGATGACGCGAGGGTTGGTGGAGGGATTGGCTATCCCTGAAGGGAGGAAAGAGGGGAGTCGACTACTTCGGTGTCAGCGTTGCTCACCGCATCAAACAAGATGACGCACCGAAGAAGCCTCTCCTCGCTGTCCACACTCTCCTTCTCAAACTGGACTGTGCTCGCCCACCAGGAATGGATCGAGTCTGACCAAGTGAGCGGTACCTCCCTCGCTGGCGGCAGAGGGGGTAGGTCGATGACCTCCAGGGTCGCTGCAGCTGAAGCCATGGTTATGTGTCTAGTATGAATAGGTCTAAGTGATGATGGTGGTGAGTGAACCGCGGTGCGGTGTATGAGAAAGCGGGGGAGGGACGCCAATGTGATTGGTCTATGTTGGAGAATAGCCGATTAAGTATTGTCAAGGCGCATACATCTAGGTCGTCGTCAAGAGTTAAGCTGTGCGCTGTCTAGGAGTGGCGGGGATCGTGGGCTGCCATGGATGATGATCCACGGCCGCCCACCAAGCGTAGTACTAGTGGCCGCCGTAATCCGGCCGCTTGTAAACGCCAAGTGACGCAACCCATGTGTGCCGGCACTGCCACTCGGCCCCTGCAGGTTCACATCGTGGATTTCTCTCTGCTGCTCTGCCGAATAATTATCTTATATTGCGCAGTCTAAGCTCCTCAGCTTATTGATCATGGTCCAAACTGGCAGGTCGACATCTGCTCAGCGTTTACCTACACCCGTCGCTCATCAATTACAAAGACGTATCTAGATACAAATCTTATTTCTGCACCCACCATTCCTTTAGATTTTCTTCTCCTATGATTGTTCGTCCCATACTTGCAACAACATAGCACCGCCAATTCTTGTAGTTACCCATCAATTTGATAATCGGACAGAACCCCGCGCTTGACGCGTCCTGCCGGGAGCATACGCCAAGGGTCGGCGACAAGGAGTGACGTCCTCCTCACCCGTCACCGCCCCGGCTCCCACGCACCACCATCTGTACAAAAGCCCTGCTCGACGCACCCCGACAGCTAGCAATAAGTACGAGGTGAAGAATGTCGTCCACGGCTGTGCATACGGTGGAGAAGGTCGCGGGGGAGGCTAAGCACGAGGTTGATACTGCCGCTGACAAGGGCTTTGACACTGTTGATAGCAATGTGCGCTCCTTCATTATCTGACTTCTACTCTTACTCACTGAAGGGTGAAAGGCTCGGTACCTGGCGTATTTCTCCAGGCTGAACACTGCTATCCGCGCAGGATCGCGATACTTCGCCTACGTGCGCTTTGTGCTTCCTTACTTCTCCCCAGGCTGACATTTGCCAGACAAGCGATGTTGGTGAAGCCTTCCGCCCCGTTGTCAACCCTCGTGTGGTCACCGCAGCATATGGGATTTCATGGGCCTACGTGCTCGGGTGAGTTCGTCGTTTGTTGCCCTCCCCTAGTGCTGATTAGGTTAAGGGACGTCTCCTACGAAGTATACAAGTCGTACCGTAAAGGCCCTACTCCACTAGAGGCGCAGAGCTTCTCCGAGCCCGCCCGGCTCTCCCTCATGGCTGTCAAGCGCGGTAGCTTTCAGGCGATTGCATCCATGTACGTCTGCCAATCTGCTTGGAAACGAGGTAACTGATACAGCTGAACAGGGCATTACCGGCACTGACGATCCATACTGTTGTCCGGTGGGTAGGAGGTTGGTGTATCCCGAGTGGGAAGGCTGACAAAAGTAGGATGTGCACGTCGGCGTTTAAAGACGTCAAGAATGTGCGCCTAAAAGGTACGTCGTTTCCCCCCAAACGACTCTCAGGGCTTACACCGATCGTAGCCTGGGGACCAACCATGACGGGTCTCGCTGTCGTCCGTAAGCTGTTCCTTCCCCCCTCACCACCAGAGCACAGGCTGACCGCCCACTAGCCTTCCTTCCGATCTTCTTCGATAAGCCCGTTGAACACGTCCTGGACAGGAGCTTCGACTGGATCGAGGACCAAATCAGGAAAGAAGAAGTGGCGTCGAAGAAGGAACTATAGACGCCTAAACTGTAGCTTATTAGAAATTCTGATTCCCTTAATCTTACGAAATTATCTCAGACAGAATCACGGGGACTGAAGTTTGCGCTCGCTTGGCTATTGGGGTTGAAACGAGGTAGGTAGGGTGGGTATGGACGCCCTCGCAACAAGGTGAACCGACTTTGAGGGGCTAGACCACTTCAGGGATGAACCACTTCGAGGGATTGAACAACTCCGACAGACTTCGAGGGAGTGAACCACTTCGAGAGAATGAACCACTTCGAGGGATTGAACCAATCCGAGAGGAATATTGAACCAGTTCGAGGGATTGAGCCACCTCAAGCGATTGAAGAACGTCGAGAGATTGAACCACATCAACGTGACTGCCCTAATCTGAGGGGCCTGGACCAATTCGGTGGAAATAGCAACGCAAATCTGCATGCAGACGGAAATAGTAGTCAATCCGTTCTTCCATTCCGTGATGAGATATCCCATATTGGATCTACGCTTTATCCTCTGGCTCTTCTGCTTCTTACGGCCCGGGCGGTCAGATAGGTCTCGTGTAGCTCCGCGCGGAGCATTAATGATCAATAATCTGTATGTAGGAGAGTTACGAAAGTTGTAGAAATAGAACCAAAGTGCTATCACGTGCACAGCTTAAATCGGTCATGCGCCGTCGGCCGAAAAACTGAAAAGGGTCCGCGGCGGCGGGTGCGCCGGGACGGGAACGGCGGCGGAGGTGAGCGACCCTCACTGACTAACGCCATCGCTCCCCTTGGCTCAAAAGTTTACATCCACCTTACCCCACATCCTACTCTCCTTCATCTTATTATCTCTTCTTGCTACCAGCGACGACGTCCAGCTCATCACCTACAATGGCACCGACGGCGATCTATACTTCTAGTGCAGACTACTCGTTCGAAACACCAGCGCAGCAGGAGCCACAGGCACCGCACGGTCCAGTTCTCGCAATCGGCTCCCTCGCTACTGCCTCAGACGAGCAGTATCAGCGCCTCGTTACTGGCCTGTCTGATGGGTCCAAGACTGGTGTCGAGCGGCAGATGATCGACCGCGTGCTTGATGGTGGTGCGTCCCCTGTCTAGAATCCCTGAGACTGCACACACTCACGTCCCGAATTAGGCATGACCCTACTCGCCTCGCATTACAGCGCAATTTACATCATCATTTCCGCTTCTGACTACCTCGAGCTCACCGCCCGCATCCCCGTGCTCATTCAACAGCTTTTCATCTCCCTCAAGCCCCTCGCAACCCTGCATCTTGTTTCTGTTTCTCCTTCTGACACCGGCAGGCTGCGGGCCGACTTGCTCCTCGCAGGGTTCTCCATCCTCCCACTCACCGCTTCACCCACCATCATCGCCCAGAAACCTGCACAGGCAGCATCTGCGTCACTCAAGTCACGTGTAGCCCTCCCGCTGAAGCGCAGAGCGAACGGGACTGCCAAGGAAACGAAGGCCCGGTTGTGGGCGCTGGAGTCAAACACTTCAACAGGGACGATCGACGCCACTTCCCTGCTGACTGCGTCTGATCTTGCTACACCCGAGCCCGTGTGCGAGCCTTTCGTAGACGGCAAGCGGCGGAAGAAAGCGTGCAAGAACTGTACTTGTGGGTTGGCGGAGGTCGAGGCGGAAGAAGCACGTCAAACGGAGGAAAGCCAGCGGCTCGTCGCTGTCGATGTGAGCCAGGATGGGGGTGTAACGGAGTTCGAGGCAAGCGAGAAGGCGAGGATATTGAAGGGTCTGGCGGATATCCAGTCGGGCAAGGTCACCAGCAGCTGTGGGAGCTGCTTCCTCGGAGACGCATTTAGGTGCGCCAGCTGCCCGTACCTTGGTGAGTTGTCAACCCTGTTTCGTATGACGTCTCTCATCGTATGATGCGCAGGTCTACCCGCATTCGAGCCAGGCCAGAAGGTGGAGATCGACTTCAATTCGGACGATATCTGAAAGCACCTCATCCGCATCCATCTCAGTCCTTTTCCCTCTCAATGTAGATTTCACATCATCGGGGTCGTAAGTGCAGTAGAAGACGAGCGTCAGTGAGCAGCCGGATAGACGGCCCACGGACACCGCGATGTACCTGTAGCTGTTGTAGCTGTTGTCGTTGTTCGTTGTGTCAGAATGAAGGGCGAATGTCCGGATAGTTGTAATAAACTATTTCTATTTCGAGGAAGAACGTTTATGCATTCATCTAGCTTGTGCCGAGAGACATATAGACAGCAAGGTAACATATGATGTCTTGCCCACATTTCAACCATCCTTTTGACATAATCGAGTCGAATACAAAGTCTATGTTCAGGGTTTACATCCCCTCCAACCTCACGTCTTTATTCGCTTTAACCCATAGCTAACAAAGGAAATATTCCTGCACTCGGCGGGGAAGTTCAACACTAGCCTGACAGGCCTTACGAAATCCTCCCTGCAGGGGTTGCCACGTAAGGCTGTCAAGATATTCTCCATGTTTGGACAGTTCATTCCTTTCCGGAAACGGGCACTATTCCGGAGTACAGAGTTGCGGCGACACAGCGGAACACGGGCGGTCCGAGCCTGCAGCGGTGTTTGTCATGTAATACATAGGTGATCGTTTTGGAAGAGAGACAAAACTGGATAACTGGGCTAGGCTCGTTCATAATAAGTTCTCGTCACTCCTGTCCACGCGCGACCGTAATATGTTGGCATGCCAGCGAGAAGTCGAAGCGACTTGGTATTTTGAAGAAGCGATCCTGCGGGAGCGGGGACTGTTTGGGGAACATATACTCATTGAGAAATGATCAAGATCACACTATATGCTCGGTAAGCCCGGACCCGGGCGGAGAATCGGCGCTGTCAATCTGCGCCGAAGATAACGGCGGCGCGGCGGCCGTGAGAGAAGTGCAGGGGAGAGAGAAGCGCGTTTCGGGGCTCGGATAGATTGGATTTGATGATACAGGGGAGGACAGCTTCGATAGAAACAGGAAGTCTTGATCGCTTTTTCGAAGCGGGTCAGGAGGAAGCAGGGGCACAGGGCACAGGTGGAGTGGGATTTTGGATATCAAATTCAGTTGTGAACAGGGAACTGATTCTTCGCGGGTCAGACCCTGTCAAATCTCTGCCGGTGAGTCGGTATCAGGAGTACAGGTGCATTTCATATGCAAAGTGAGGTAAGCTGATCAGGAAAGGACGGATTTGCGGCGGTGCGAACTACTGGCCGAGATATTTAGCTTTTCAGGGCTTGTTTTCTAGTGCTCTTTAGGCTGATGATTAGTATACCAGGAGGGCCGATCACGAGAGCCGAAAGCGATGCTCAGTGTGCGGACAAGAGGTAGTCTGATAGGGCGTGCGCTGATGAGCGGTTCCAGCTGGTGTGCAGATCGATCCACGTTCTGCGATGAGCTGGGATGGTGTGGCAATGCGGCAATAAGCGGTCTTGTTGACCCTCTTCACATCTTTATCGCACTTAGCAAGAAATATGAATATTTTTTCTGGTCTGTGTGGCAGGGATAGAGAAGCTGGGGTTTGTGAGAGAAGCAAGATGGGCCATGTGGACTAGAAATGCCGGCTGCAAAGGAGGGGGGGAGAAGGGAGAGAAGGGAGAAGAGAAGCAAAGGGGGTGGCAGAGGGTCCCCTTGTCCCTTGGACTCGGAAGGGCGCACACGGCACAGACACACGACGCAAAACGAGAGCCCAATTCACTTCACAAATGCCCCCATCGCCTTTAGGCCCGCACCTTTCTCTCCTTTCTTCTTCTCCTCCTCCTCCTCGTCGTTCCCCCTTCACCCTCGTCGTCCTCGACGGTCTACTCAAGTAACAGCTAATCCAGCTCAACAGCAAAAAACAGTAACATTCATCCGGGAGGGAAGGAAGCACCCTGTTTGAAAGCTTCTGACACCCACCCTTCGCCACCCGTTGCTACCTTGTTGCCAACGCGACGCATCCACTGCCCCTCCTCGACGACCAACATTGTACATCCATACGAACACACTCCCCCCTCATACTCGACACATCTGAACACCCGGGTGTGTCGCCGTCGATTATAGCACTCGAACACGTCACGGTCATCCGCCTCGACCGCACCCTCACCGACCCACGCGTTCTGCAAAGGCCCCCAGAAATCTAGCCCTGAGCGCCGCCTATCAATATCATCCTTTGTCCGTCATATCATTCCTTCCTCTCCATCTGTTGTCCGCGACTCATCCCCCTCTCCAGCTCAACTCTCTTTCTGACCATCAACTCGACTCTTGCAGTGCAGTGCTACTGTATTTCTCAGTCCTACATCAGTGCGCGCAGGCTCGTGCTCACGTCGGAACACTCTACTTTGTTCGTCCCCTCTCGCCTCTGCTCAGTCTGCACTCGCTCATTCAGTCTCCTCTTTGTTCTCTCCTCTCCACATCATATCTGTTTGCGCTGGTCGCCCTTTTAAACACAACTACTTCCCCGAAACAACCTCGCTGTCACCGCTGAATGGCTCTCGTCCTTCCTCTTCCGAAAGCGCAGGCCGCTCTTCTGCCCTCGTTTCTACCGCGAAACCCGCCCATAAAGGCAAAGACCAACGATCGTTCTCTGACCGCCCCTCTGACTGGCGCTCTCGGCAAACCAGTGTTCACTCAGTCTATGTTCCCTGGCCCTACTCCAATCAATCCCCTCCAGCTGTCAACCACCGGGCTCCCTCTCCCCTCCCAACTCGCTCCCATTCCTTCCCCGGGCGTCATTTCCCCGGTTGACCAACACTCGCTAAAAGCCTATCCGACCCAGGCATCGCACATTCGTCAAGCCCGAACGACTGCTGCTCCCTACGCCCGTGATCCTGCTTCTCGCTCGCCTCACGACCTCCACACAGACGACTTCAAGCCCCCTATACTCCACCAACAGCACCAGCAGCAAAACATGATGATGAACGGTGGTGTCCACCTCTACCCCGCGCCGCACCAGCAGCACGCGCACATGATGACTGCTAACCCGCATCAAGCGGATTATGCCATGTATGCGCCCGCGATGCCGCAGTATGCTCACTCGCATGCAACGCAGGGTTTCTCGCTGGATCGCGTGAATGGTATGCATATGGCGCAGATGATGGGACCGGAGCAGACGCTGGAGGAGCTTGCTCAAGCGGTCAGGAATGCCACGACGACTAGCGCGTCCGATAGGGCAAAGCAGTCGTTTGTGCAGCTCTGGTGAGTCTAGCTGGAAGAACTATTTTGACCTTCTCTGACCACGCATATAGGTTGACTAGTAACTATCAAGTTTACCCGGATGGCAACGTTCCTCGCCAGGGCCTGTATATGTCTTATCGCCGGGTGTGTGAGGAATATCAGATCCCCCACATCAACACTGCCACGCTGGGAAAGGCGATTCGTTTGTGTTTCCCAAATATTAAAACTCGCCGCTTGGGTGTGCGCGGGAATAGCAAGTATCATTGTATGTATTTATCCCCAAATATACCTTGCAGAGGAGCTGACGTGCTGCAGATTGTGGCATCCGCCCTACTAATGCGTCCGAGGCGGAGTGGCTCCAGCGTTATGCGACCACGAGCCAAGGATGGGATATCAGCGCACTGCCGGGACGTCCTTCCTCTTCCGGAAGAGCGATGGGTGGGGGTGGTCAATATGGACATTCTGAAGAGGAGGAAGATGAAGAGTCCGATGAAACTGATAATGATGGGATGGGCCAAAGTCTCACCATCCGCAAAGGGCATCCTCATTTTGCGACCTACGGCGAAATGGACGATCGTACTCCCACCACGGGCGCACTGATGCATCAACAGCAGCAGAGCCGGCCTGTCACTGGCACAGGACAGTTCAGTGCCAACCCCTCGCCTTCTCCTCTGTCTGCATCCCCTCAGCCACCTCAAGGACCGTTCTCGGCAAGCACTTTGCCCCCTTCTGTACGTCAAATTAACGGCTTCCCCGATATCTCCGAAGCACTGGGACCGCAGACGGGACCGCCTACGCCTGAGTCGCTCGTTGCCCAAGAAATGTGGACACTCTTCATTGGACATCTTGACTCGCTTTTGGACGCAGTGCGGCAGCTTCGTTTCGACCAGTTCGAGTTGAACATTCGTGCCTTCTGGACCGGTCTTGGGCCGCAGCACCGTGAGGTTGTGCACGTGCCCACTGTCCAGGCGCTCATGGCACGTGCTGATGCCCTCGTGTACGACGAGATCCTCGAGTCTCTGCGCGCACAGATCTTCATGCCTCTCCCACCGACGGCGATGCAGCAGATGAAGCAGATGGCAGACAAAATGGAGAAGATCCTGCTCTCCGCGGTCGAAGGGTATCAAGCCAACTTCTACGAGTCGAAGATCGAACTCGGTGCCCGATTTGGCCATCTCGTCACCCGCTTCTTGGACATGTTCCAGGTCGCCCAAGCTCTGCGTTCGGTCCTGACCAACCAGAAGCAGATTTTGGACATGCAGACCGCGTGGCAGCAAATTGACTTCGACAGTGTGCGCAACCAGACTGCGCTTGTGTGCAACTGCAGGCACGAGGTGCTCGTGCAGATCCTCGAGACAGAATTCCCCCAGTTGCTCGCAAACCTTTACACGGCCCCCGAGCCGGTGAAGACTGTGACAGAGTGGGTCGATGATACGTACCGTAGGATCATGCAGGGCGACTTTGGTCCGATCGAATCATCTCAGGCGAGGAGTGTCTTGATTCGTTGGGGCTTTGTCACCAGCCAGGTGATGCGCGATCTTACAATCAGGAGCGACCCTGCCTTTGGTGCCTTCCAAATCCTGAAACTGTTCCTTGAGTAAGACTTCTTACCCCTAGCAAATACCGTGTGCTGATGACATGCTTCGCAGTGATTGGATCGCCCTACATGTTCTGCGTGACGTTGCATTATCTACAAACAGCGTCGCAGCGTCAATCGATCCTCAGCAGCAGTACTTGAACATGTCGCCCATGCCAGGCGACGACAACATATTCCCGAATGAGTATATGCAGCCATTCCAAGCGCCTGCGCAGCCTGCCGCCGCTCAACCGACCACGTCTAGCACGATGATGGCTGCCTTGACTGCGGATAACACGTACCCCGAGCCCTTGGATGGATCGGCACCAGGAGCTGGCTTCAGCTTCCCTCTTGGAACTCTGGATTTTTCAAACCTTGACCCCCAAGCATCAGGTGGCAACACGGTCTCAAGCAACACAGGAGTGGAGGGCCTAATGTCAGCCATGTCTTCCATGTCGTCGACTACTGCGGCTTTCCCGGAGTATTCGACACCTGGAGGCAACTCCTTCGAGGTCGAGGAGTACACACATGACTATAGTATGTCGAATGTCGCAACTGCGACACCAGGACATCCACCTGTGCCGAAGATCGAGGACACCACAGGCGGCGGGCTTACCTCGCCACACTCGCAGCAGCGCGCATGAACGCCGCTCCCCGGATCGCCCCTCCTTTTTTTTGCTCCTGTCCTGGGTTGCATCTCACGCCGCGGATAACCACAAACTACTCCATCATGTGGATCTATAATGGTACGGTACAGTCACCCATCACATCGTCATTCCCCACCCCACGTTGCAAAGAAAAACATGTAGCAGTGTATGAGTTCTTTCCTGTCTTCGGCGTTTGTAGGATTTTTCTTTTTGCCTTTCTACGTTACCCCCGGCTTCCCGACTACATAGCAGATGGTCTTTGTTCTTCGGCTCGTTATACCACACCCCTGTTAGTTTTGTTCTTTCTTACTCACTCGGGCGCAACTATTCGCCTGGTGCCACCGGTCGTTACATCATTCTCTCAAATCTTTCCGTTCGCTTGTTACGGCACGATCCAGTCCGATAGCAAATCGTAATGTAGAAAGAATGAGGGGCGGTATTCAAAATATACACTACATCAAATACAGTGCCAAATCAATCTCATTATCCATATGAATCCCATGACCAAGGAAGTGATATAGTAGTAGTATGTGATGTGGCAGCCTCCATGCCCTATGATGCCTCCTCAGCATCCTCTTCTTCCTTGACGATCTCCAGCTCTTTGTCGACAGCCTCACTGGGAACACTGACGGACAGGTGGTCGGGCACAGCAGGTGTTGCAGTAGGCTCAGCGGGCTGTTCGCCCGTTCCGTTGGGTGGTAGCGCCTCAGCAACCTCATGCTGAGCATCGCCATTGACTGTCATGCTGTCGAGCTTCTTCTGTAGCTTCTTGATCTCGGCCTCGACCTTGGCGATCTGATCCTGGGTCGCTTTTGGTTGAATGGCGACGAAGTACGCCTTTTTCTTTTGCAGGTTCTCAATAGCCTGAGGGATGTCCTCGTGTGAGGTGGGCGGAGGGATGGACAGTTCGAGTAGGGCAGTGAGGGTGCCAAAAGGAAGATTGAGCTTATCGGTTGCCTTCGGCTCGTGAGTAACGCCATTAGCATGGCCATTGGCAGCCTTAGCGCCCTTCTTGCCCTTCTTGCCACCGCCAACAAAGTAGGCATCTTCAGCATCGCCCTTCTTTTTCCGTACAACCATGCCATCGGAGGGCTCGCTGGCCACTTGACGAATCTCCAGAGCCTTGACACCAGCTATGTCGGACGGTGCGGCGTCGGCCGAAGTGACAGGAGCAGGAGCGCTGCCACCGCTCAAACGAATCGTGAAGTAGTCGATGAGCGTCTGGCAATCCTCGATCTGCGCCTGATGGGCAGGCATTTGAGCCTCCTCACGGAGACGCTCTGTGATCTCCTTGATCCGGTCTGCCTCTTCCGCAGCACGCTGTTGTCGGTATCGCTCCTCACGCCTATGCCGTTCTTCCTGCTGCTTGGTAATATACTTGGTCTTCGCTTCCTGGAACGCCCCGATAGACTCTTTCCGCTGAGACCAGAGAGCGTTGACTTTGTCCTGGAGACTGTTGCGTTCCTCGATGAGTTTAGATCGTGAAGCATATAGCTCATCCCCCTCCTTTTGGATGTCCAGCAATTCATTACGGATGGCCTCATATCGATCGGATATGGATTTGGCTTCGGGATCATCGAGCTTTTTTCTCAGCTCATCGATCTTCATGGCCTATGTCAGTGATCGTTCTTTGTGCACGTGCATGATCCAGTCACCTTTGCGCGTTCAGCACCAATCGAGTCTTCCTCGCCTTGGAATCCCTCGAAGTTCTTCCGCAGCCGGCGAAGGTTAGAGATCTCAGCAAGAGCTCGCTTTTCATCCACAACCTTCATAGTGCCAGCATCGACCTGTTTCTCGAGTTGACTGGAGCAGCATACATGAGTAAACGAGCTGGAGGCAACAGGATAGCACTTACGAAATCCGATTGTCAATCTCAGTGGTGGTCTTGAAAGGCGTTTTGGACTTGTGCAGCTTGAGGGACTCAATCTGCAAGGAAGTTCAGACAACATTCATCAAGGCATGAAGTGGATTGCGCACCTTCTTGGTGATGTTTTCCTGAGACGCCTTGATCTGAGCCAGGATCTTGCCCCGAGAATCCTTGATCTTGGCCTGTTGTTCACGCAGACCATCCTGTTCCTTGCGAAGAGCCTGACGACGCTCGGCTTGGGGACCGTCTTTTCCACCACCGGTGAGCTTCTGGCGAGCAATATTCTGTCACAGAATGAGCTGTTTGACTGATGTAGTCAACGAGGGTCCTCACCAGCTGGTCCTGAAGCTTGGTGATTTCGGCTTTGTACTTCTCCTGCTCAGCGTTATACGCAGCCTGGTCCGGACGTCCACCAGCAAGTAATTGGACACCATGGTGGTCTGTTTCTCCATCGGCGGCACCGACGGGAGCATCGGGCTTTTCGGCAATTGGGGTGGCAGGGGCAGACGAGCTTGTCCCCTTGCTCTTCCCCTCCTTCTTGGAACCGGATTTCTGCTTCGGAGCCTTAGTCGTCGCAGCGGATGCCATTTTAGATAATGCCGACGTTGATGAGAGAGAGACTAGAATTGCCCAAGAAAGAAAGGAGACGAGACGAGATGGTGGTTGTCCTCTAAGAGGATGGGAACTTGCTGGACTAAAATCCAAATGGGCGAGAAGCACACCCATTCAGCCTCCGTTCCTCTCCGGATCCTTTCCTGCCGAACCTCAACGTGGAAAGTATAACCCCGAGCCGTGGTAGTTTTCCCGCTCCGATAAACATGGGGATTGAACAAGCTTTGTTGATAATGTTGTGGAATATGTGACTAAAAACAGACAACTTCCAGCCCATCACGTTCGCTGCCGGGCGCAACTCGCAATACATAAAACCCGGAATGAGTAACAGGAACATTACTGCGACGGTATGGTACAATGACAAGACTCAAGGCGAAAGTGCTGTGCGCAGATGGTGTTCCATGTTGCATATAATGAGGAATGTACCATCATTCTCGAGTTTTTGAGGCCCGAGGGCAACGAAGAATCAGTAAACGATGTGTTCATCCTGACAAGAAAAAATAAGCCAAGTGTTGTGATCGCGATTGGGAGCCACCTACCATATCCTTCACCTCCTTCACTACCTCATCATACAGCTCCCGATAATCCTCCGTCACCTCTGCATTTTCCTTGTGTGCCACTGCCTTCTTCCGCTTCAAATCGGGGCACACCAGCACACAGCTTGTCGGCCGCTTTGTCGCACTGGCAGCACCAAGTTCAACTTTGGAAGATACGAAGATGTACGGAATATCCGCCTCTTCAGAGAGTACGGGGAGGTGGGAGATGATGTCAATGGGGGAGATGTCAGCGGCGAGAACAAGAAGCCTGGCCCATATGTTGGTTTTTGGTCACTCGACTAAAAAAGGGAGTGCATACCCCTTGTCACCCTTTCTTATGCCCTTAACAACTTCCTTCACACCACGCTTCACCTGACGAGCCTTTGATGCTACAAAAAAGGAATTAATGAGCAAAATATCAAAACAAAATGAGCAGATACTGACCCCTTTTCACTGTCTTATGCACCTTCTTCAACAGCTTCTTCACTGCAAGAGGTCGTGCAATGGGAGAAAGCTCTTCAACCGGTACGAGAACTTTGTCCTCCTTATCTTCCTTCTTAACTTTCTGATGTAGCAACATGACGCATTAGCGGATGAAACTCAGTATGCGGAATAGTGACGTGCCTTAGGTGACGACTCTGCGAATGATGCGTCTACCTCGTCCACATCAACCGTGATGGTTGTAACATCTCCCACCTCCAATACCTCCTCGTCGGTTTTTGCATGCTTTTCTTTCTTCTCCTTTTTCTCCTTCTTTTCGTTTTTCTCCTTTTTGTCTTTTCCTGTTAGATCCTTGGGCATGATGACAATAATGGCAAAGAGTACAACGCGACGATCAGTTTGGGCGAAAGACGTAACGGAACCAAAAAGTTCAAAGTGTGAATTCTGGCGACCATCAGATATTTCCTTTCTGGCCAAGGGGTCTCGAGATCTGATCCCGTTCCTCCTTATGATGCGGATGCGGATACATTACGCGTATTCTTGTCAGGGATCAACAGCCCCAGCTCGGCTTCATCTCGTTCCATGCTGATCAACATGCTACCCAGGGTGATGTACCGTTTGCTTATACTGCCATGAGCGTTTCATAGATAGAACCTGCGCTGGAACAGGAATAGGGGGACCATTCTCCCTGCGATTCTCATGCTCAACAGCAACGGGAATCGCCGTCGCTTGCAACACCGCACCGAATGACGTTCCGACGCGTTCTTTGACGACATTTGTACTTCGGAAGTAGCTGATTCTTACTCCAGCATAGAGTAGTGCTGTGCTCCGGGAATGGCGTATCTATCCACCGTTAGACATAGCGTGTGGAGAGGGTTGGGCTGATAATGGTTGCGAGGAGACCCTTGACCCCCGTATGGGCCGTGGACCTCCGGTGGACCGGTGGGTGTTACAGTAGGTCTCATGTTTCCATCTGATCACAAAGCTACTTTAAATAGACTAGACCCTCTCACATTCCCCATGATGACGTGACAAAGAGCTCCCCTTCACCCCGTGTTCACAGGAATATATAAACCCCCCTCCAACCCGGTTCGTTTATCTCTCGCCCCTCATCCTCGTCGTCCACCTTCACACCACCAAATACTACACATAGATCATCATGGGTTGGTTCGGCGATGTATGCTACATCCTCCCTTGTCTTCCTCAACATTGCTGATCCCTCGTCTGTAGGACTCTGACCAGGCCAATGCCTACAACACCACCCAGAACGATCAGCCCCACGAGGCATCCTGGAGCCACGAGCTGATCGCCGGCGCCGCTGCCTACGAAGCTGCCCGCGCCTACGAGAAGCACTGCGAAGGTACGACCGTGCTCGGTCTGCTGATTGCCGACTAAATCCGTAATAGCTAACGGTGCCCCCGCTTCCCACGACGAGGCCAAGGCCCTCCTTGCCGGATTCGGTGGTGCTTTCGTCGACCGTGAGGTTGAGACCAAGGTTCGTGGTCTTGTGCTACCGCCTCAATACTGTACTGACAGATGCATAGGGCCTCGACTGGATCGACAAGGAGAAGGCCAAGAGCCAGGCTCAACAGCAGGCTGAGGACGGCCTCGCCCAGTCCGGCCAGTTCTAGACTGCTGCGCAGCCTATCCATATACCATCTAGCTGAATGTTCTGTGTAACAACCGTAAACTCAAAGAAAGAATGTCACTGTTTGTCCTGTTGTACTGAGATAAGGGCTATGGTTGTGGGGACCATAAATACGGGACAAGCCGCAAGGAAGGCGGTACCGGCAACTGATGCCAAGCGATTGTATGTGGGCTTCTTTGGGGTTAGGTCTGGCGTCCAAATTCTACATTTGGTTGAGGAGACCCTTCCCTTCGGAGCGGCAAACGTTTCCGCAGTCGGAAACACGTGCTTCTTCACACAGCTCCACGAAGCCGTCTCTAGTGCTGTTCCTTGTCCAAGTGCCAACAGAGGATGATAAGCAGGGAATGCGTCTCTCAAGCAAACAGGATTCGCCATCAGATTCCTGTATAGCTTCATTCCGAGTCTCTCGTAAAAGCTTGTCTTGGCGTTTCACCTTCAAACTCGGGCTGGGAAGAGATGTGCACATCATGTCACGTCCTCGAGTCTCAGTTTGTGGTTACGAGTAAGGATGACGCGCTTCTATGATGTCCAACTCTGCTTCTACTTGACAGCTGGCTTAGCAGCTTGTTTCCCGATTGTCTATTGAAGCAAGGCACTGTGGTTCTCTAACGTGGATGAGGGAGCATTCGCCCAACGAACAAGCGCCGATCTTTGCGTAGGATTCTGTTCAGGCGAGGGCGTACCACATCATTGTCGTTACAAAAAAACCTGACGCGAACTGGAACGACGAGCTGCTCGCGAATGCAGCGGCATATAATACCGACGTGTATTACTCCCAGAGCTGCGAGAGTGCATCCAGAGCGCATATGCGCTCTGAGCATGGTAATGACGTAATTTCGTTAGAGGACCATACCCCTGTCTTGCAGGAGGAAGCCAAGACCGTCCTTGTCGACTCGGTCAACAAGCTTATCGATGCTCAGTTTGTTATCAACGTGAGCACCCCTACTATAATGATCTTCGATTGTGCTGAGGATGACAACACAGAATCTTGATGAAGTCAGACGTGATAAACAGACGTCCAAGAGCTTGGCTATGGAGCAGGTCATGCATTTGCCAAGGGCCAACAGAATCAAGCCCTTGTGTAATGCACATGCGTAGATTGGCCAGCCGCGTTCCAACAGTTGCGAGCTGAAACAACAGAACAATCGCCCTGTATATGTGACAGATAGAGCGGTAAGATCAATCAATGATGGCCTCGTGAACAGAATCATCAGAAGAGCCCAGCAGGGTACAGCGACCTGAACAAGATAGGCTCGTCTATAAAGGGGTAATAGACAAATATAAAATATCATCACGAGACCGCTTCTCTGCTGGTGGCCATTTGGTTGTTACGTAAGATCATAGTTTGGCTGCCAGGATACTGGGTCTGCTCGTCACATGGCATCATCTGGACCACAATCCACGTCGCAAACGGAGGGTTATCATGTAGGAACACATCGGCACATGTCACGCAAGTCGATAAATACGACCGACAAGATAGGAGCTCGAGAATCCAGTGCATAGCATTGTGGCAACGCCCGCGGCGAGAATAGGAGCAGAAGTCAGAAGGACTGGCCAGGTACTGCGGGTGGCAGCAGGGTGGTACTCCGAGGCTAGACATGAAATTCTTGTAGAGAGCGCATCTTCACTGGGATGACTATAGATGTCACCGTTCAGTATTACGGAATAGTTTTGAACAAGGTAATGATTTTGTTGACAGGTGGATGAGCGAAAGAGGAGAGGACATGGTTATCTCCGGAAGCAATGCGTTGACTTGCTGACCAGTCTATGAAGACGCACCTTACCGGACCCGACCTCAGCTCCGTACATTCCCACCGCAGACTCACCGCACCTCTCGGACTGCCCTTCGCTCTCGCCTACCTCTTCTACTTGTTTGCCCCGCCGATTCGACTGTATTCACTGATCGCATTTTCACTGTATCACCCCGCAATATGATGAGTGGAATTCAACAGCTGCCTCGCTGCCAGTGGACTGATAGCGCCCTTGGCATCTGATACAGCTCACCCAGGCGTCGGATCGAGACCGATGTCATGAAGATGTACGTCTAGCACCATACCATTATTCACATCATCTTACATTGACCGCAGGCTGATGTCCGACTACGACGTCAAGTTGGTGAACGACAGCATGCAGGAGTTCCACGTCCTGTTCCATGGCCCCGAGGAGAGTGCGTCCCTCGTGCCCCCTTGCCCTGTCTTGGGCCCTGACTAACGTCTTGGGCGTGTGTGCAGCACCATTCGCAGGCGGCGTCTGGCGCATTCATGTCGAGCTACCTGATCAGTACCCGTACAAGAGCCCAAGTATTGGCTTCTTGAACAAGATATTTCATCCGAATATCGATGAGCTGTCTGTAACTTTCCTCCGGATTTGGCGGGGTTCCTGATTCCACCGCAGGAGTGGCTCTGTCTGTCTTGATGTCATCAACCAGACCTGGTCGCCTATGTATGGTACGTCGTTCACAGACCCAGTGTGTGCTGAGTGGACTGAGACGGGTGGTGCAGATATGGTCAATATCTTCGAGACGTTCCTGCCGCAGCTTCTCCGATATCCTAATCCGGCAGACCCGCTGAATGGAGAGGCCGCAGCTCTACTATTGCGAGAGCCAAAGACATATGAGCACAAAGTCCGAGGTATGGGTGACAACTGCATGAATTCTGGTTTGCACTCATCAGTGACTAGATTACGTGAGGCGGTTTGCTACCAAGGAGATGGCAGAAGCCGCAGTTGCAGACGAAGAAGAAGAGCCTGAAGAAGAGGAAGAGGAAGAGGAGGAAGATGATGATATGGAGGACTATCGCTACGATGACGAGGCACCTGGTCATCTGGAGCTATGAGCATTCACCATTACACCCGTCGGCACTTCACCCCTTGGCATCATACCCCTCTACTCTTCTCCCGGATTGTTCGTTTCCCATGGTTCTTCTGGCACATCAGCCTCTCTTTTGTTCGTCTTCTGATTTCCTCCTTGATCCCTGCACAAACACTCGTCTGCATTCCATTGCGTGGACGTTGCATCAACATTCTTCTGCCCGCCTCTGTCGGAGGCACTGCATTATCCACCACCATCCCGTGTACTTACTCTCCCGCTGCACATATTGCAAGTAGCAATTGTACAATCACGTCGTTCCCTGTATCCGTGTCAGTCAGGCGAATGAAGATTAACTAAACGTTCGTGGGACTGACGGGCAAGTCAGCAGCTCAAAGCCCGGCGACGTCCACATCCATACCCGTCTCTTCCGGTGGCGGAGTGCCGGGCCGGCTCCGCTCCGCTGACTGTGAGAGATCTTTAGATTCAGGCGCGAGAATCATGTCAGCGTCGCTGATGATCAGGGTGGGAGCAGGTGGTGCCGACAACTCATGCATCCGTTTTTGGATCTCGGCGGAAGACTGCACATGTGTCAATGTCCGGAACGATCGCGCCTTAGGCCCAGACTTACCTTGGCCATCCCATCCAGCTGCTGTCGGAGCGCGTTGAGTGAGTTAGAGAACGCCTTGCTCTCCTGCTGTAGCTCCGCGGTCTGACGCTTAAGCTTCTCCTTGTGCGCGTGCAATCTGCAGATAAGGATACGTTCAGTGTCCGGAGAGCGCCCATGAGGTGGAACGGTGGCGGACCGTTGGCGCTCCGAAAGCTCAAAGTTGAGCCGCGCGAGCATGCGCTGGTGCTCGTCTTCCATAATATCAGGCGTGCGGATCTCCTCCGGTGCGAGATGCTCAAATTCTTCCTCGCTGTAGAGGGCGATGTCTTGGTATATGGAACTGGGACACGTGAGATGCATTCAGAAGCGAGGTATGAAGAACCTACGCAAAGTTGAGACACTTTTCAATCTCGTTCTGCAGATGCGTCTTCTCGTACATCAGATTCTGTAGTCCCAGATGAGTCATGTCCATTTCATGGCGCGCTTCTGTCGTGCGCCTTTTGCGATCGCGCGTCGCTGCATTGGCAAGTCGGTTGAGCTGCTTGACATGGGCGAATAATTGGGTGTATTCGGATGCGGAGAGCGTTTCTGATGCAGTAGAAGGGTCGGTGATCTCCTTCAGTCTTGTAAAAGCAGGATCGAGTTCAAAGTTGATACTTGACATTGAATATTGAGGATTAATTTGTACTTTCATAGTAATGTAGAGAATAAAGAATAATGAAAGGCAACCTCCACTTTGGTATTCGCCACCCGTCGGAGTGAGGAATGCCGCTGGGCCGGTCAAGTATAATTTGATTCCGCCTTCCCATCGGATTCCTCGGTGGACCGTTGAGCAGATTCCCGTCTCGTCCACCTCACCGAGAACTTACCTCTCGCCCGTCGTCGTCGTTGCCCTCTCCCTCCCTTCTTCCCTTACCACCACCATGTCGGCAAGGGCTGCTCTCGCTAGGCTTGTGCCTGCTGTTACCCGCCCTCGTGTCGCTCGATCGGCCGTTCTGTCGTTTGCTGCTCGGTCTACCCGCTGGGCTAGCACAGAGGCTCACAGCGAAGTCAGTGGGCGCATATACACATCACATTTTACTCAAATTCATTATATATGCCCTTCAGATGACTTGCCGTGACGCCCTCAACCAGGCCATGGAGGAGGAAATGCTCAGGGACCAGAAGGTGTTCATCATGGGCGAGGAAGTTGCGCGCTACAACGGTGCATACAAGGTGCGTTCCACCGTTTACGATGAAGAGAATGACCTAACGATAGATGCAGGTTACCAAGGGGCTGATGGATAAGTTTGGCGAGGACCGTGTCATGGATACCCCCATCACTGAGATGGGCTTTGCGGGTCTTGCAGTCGGTGCTGCATTGGCTGGCCTGAGACCGGTGTAAGCAGAAACATTAAACGTGGAAAAGGGATGATCGTTGACCCGTTCGCAGTTGCGAGTTCATGACCTTCAACTTTGCCATGCAGGCGATTGACCAGATCGTTAACTCGGCTGGAAAGACACATTACATGTCTGGCGGCGAGGTCCATTGCCCAGTTGTCTTCCGCGGGCCAAATGGTGCCGCGTCCGGTGTTGCTGCCCAACACTCGCAGGACTACTCTGCTTGGTACGGCTCTGTCCCTGGCCTGAAGGTGGTCAGCCCTTATAGTGCTGAAGACTGCAAGGGTCTCTTGAAGGTAGGATTTTCACAAGTCTTCATAGGCTTGCCCTGACAAATGTGGAAAGGCGGCTATCCGCGACCCTAACCCTGTCGTCTTCCTTGAGAACGAGATGCTTTATGGCCACACCTTCCCGTGGTCGCAGGCCGCCCAGGCTGATGACTTCCTCCTTCCTATTGGCAAGGCAAAGGTCGAGAAGGAAGGCTCTGACGTCACCATCGTCGCCCATTCCATCATGGTTGACCGCAGCTTGGACGCCGCAGCTGAGCTCGAGAAGGAAGGCATCTCCGCTGAGGTTATCAACCTCCGCTCCATCCGCCCGTTGGACATCGACACCATCCTCAAGTCAGTCAAGAAGACTAACCGGTACGTTTATTCTCTTTGTATCCTAATCGCACACTAAATTGAAAACAGTCTGGTCACGGTTGAGGGTGGTTTCCCAGCGTTCGGTGTCGGGTCGGAGATCTGCGCCCAGATCGTCGAGGGTGAAGGTTTTGACTACCTCGATGCCCCTGTCGAGCGTTTGACCGGTGCCGATGTCCCCACGCCTGTAAGTGTCCTTTTCCTCTTCAGTGCCAATCTGACTCACGTCTATCCCCAGTACGCTGCACCCCTTGAGGCCCTCGCCTTCCCTGATGCGCCATTGATTTCCAAGGCTGCTAAAAGGGCACTGTACCGTGCCCAGTAGACGAGTGACACAGCCATGATACCGTCATAATTTCTGGTTCAGTTGTTGTACATAGCTGAGCTCATTTATTTCTGGTGTATTCGCCGCTATACTACATGTCGTCTTCCTCTGTAAGACCAAGTCCGTTATTGCTCTTCAAGTCGCTCGAAGAGCCGACCGACTCCTGTGCCTCACCTCCTTCTCCCTCTCTTCACCGCTCTCCAACCTTCTCTTCCTCCTCTCCTTCCTCCAACCTCTTTCCAACCTCCGTTCATACACCTCCACGACAGTCAGCACGTCCTGCTCCTCCACCCTTGCCCAGCCCGCCGCGGTCTGGAGGACGAGTTCGTACTCCTCGGGCACTGTCCCATTCTTATCCAGATGGGAGTAGACTACGTGCTTGTTCCCTGGCTGCAGAGCTGCTGGGTCCCGGCTCAGCGGGGTGGCAGTAAAATCCGTGTTTGAAGGAAAGGCGGACGAAGGGCCAATATGGTCGCCATGTGCATCGGGCCGAGGGACGGAAGGAAGGGGAAAGAAACGCGGCAGCAGGTCATCCTCCGGCTTGTTAATTGAAGGCCTAGGATCAACCAACGCATGTTGAGCGAAGGAAAGGTATGCGTCTGTCTCCTCATCCGACATTTGGAGCACGCCCATCTCTGACGGAGCGGTATATAGGTCCCTGGTAGTTTTCTCCTTGGCCTGTTTGAGGGTATCCAGCCATGGTCCGAGTTCTGGCATCCCCGCCAGCCGGTCAGAGTCGTCCCTCGGAAGGCGAGGGGTTCCGTCCAGCCCATAGAGGAGCTTGAGCGCGAGCACGACCCCGCAGATGAGACCAAGCTCAGGGGGGATGTTCTCGTGTGGGTGGCGTCTTGGAGGTGGAAGTGTTGGAGGTGTCGGTGGGGAATTGGAGGGAAGGGAAACGAGTGAGGGGTGGAGCGTCAGCGGTATGTCTAGAGCTGCGAGGAGGCGTTTGCTCAGCGTGTAGAGAAGGGCTGAGAGGCGTTAGGATAGTAGGCAAGGACACAATTGAAGAGAGGACATACGGGAACCGTTGAGTGCACGGACAGCCCGCCACAGGACGGGAGCAGCATTCAGCTCCGGAATGCGGATTCCATACTTGAGCCACACGTTGCGCGCAAGACGGCTAGCAAGAGCATGCACCTTCCTCGCTTTGGGCGGGAACTGACGCGAATGTTAGTCTCCATCTAATGGGGCGCGAGCGGGCGCACCTTGGGCGACAAACCCTGGATCGTGCTTTTTGTTAGGTGCTGGGTCATCTCCGGTGGGAGATGGTGCGATGGGGCCAGATACGGCAGCGCGTACGTCTCCACCAGCCTATACGGAGCATCAGTAAGACTTGATCTTTGCCCGTGCTCGGTGAGGGAGGACGTGCCTAAGGATATCGGCGTACGTCACAGGCACGCGTAGGAGGTAGAGCGCACACATGAGCACGGAGAGGTTTCCCCGCGGTGTAGCAGCGTCACCTTCGTGCAATGCTGCTCTGCGTTTTCGGGCTTTGATCCTTTGCGCTGGTCCTTCCGGGCCTGACTGGGAGCGATGGGCCTCGTCCTCCGAGGAAGATCCAGACGCTTCTGAGAGTAGGCCAGCAAGATCGCTATTCTCCTCACTTTCCTCGCTCTCCGCTTCAGATGCAGGCTCATCTTCACTCGCCGAGTCATTCTCGGTGGAAAAAGCCTCGGAGTCAACGAGCGTCTGCGACGTCCGGGGTACCGTCTCCTCGCGCGCTGGCTGCTCCGGCCGACCGACTTGCGCGTGCTGGGATATGTCAGAGGAAGAAGTAGCGTGCGCGTGATGCACCGGTTCATCTGGTATTTTGGGCCAGAGAAGAACATGCAGCGCCCATGTGTCCCTACATATTATCTGAGTATTTTAGCCTCAATGCAACAGGAGATGATCACAGATGGAGTTACCTCGAACTCCGGGGGGAGGGACCAGATGCGGATCAGAGTGGAGACTTGGTGGCGGAAGAGGAGTTGTAGACATTGGAGGTAATGGAAGCGGGCGCGATCGCCGTGGTATACTGTAATATTCTGGTGATCAGGTCGTTTATCCAAAACGGGGTTAATTAGACACAACAAGAAATGGAATAACGAGGAAGACAAGGAAGGAAGAGGAGGCCCACTGGGAGGAGTAGACAAGGAAAGAAGAGAGACGTACATTTCGGATCGGCGTTACTCGCGTGAACCTTGGTCCGCTTAGGACGCTTCAAGCTCCGTTTATGAAGCAGATGCGGGCCCGATTCAAGCAGCTCGTTATTCTCATTCCGGTAATTCTAGAAAAGGGTTAGGAACCGACAGAGAGGGGAGAGAGAGGACGCACGGCGAGAACGTGCCCTTCTGAGCAGACGATAAGGCCTGAGAGAGGCTCACGGTGCCATCGGCGGGATTTGCATATGGGACAGGCGCGGACCATGTCGGTTTATTACTTTAGCTGTCGCTCAAGTCGTTCTGATGAATGTGGTCGATGGACGGACCGGTCGGTTCTGCCCCTGAGAGAGAAGAGGAGAATGCGCGGACTGGAATGTCCCTGTATAAGGCCTCAACAGAGTTGGGGTGTAGCAAGAACAGACCAAACAAAGTTAAACTCTGAGCGGCGGTCCCGTCAGTTTTGTCATGTCCCACCCAACACAGGCCGTGTCCGTCCAGTAGGCGCCGGTAAGATCCGCCGCGGAATCTGACTGAGTAATCTGATCCCGGTCCAGACCGAACAGAAGGTGTCTGAGTGTCATCGATGCTGACCAGCCGCCTCTTCGCCTCGAGGTAAAGAAGCGCCCATTACATAGAGGGGGAGGTTAGAAGGGAGAGAGGCAAGGCAAAGGTGTGTTACTGCGCTCTTTCCCTCTTCACACTCTTCACCATTCAACTCGCTGCAAAGACTATGTCCAGGAACGATATATTCTCTACTTCCTTTCGCATACAGCCACCACCATCGCCCTTACTCGCTTCCACTTCCCCGATCATCTCACATCACCACTCTACCTCGCTTCCGGATGACTCATTCAACAACAACTCTTCGCTGGCCCGTGCACGCACAACGGGACAGTCGTACCTACGTTCACGAGCACCGCAAGACCGACCTCTTCCACCCCTAGATCCTCAAGGGAAAGGGCTGCAGAGGAACAGGAGTGTGCATATTGCCGACAAGCCGTATGTCTACCTCCTCTCCGAGATGCAAGACACTAGTCGCGGATACGAAGACGACTATACCCCTCTTGCTGAGAGAGACGAAGGACGAATAAGCATGGACACGCTCTCTCCCTCACCGCGTACGCCACTCATCTCTCTCCCAGCTCGGCAGAGCTCAGAACCAGGGCCGTCAAGGACCTCTTCATTCTTCGACCTCCCATCGTCCCGTATCGACCCCCCATCCGCGCTCCCTTCCGGTCTGACCAGACCGCTCACCAGCTCCAGTTCGGACTTTTCAAGTGCGTACTCGACGAGGAGTAACCCGAGCTTGATGGAGGAGCTCCCTTGGGAGGTGAAGACGTCTGCAGACCGGGACGGTGCTAGCAGGGTGGGGGAACGAGATGCTGAGCTGGAAGATGTCCAACTCCGGTTGAGGGAGGAGAGAGGATATTTCCTCGGAGAAGGAAGGTTCGCAAAGGTCTGGGTAGCTGCGTTCCAGAAACCTTCACATCGCCGATCGTTCCCCAAGTTGGGGGAAGAAGACGATGACCCCGAAGCTGAACATGAGCCGACGCCTATCGGGCGGACTTATTCTGCGAATACGGGACGAAACAGCGGCAAGGGCAGCTGGCGCCTATGCGCAGCTAAGCAGCCATTGCCTGACGCTGAGAGCCAGCTACTAGGGAGGAGGGAAGCATTCTTCCTCCGACATCTGAGGCATCCAACACTCGCTAGTGTAGGTGATCAGGTCAGGTTCTCCCAAGGGCGAAAGTATGTTGTACGATTGCTTGGAATCGTGAGGCGCGACGGCGAGAGCGGGGAGCGAGAGGGCAGGACGGTGCATTCCGTCCCTCCACCACTTCCTCTCCGCCTTCCCCCACCGGACGAAGAACGTTTCACCGGTCTTTCGCTTCACGAGTCTGCGAGCTATCAGCTTCCACAAGGCCCCAACCTCTCCCTAGCGAGCGCGACCACTCCCCTCGCATCCCAGCCCTACCCCGCCGACCCCTTCCGACTCGCTCCTCCCCCAACACCACCTTTCCTCCGGCACGCCCGCTCAGTGTCCGACACCCACTCGCCTTTCCAAGTTCAAGCCCAAGCGCAGTCCTCACTCCTCTCGCCTACGCCTCATGCGCCAAAATCCCGGTCGCGTGGAACGAGCCCAATACGGAACTGGCTCGGAGCACTACCTCCTAGTCCTCCATCTCCAGCTACACTCGCTCCTCCTTCTGTGACGGTAGACGCCCGCTCACCGGCGCAAACCCAAGCTGAAATCCTTCTCCTGCTCTCTTTTCATCCCTCTGGATCGCTTGCCTCCCTCCTCCATTCCCACCCGCACAAGCTCACCCCGCAGCTCTATACCACTCTATCGTGGGAACTCGCGATGGCGCTTGCGTATGTCCATTCGTGCGGTGTGCTGCATACGGATGTCAAGCCACAGAATGTGTTGCTCTCATACACGACTCCACCTGGTCGTGATTCAGGCCTAACTTTAAACGCTGGCGCAGGGCCCGTGCAAGTGGAGTACTCTGCCCGCCTAGCAGACTTTGGCAGCGCCCTCCTCCTCCCACCGTTTACCGCCTCCTCCCCAACAGACGGACTTGGACTAGGCACCCCGGGGTACACCGCACCCGAACTCCTGCTTCCACCAGGGAGCTGCAGCTTCAGTTATTCGGCAGACGTGTTCAGCCTCGGGGTCGTCCTCGGTGTTCTGCTCTTCGGAAGGGAACCGTACGCTCGTCTCGTAGGCAGGGGAAGAGGGAGACTGGAGATGATGCGCTGGGCGAAGAAGGGCGGGTATTGGGCATATGAGGAGGGGGTAAGGCTCGCTTCTGTTGGTGAACTGGGACAGCCGCGAGGGGAGGACGAGGCTGGGGAAGAGGAGAGGGTGCCTAGGCTGGGAAGGAATGATCTCCTGGAGTTGCTCGCTAATGATGGGACTGAGCGGCAGGAAGAAGAGCTAGAGGAGCGGGAAGATGTCGTCTGGCCTTCACCACCTGAACTGAAGCTTGACCCCTCCTCTTCAGAAGATTCGCTTACACCTGGCGCCGCCAACGTTGAAGAGCGCAACATACCCGAGCTTGTGCTTTCCCGTGTACCCCATCATCTATCGGGCAATCCGATGGTCCCCCTGGGAGTGAAAGAGCCCATCCCCCTGCCTTCACCGCCTAACTCTCCACCGAAATCCGCTGCAAACGCCACCACCGCCCACGCGCATACACGTACACGAACCTCCCTACACACACCTACCACCCATTCCTCCCAGGGCGTTTTGTCTCCCCCACCACCACTTACGAGCCCTGCCACCCCCTCTGCGCCCTATGCCGACGGCAGCCCCCCGATCTTCTTCCTTGGCCCTTCAACCCTCACCGGTCAGCCAGAGCGCGCACCAGATGCCCTCGTCAGCCTCGTCAAGCGCATGTGTTCCCCTAATTCAGAAGGGAGGCCCGAGATGGACGAAGTTGTCAGCGTACTAGGCGCATTGAGGGAGGCGTACTGTCTTGTCTGATCAAGCACTTGAAGAGCTCGCCAAGAACAAGAGGGAAGCTTATCCTCGCCGATATGCGGCGAAATTTGGATACCTGGCCGTCCAAGATGCCTTACCCTAGCAAAACTCGTTCAGGCTACATCTGTTGTATAACCTTATTCTGTTTAACATCTGTTGTGGCGACATTTTGTATATGTAAATATAAAATGCAAGAGATGCAGTCGTCACGCGCATGCGGATTGAGCATGCGGAAATGGAAGTACAAAGGTTCTCCGCTTCGCCCAGGCACTGAACCAACTTACCCAAATATTCAATACCCCCAATCAACGCTCACACGATTGTTCTCAATTCTATTCTCATTTCACATGTCCTAACAAACTAAGCCAACCCTAGCTAGGTGCAATGAATGATAGTGAACATTGGATAGCGATCGACATAACGCAAGACAATACGCAACACTTGCGCCAACTGTAATTACGTCAAGCAAAAGGACAGTGATCTGGGGGGATCCGCTGATGATATATACCCATCGCAAGGTCTAGTTAAACGGCCCGGGAAAGGGAGGGAGGAGGAAATCACGCCTTGTTGGCGCCAACGTTGAGGCACACAGTCTCGACGAGCGCGGCACTGACGCGGTAGGGGTCGACGTTGGATGCCGGGCGGCGATCCTCGAGGTAGCCAAAGCCCTTGGCTGCAACGGCACGGGGGATACGGATGGAGGCGCCACGGTTGGCAACGCCGGAGGAGAAGGTGCCAATATGGCCAGTCTCGTGACGGCCAGTCAGGCGGAGGTCGTTGTCCTCGCCGTAGACGGCGATGTGCTCCAAATGCCGCTTGGAAAGCTTCTCGATAGCAGACTCGATGACCTTCATGCCGCCCTCCTTGCGCATAGCTTCGGTGGAGAAGTTGGAGTGGCACCCTGCGCCGTTCCAGTCGCCCTTAAGCGGCTTGGGGTGGAAGGAAACCTTGATGCCCCACTCCTCAGCACAGCGGACGAGCAGGAAACGTGCCATCCAGAGATGGTCACCCATGTCGATTCCTTCGCAAGGCCCGACCTGGAACTCCCACTGGGAGGGCATGACCTCGGCGTTGATACCAGAGATGTTGACGCCAGCGTATAGGCATGCACGGTAGTGTGCCTCGATCAGATCACGGGCGAACACCTTGCCAGTCCCTAATATTCGCGAATACACGTAAGCATTCATACGCGTTTCACCGCGGGACGCGGACTCACCAACACCGCAGTAATATGGGCCCTGGGGGCCGGGGAAACCGCCCTTGGGCCAGCCGTAAGGGGATCCATCAGCGTCGAAGAGGGTGTACTCCTGCTCGAGACCGAACCAGGGGTGCTCATCCTTTGCCTGGTCCATGACCTTCTTGGCATGATGACGGTAGTTGGTCCTGTTCGGGGTGCCGTCGTTGTTGTAGCATTCAGCGAGAACGAGGATGTTGTCACCACCACGGAAGGGGTCACGGAAGATGGCAGCAGGGCGGAGGTAGACATCCGAGTCGTTGCCTGGTGCCTGGTTGGTGGAGGAACCGTCGAAATCCCAGATACGGAGCTCGTCAATGCTCTTGGGGATACCCGGGAGCGTGCAGGTCTTGCAACGCAGCCCACCATCACCATCGATCCAAACGTCTGTAGGAGTATTGCGATGAGCTCGCTGTCACACGCCTCTTCAAGATGTGTTACTCACACTCAGCCTGGATCTTCTTACCCTGGTCTAGGGTAAGGTATGGCCCGAGAAGGTCTTTACGAGCAAGCATTGCCATTATAGAAGTATGTGGGGATGGAGAGCGGTGGGGGGGAGACGGGAGGATGGAGGATGGGGGATGAGAAGCGGTGGTGTGGAAAGAGAGCGTCTGACGACGAGGGTGAAGGGTTTAAAAGGGGTCATTGCACCGGACGGAGGCGGTAAGGAAGGCACTGCGGGGGCACGACACGCTATCACCCGTTAGCCAATCACAGCTCGTGCCACTCAAACGGAAATAGAATGGAAGCAGTTTGATCCCGCACCCGCCTTGTCCCAGTGAACTTCCCTCCTCCGATTGGACCGATAAGCCACCGCCCCCGACCCAACCCCCCCTACGAACGCTGCCTCCGGGACAGCACCGAATGCCGAAAATTTTGCACCTCCTCAACATGATCGACCTGCCACAAATCAGTGCTAGTGTCTGTCCCTGAATCTTTTTATCACTGCAGTCGGACAATGCACCTCTGTTCATGGTAATAATGTGCTGAATTATTATCTTCCTACCTTGGCGCCGCGCCGGTTACTCTGATACATAATGAAATTATTCGCTAGAGCCGTTCCGGGGCTTCCGCGCCTCCTTCAGCCGTCGAGCCGGCAGCCTCCGGTGCCCGTGCGTTCCCCTCCACATCGCCACTCTTGATGAATTCCCGGGTTCCTCGGCGCGCTCGTTTCGGCGACGGCACAAGGGCCTCCGCCGTGTCTGCTTGCTCCAGCGCAGGTGGCGATATCGAACGCGTGGGAGACGACGAGGTGGTCGTCTGCTCACCAGCACCTCCGCCGTGCTCCACCTTGGTGCTCCTTTTAGGTGACTGGCCATCGCCTGCGGGATCTGGTTTCTCAGGGACGGCTGCGGTAGCAGTCCCACTGATAACCCCAGGTCTCAGTCCCAGGATGTCCGATATGCGCATCTCTGCCCTTTTGCCCCATCCTTCGACGCTAGGCCGGAATTCACAGTACAGGCCATAGCCCCGATTGTTGAGTGTCTCAGGGGTGAAAGATAATGAAAGTAATCGCATGGCGCCCATGACGTAAGGCAGCGTTTGTCGCATCGCACGGTGGATGTACCCAAATGCAGCTACGGGCTCCACAGCCTCTCCTCGTATGAGTCCTCTCCAATCATCATTGGGCAGTTTCATGACGGGTCTAATGAGTGGTCAGTCCTGGTTTGAGGTTGCTGAACGCAAAGCTTACATCCTAGAGAAGACTATTAAGCAGGAGATTCAGTCCTGACAGGGTATCACTCACTTTCGGTCCATGAGGGTCACAAATGGTTGCGCGGATCCCACAGTGCTCTCCTTTTCCTTTAACTTGTCAAATATTCCCAATGATATGCCCTTCGATGTTGCATTCATTTCAGTGTACACTGAGCCTGTTTGGCCAAGTGAGGACCATTTCGCGAGACGAGATGTGGTACGCACCAATACTCAACGCCTCTTCTCGCTTGAATCCTATTCGTTCACACACTATTGTCGCCCATGCGGCCATCACCGGAGCCCGGTTGATGACAACGGTTCGTGTAGTCAAGATCTAACAGAGGGATGTAAGAAGGTATGCGAAACCAAGTAAAGTTCGCGCACATCTTCTTCTAAAATTTCACCAAAGTCGAGGCTGGCATACTCTGAACCTTTTCTTCGTAGCCCGGGAGCAAGGTCGTCATTCAAGTCATCATCTCGTCGCCGTTTTCGAGTGGGTTTCTACATTTCCCATTCAGCAAACATCATGAGGAGGGAAAGGTCACACGCACTGAAGACGACGCTAGCTCAGGTTCAGGAACAGGTTGTGGTACATCTACCTCTTTCGTTTTGTACCCTGCCTTGCGTAACGCTGCCAATACCTTCGTTCTCTGGTCCTTGTCATCCACCTTAAGGGCGGTGAGCTTCGGAGTTGTGAGAGTCGCAAGCTTCGCAGGAGTGTTGTACTCCTTGAAACTATGAACGATCGTGTTCACTGCGTTATAGTTTCTGTGTCGATTCATGACATGAAGGAAGCACATACATTTTAGAAGCTACGGACATGCTATCCTGCATAGACATGCCTGATGAAGTGAGCATCTTGAGGAATGCGGGGAGGGCGAGCGGGGTGTTAGAGAGATGAGTGGCAGGTGGTTGTGCTTTCTTTGGAGGCATGATAACTCAAGGATAGATACGGAGACAAGAGAGGGGGTGAAGTGCTCACACGAGCACGAGCATTAGAGGGCGTTACAGTCACCACCCGACTCCGGTAATGAACTTGGTTAAATCTGCTTCCGTGCTTCTCCGAGTGAGGAAGACAGGCTGTTGAATAGGCACTCACCAACCCTGCATATACCCATCACACACCCCGACAATATTCAATAATGCCACCTAAAAGTAGAGCGACAAGCAGACCGGTGGAAGTCCCCGATGAGGCTCCCCCGACAGCGAGCATGTTCGACCCAGACAGGCAGTCGGCACCGCGAACACCAGCACAGGCATCTCGGACTCTCACCGGCGCTGGAATACCCGCTGTGACAAGCACACCTGCCAACTTCATCCCTGACAGTATGTCACTAGTCCCATATGTTTGAACACAGGGTGATTAACAATACAGCTTCTGACAACTCCTTTCGATCTGCTATCCTCAGCGCCTCCCAACTCAACCTTACACCTCAACGACCAGGTTTCTCCGCCCCCAGTGCCGTAGATCTCATAACACAATCCCCGATTCCATCTTCCGATTCACACGATACTATCCAAGAGCGCGCCTCATATGGACCAGGAGCTCAGAAGACGCCAGTGAAGCCTAGAGGGATTATGATCAGAGAGGATCCGAGCATGGTCTCATCCTTTGACCCGAAGGACGAGGTGCTGTACAAGCTTTGGGTAGACTAAGGCACACTAGCCATATATGTTAAAGATCTCTTTCAAGAGACTGTTAGTTGTTGGAATGAGCCAACTGGCCACAGCGAGTCATCCTCACCCACAGGGACCACAAATAGTTGGCGACAACACGGGACTCCAGCGGATTTCCCAACATCAACGATACAATTACATACGCCAATGCCAGCTATTCGGTATCTAGTGCACACGTAATTACTGGACAGTGCCTCCCTAGTTATTAATAATAACTTGGGAAGTCTCTGATTGCGGTCCGAAGTGAAGCATCCACGCTTGTTTCCGTGGTCCAACCCTCTTAAGCTTCTGCACAGTACGCGTATGCGCCCTGCCCTTCGTTCGCTATCGTCTCTCGTGAGCACCAACATGGTCAGCACCAAGGTTACCGCCTCCAAAGCCGTCGCATTCCTCAATGGCTCGCCCACGCCGTTCCATGCGGTGCGGAATGCCAGTGCACGCCTGGAAGAAGCCGGGTTCACGCGGATCAGAGAGACAGATCAGTGGGAATTGAAGCCCGGGGGGAGGTACTACTACACTAGGTGCGCAGAGTGTATGGATGAGGCAGCATGGGAAGCTGATGGTGAATAGAGAGCAGAGGAGCTTGATTGCGTTCACCTTGCCTCAAGGTTGGAAGGCTGGCACTGGGGTGTCCATCGTCGCTACTCACACCGACTCCCCCAACCTGCGTGTGCGTTTCTCCCGCCCACCCCCTTTCTCCCACTAATAGCTAGATAGATCCGCCCGGTGTCGAACAAGACCTCCTCAGGATACCTCCAGGTTGCGGTGGAGACGTATGGTGGTGGGCTCTGGCATACATGGTTCGATCGCGACCTCAGTGTTGCCGGCCGTGTTGTGGTCGCTACCCCCGGGACGACGCAGTTCCAGACGAAGCTAGTGAAAGTTGAACGTCCTCTGATCCGGATTCCCAACTTAGCCATCCACTGTAACTTCCCTTGGGCTGAATGCTGACCCAAGCTGACGCATGCGGACAGTGGACCGTACCATAAACGACCAGTTCAAGTTCAACAAGGAGACTGAGTTTATCCCTTTCCTGGGGGTGCTATCTGAGGAACTCAACAAGATGCCCGAGCCAAAGTATGAAGAAAAAGGGCCGCAGATCAAGCCTGCCCCGAGTGAAAGGCATCATCCAGCTCTCCTAGCCGTGCTGGCGGAAGAGATGAGCTGCGCCCCGGAGGAGATCAACGATTTCGAGCTGTGAGCATCATGAGTACATGTACTGCTCTGTTGTGCTGATCATGCGATTTAAGAGCTCTCTATGATACCAACCCCTCGACCGTAGGTGGCCTGCAGAACGAGTTCGTTTTTTCACCGCGACTCGATAACCTCATGTCCACGTAAGTCCATCACTTGTCAGGTCTGACAGCTTAATCCAATATCGCTGCAGCTTCTGCGCTCTCGAGGCAATCTGCGAGTCCGTAACTCTCGAAAAGAAAACCGACAACGTGAACTGTATCGCGATGTTCGACCACGAGGAGATCGGCTCCGCCTCCGGCGTAGGAGCGCAAGGCTCGCTCCTTCCCTCCTTCCTGAGTAGGCTCTCGCCCACACCTGAGCAACACGCGCACAGTGTGGCCAGGTCCATGCTTATCTCAGCAGATATGACGCATGCCTTCCATCCCAGCTACGCGAGCAAGTATCAGGATGGGCACAGGACAATGATCAATGGCGGGATGGTGATCAAGACGAATGCGAATCAGAGGTATGCGACCGAGGCGATTGGCGCGTGGGTTGTCAGAAGGCTGGCGGCAAGGAGGGGTGGCGCGATTCAGGACTATGAAGGAAGGAATGATATGTGAGTTGCATTGTTATTCTGCTCCTGTGCATCCCTAATTGGCGCAGGCCGTGCGGTTCGACCGTTGGACCTCTCCTCTCTCAACTCGGTCTCCGAACTGTGGATGTCGGTGCGCCAATGTGTGAGTACACTCACCTCTGTTCCGATGTTCCCAGCTCAACATGTAAACAGGGAGTATGCACTCTGTTCGTGAAACATGTGGGGCCCATGATGTCCCCGCGGCAGTGAACTTGTTCCTTGCGCTGTTCGAAGGTTGGAGGGATGAAGTTGGAGAGCTGATGGTTGATTGATGACATCAGTACATTGGGGGTTGATTGGGTCGAATGGCTTCGGAACTCGGTCTTACTGCTCTAAATTGAATGGTTCTTTCGTGACTCACCGCCGGTTGCACAAGGATTCGAACATCAGGGACCCTTTTCGTGCAGAATTTTTGAAGCAGGGAAGCCCCACGCCCGATATCCTTCCTTGTCACCAAGCATGGTTTGTAGACATGCGTCCATCATCACTCTGTTTCGCTGCCCTTTATTGCAGAGGGTGGGTGGGTGCGATGGTATCAATATACCCACGTGAATATCCCTGCACATGCGTGTCTGGATCAATTCGCAACCTGCAGTAAGAAGAGTGTGGTGAGCTCACGTGACACAGTATTGGCACAGCCACTCAGTCCTGACCAAAAATATCGGTCTGAAATTTCTGGACCCTTGGCGAAGTAGCATTCTCCTCACCCAAATACCTGTGGCATGGTCCGCTCATATCTCCGGTGGGGTCCAACCCAAGCATTTGGCATTATATGCAGCCCAGGGTCGAATGGATTATTTGACGGCAAGCTGGCATATGTGCCGGGGCTTGAGGACATCCTGGTGTGGGATGTGAAGAAGGCACAACTGGTGCGCCTGAAATCTGGGATTGTGAACCTCGTGCTGACACCATATCCAGCTATCTATGTGGCATGAAAGCGGTCATCGAGCAGAAGTGACGTGTATCATCCGCTCTCCAACTCAGGATACCTTTGCGGTAGGCTACGCGGATGGCTCCATCCGGATATGGAATGCCCGCTCCGGGACGGTTGAGGTTGCACTCAACGGGCACAAACGAGCTGTCACTGCCTTGGCTTATGACAAAGAAGGCACTCGACTTGCATCAGGTTCTATGGATACGGCCCTGATCATTTGGGACGTGGTTGCGGAGACAGGTTTGTTCCGGCTCAGGGGGCACAGGGACCAAATTACTTCAATCCGGTTCTTACAGACACCAGTGTCGTTGGATGATCCCTCTACTTCAGACGCCGTCACCGTCTCAACAGCCTTCCTTCCTGGCTATCTTGTCACAACGTCGAAAGACACCTTCTTGAAACTCTGGGACCTAAACACTCAGCACTGTCTGCAGACCACCGTCGCACACCGCGCGGAGATTTGGGCAATGGACATTAACCCTGCAGAAGACAACATCATCACTGGAGCTGGAGACGGAGAAATCAAGGCATGGAAGATTGACCGTGCTGCGTTAAGTTTGGGGCTCCGGGAAGGAGAAGATGGAAAGATAGCCAAGCTCATTCTCCCACTCGGCAACCTCCCCAACTCGAACAATAGCCGTATTTCACAAATTGCCTTTCACCGAAGTGAATCGTATTTGGCAGTGCAGGACCAGGACAAGGCGGTGGAGGTGTTCAGGATCAGAAGTGAGGAAGAAGTGAGGAAGAAGATGGCGAGGAGGAAAAAAAGGGCAAAGGAGAAGAAAAAAGATAAGGGAAAGGAGGCGGACGGCAACGCTGGAGAGGTGAACATGGCGAATGATCACACACCGGACGAACCGATTACCCTTGAAGACTTGTACACGAGGCACATACTTGTTCGCGGGAGTGGGAAGATAAGAGGATTCGACTTCGTCCCTGCAGATGCTAGTTTGAAAGGAGATGTCCAAGTGAGTGTAGGCCTCCCCCTATACCGGCAGAAATTTACGTTGTTGTATTAGATTTTCTTGTCATTGGCATCGAATGCAGTGGAAGTATGGACTATACCGTCACCCGCGAAGCTGAAACTCGACTCCGCGACAGAAGCCACACGTGCGTATGGATTGGACCTACCAGGACATCGCACCGACATCCGAACGCTCGCGATAAGCTCTGATGATGAGCTCTTGGCATCTGCATCGAATGGTCCGTTCCAAGCTTTTTAGTGTGCTGGCTGCTTACCGTGGGAACAGGTGCGCTAAAAATCTGGAATGTCAAAACTCTCGCTTGCATCCGGACAATGGATTGTGGCTACGCAGTATGTAGCATTTTCCTCCCTGATGACCGACAAGTCGCCGTCGGTACGAAATCTGGCGAGATCCTGCTGTACGACATTGCGTCGTCGTCTTTGATTGAGACGATTAAAGCTCACGAGGGAACTGTGTGGTCTATTGATCTTCGACCGGATGGGAAGGCACTTGTGAGCGGGAGTGCAGACAAGGATGTCAAGTTCTGGGATCTTGAGCCTGTGAACCCGGAAGGCAGTACATCCGTAAGTGCACTGCCTTGAAACAAAATCCAGGCCACTCACCAGCGGTGAAGAGTTCTCGAGCTCTGGTTACTTTGACGCATGCAAGGACACTGAAGATGAGTGATGACGTCCTGGGAGCATGCTACAGTCCCAACGGAAAACTTATTGCTGTGTCTCTCCTCGACTCAACAGTCAAAATATTTTACGAAGACAGCTTGAAATTCTTGCTGTCGCTATACGGCCACAAGGTATCTCGCTGTGTGATCTCTTGCTTGTTATTCCGCTCACTGTTACTACAGCTCCCGGTCTTATCAATGGCGATCTCAAGTGACTCAAAGCTCATCGTCACCTGCTCCGCGGACAAGAACATCAAGATCTGGGGTCTTGACTTCGGAGATTGTCACAAGTCCATCTTTGCGCACGACGAGAGCATCATGCAAGTTGGATTCGAGCCTCGGACTCACAACTTTTGGTCAGTGGGAAAGGACAAGGTATTGAAGTATTGGGATGGAGATAAGGTTCGCCCTCTTTTTCGCCTGACTTTGACAATCTGATGATGCGTTCCGTGCAGTTCGAGAATATCCAGAAGTTTGAGGGACACCATGCCGAAATCTGGGCGCTTGCTGTGGCACACAACGGTCAGTTTGTTGTCACTGGATCCCATGATAAGTCTATTCGAATATGGGAAAAGACCGACGAACCGGTAAGGATGGTATATGTTGCCTCGCAGGGTTGTTACTCATCAGTATCCCAGCTTTTCTTGGAAGAAGAGCGGGAGCGAGAACTCGAAGAGATGTACGAGCGTGGGATTGCGGACAGTATGAATCGCGAGGATCAGCAGGTCAATGGCGACACCGAAGTTGCTGGCGCCGAAGCCACTACAGTCAACAAGCAGACTGCTGAAACCCTCATGGCTGGCGAACGTATCATGGAGGCTTTGGACGTCGCTGATACTGAGCGCGAATCATGGGTTCAGTACGAAGCAGCAACGGCAGCGTTGAGCGAAGAGCAGAAGGAAAAAGTACCCCGCCCGACCAAGCACGCACTGCTTGCCGCACTAGGAGATGTCGAGCCCGCCGCCTATGTCCTTAGTGTTGTGGAGAAGATTCAAACTGCTGCCCTATATGATGCGCTTCTTGTCTTGCCGTTTGCCAAGGTCGTGTCTTTGATGCACTATCTGGACGATTGGGCCCAAAGAGTCCGTGCCATCTTGATACATGTTGTCCGTTCTCACCCCACCTACAGGAATGGAATGTTGCCCTGACGTCTCGGATACTGGTCTTCCTTCTGAAGCTTCATCATCACCAGATCGTCGCGAACCGCACAATGCGTACTATTCTGATTCCATTGCGTATTCACCTTCGCGCAGCTCTGAAGCGGCAGAAGGAGGCCATCGGGTATAATCTTGCTGCCATGCGGTATATCCGCCGACAGGACGAGGCTACGAGAACCGCGGAGTTATACGAAGAGGGGCTAGATGACGAGACCATCAAGGAGCGCATCGCTGCAGGACAGAAGAGAAAGAGAGTCGGTATTCGTGCATGAGCTGCTGTTTCTATTGTACCCGAAGGTATGATATGGGCTCTATGGTAATCGAACGAATGTGAGGTTTTGCAGTTGCAATCACTTCTATTTTGGTCCCCATAATGTTGTGTCCCTGATCAAGACCGTCAATTCCACACTGGAGCAAACTTCATTGGATCTCACCACTCCCGAGGACCGTCTGCTAAGTGCATCGTTACATCGTTAATCACGCCTTCAGAGAGCGGCGCCAGAGCTCGGAACACTGGCTGGCTGACATCAACGTGCTTCCCTTGACAACCTGCGCAAGTGTCGACCACCCGGCAGCTGACGCACTTCGAGCCATTGCATACTGCACTCTATGTCAACATTGTTCAACATTGCAATCCAAAGCACCTACGCGATAGGAAACTCAGGCAGGGTGGTTTGTCTAGCCATCCGTCGATCGTCAGCGCGCATATATACGAGTTATCGGTCGGCTGCCAGACTGTCTGAGCCCAACAGCTTCATATATGCGCATTTCTCAGCGGTCCATTGAATGACAGAGAGTCATTTAACTCACCTTGGATTCAACAGCCCGTCTCCACTGTACCAAGTGACCTTGACGCTCTGTGGTGTACCGATGGACTTGACGGAATCGACCAATGCTTCAATCGATAATCGCGCGTCCAGTACATTTGTGTGCGTATCGTTTGCCCACCCCGTAGGAAATCCTGAGTGGTAAGCATCTCCAAGCTGGTCTACAGTGGCATGCCGCTTAGGTGACGATGTAAGTCTGCGAGAGTGACCTCCAAGAAAGTCGAAAGGATGGACAGGAAGGGTGTTGCCACTTAAACAATATAAGAGGCATGCCGACGCGAAAATGGTTGCGAACTGCATATTGTTGAAATGAGGGAATACTGCTCTTGAAGAAGTTCTTCTGAGTTGTTTAGAAATACGAGGCCGAAGTAATGTAACGGAAAGGAACGAGGGGGTGCAGCGTTTGCTCATCGAGCATGCTATTAACGGACATCACACTATGACAGCTCCCGATCCAACCTTACCTGACTCATCGCAACGACCGCAACAGGGGGATTCTTCTCAATGAATGCAGGTGTCCCGGCATATATGCTCCAGAACAGATATTGCAAATGAAGGAGCTTCGAGACAACAGCAAAATATCTAAAGGACCACGTCCAATGAATTAGTCTATATCTAAATTCAGATAACGTTGCGTTCGTGGCTCCAGCATAGGAAGTACCTCGTATGACAGTACTGTACCCATAGAGAAGCTGTTTTGTAGGGAATATAATACAGATGGGTGGCAGCGGGATAAATTTACAACATGCTCAGAATGATGGCGGCAAGAGCGCTCGAGCCGATAAACATGAAGATGTCTTCACATTTCGTTGTCAGAAGCATGCACGCCAATAAGTACGAAGAATGCGTACATTGGACAAGCAAAAAAGCGGCCAGCGTGTCCGCCTTCCCATCCGGTGAATAAAGCTGGGTGATAACAAGCTGATTCACCGCGCCTGGGGTGCCCGACAGGAACATGATGACAAAACGTAGAGCATATGCGTCCGGGGGGATGAGAGAAGTGTGGAAGGTGAGGTATTGAGTGAGGGCGACGCCGGCTACCGGAAGAATCACGCATTTGATGGCGGTCATCCCGAGGGCGGCCATTATCGGGAGTTTGGTTATCGGCCGAGGGATCTGGATGAGAGATTCAGAAAAGAACTTGAGTGGAACATCGTAAGGCAACATACCGTCATGCGAGCGAAACTGTTCCCCAGTAGCATCAGGCCCTGAGGCACGGATATTCCTCCAATAAAGCTCGCAGTATTTAAGATGAACTGCAAACAAGGATTTCCGTCTGGACCCAATGCGAAGCCGTAATATTTGGATCCTGGCTCAAGCTCCACGAAGAGTGCCTTGAGCGGCTGGATCAGAGAGATTGGCAAGGCAAGCAGGATGGACAAGGTTACTGGGGAAGTTGAGTTTTTCAGCATGAACCAGACGAGGTGGAAGGGTATAGAGGCGGGATGCGCCCAGAACCGCGCGAAGCGAGTGGTGAAGGGTGATAGGCGCTCGGCCAGTTGTGCTTTCCACCGTCGGACGAAGTGTGGTACAAAGCGGGAAGGCGGTTGTGAACTGGGGGCGGGCGCTGGTGCATTGGCATGGGAAGGGGGTAACGTAACACTGGTTGAGGAAGGAGTTGGACTCAGCCTCTTTGTAGGTGCAGACGTCGACGGAGTCGCGTGCGGCTGTGAGTGCGGGTGCGGGTGTGGGGGATGAAGTCGTCCGAGGCCCGGCTCACCAGCCAGTGCCTCCGCCTCAGTGCTCGCCGCCGCTTTCTCCTGGTCATGGATAATATCCTTTTCCATCTGGTCTTCAATTTCTGGCGAAGTCAGCGCTAGACGCAAGGAATCGCAGAAGCCAACCTACTCGTGTCCTCCCCGTACGCCTCTGGGTCGTGCTCCACTGTGGGCTGCTTCCTGCCCCTGATCCTTGCCCAAAGCATCTTCATCGACCTGCTCCTCCTCTCCCACCTCTCTTTGATCGACTCCGGTATCTCATACCCGTTCTCATCGAAAGGGACTTTATCTGCATCCGCAAAGTCCCAAGCCACGGTCTTCCAGAACCCCGTGGCAAAGTAGCTGATTTGGAAAGCAACGATAAACACAGCGATGAAGGCGATACCGAGCTGCGTGTCTGGGGTGCCGTTAAACGGGGTGTGCATGAATATTGTCATGAGTACTGCGGTCGGGAGGTTGTTCCAGTTCGACATAGCGCCGCAAGTGATGAGGCCCCAGCGGAATTGGCGGGGTACGAAGACGATTTCACGCAGGATCAGGGTCATCAAGAGACCGGCGAACTAAGCGCAAATGATAAGCGAGTACGAGATAGAGAGAGCGACGACTAACAATATAAAAGAACGCCATGAGGAATATTGGTCCGAGGAATGCGATGTTTGTGCTGTTGAAAGCCGGAACAATACTGGAGAAGACCAGACATGGTAATGCAACATTCTATGGGAGACCTCAATCAGCAATGACATACGAGGAATGCACACGACTAAGGACGTACGACGTTCACCACTGCTGACCCCTTTGCCCCTTGAGGCGTCCATAACCCATTGCGGGTAAGTACATAGCCTGAGAGGATCGTGAGGAACGTCTTCAGCAGCGGCACGAAGCTGCGCTCGTATCAGTGATCGCCACCTTATTGATCTGATGATGATGCGCACCCGGCATAGATGTAGTAGCCAGCTGCACTTGTCATCTTAGGCAGTTCAGATATCGTACAATTGCAGGCTGACCAAATCTACCCACGATCCAGTCAAGAGCAATTTATCGTCGTATCTGACACCGCCAGAGTAGGATGAGAGCACGATTGCGGCGAGTATCGGCTGGCATGGTTGACAATATTTTGCATATATAGAACAGTATCGTCGGCTTCGGGGGAGTGATGTGCCTGTGGGGCAGTCAGGGCCGGGCCGGTGCAGTGAGCGCGGCGGTGGATGGTGCGCTCAACGGCGCGGATACGGGAAGTGAGCGGACGATCGGACCCATCGACCGGGCGGAGGCGGCTCCGGTACTGCCGAAGGCGCTCTTCGGGGTTGTCCACCGACCCCCCATGGTCGATAATCGTCCTGCAAATACTTATCAGCACCCAAGTGTGCATTACAATTAACACCTTTGTTTTCTCACAGTTTCTTCTTGAAGCGCCCGCGAAAGCAATTACATCACATCACCGACAGCATTCAACCCCTCATAAAGATACGACGCAGACTCTTCAATCAAGATCCCCCAGGCGCGCCAATAATGATCACACGAATGCAAATCTTGTGACGATGTTGACCAGCAATCAGACCATATGCATATGCTGGTTTGACACGTGATGCCAGCATAGATCGCCAGTACCAGAGGAGGTCACTACCTGGCCCAGACTGCTGAAGTAGGACCAAAGACATGGTCGTGATGGCTCTTGACCTTTTGCCAGCCTGCTGAATGTGGCTGGCATCACTTAGAGCACCGTGTTGAATCTGAGGGGAACGGAATGCCCCCCCGCCGCGATCTCATACCGCCGATGCGCGACAAAGTGCTTTCTCACCAGCCTCCCATCTCAGGGCCTCAGTAGTCTGGCTCAGGCGTACGGAGTAGTTCGGAGTGGAGAGCCACAGTCAGTCAGTCAGCTGGGCGACTTTGTGATACTTCCTTGACGCGGGGATAACGAGGTGTGAGATCATTCCTAGAGAATGACGTAGATTCGATAAGAAGATCGAGAGCCACCCTTGTTTCTTCCTTCGCAGGTGCAACTCAAACAAACTCGCACAAATATGGAAAGTTCCAACATATCCTGTTGCTTGGAGCGGTCCTTTCCACTCAGGCTTCTAGGGGCTGTGACATTAACGGTTGTTTTCTTATCTGTATCCTTTCGGCCGCCGTCCCGATCGATAAACGATAAACGCCAAGCTTCCGGGCATCCGGCTCCGGCTCCGACTCCAAGCTTCAATCGTCTTGACGACTTCCTTACATCTAATTACCATAACCGGTGTTGCTGTTGAAAATCTGACCCGTGACCATGGATGGGGCAATGAGATGAATTGCGATGAGATGCGATGCGATACCAGGTCGGGGACATTGCGTCTGCTCCGGCAGGGGTTCCTTCGGCCATGTCGCTTCTTTATCAATTGCGCAGTAGGCCTCGTTACGGTAATGCAGATCGTGCGTGGCTCCCTCGAGGCGCTGACTCACGCAGATTGACATTATTGACGGCGACGAATCGTTTTCGGCAGATCTGGATCTGCGTACTTGGAGCAACGCAAATTGTTTGTCACGCACCAGCGGAAGGGAGTGCGGAAAGGAGGAAGATATGGTTTCGAAGGCCTGCATCAAGTGGGGAGGCTAGGAACGATCGGGCCGCTTCGGTCGTCCCCCACTGGTGCGCCTAATGGTCTATTCAATGGTTAGCGTGTGTCAGGCCATGGCAGCGCGATATGGATGATGCAATAGCGTGCCTTTACCTCGCTGTTATAATTGACCTACAATGCCACCTCCGGGCCGAAAAGCCAAGGGTCAAAGGGATGGGGGGAGCGTCGGATCTTGCAACTCCGTTTGTGAGCGGAGCCGGAAAATATTAATGGGCTCTGGAACAAAGGAGAATTGGGTTAAAAAATCCGAAAGATTTGCACGGAAGATGCAAGTATATTGTCATGTCTTGACGCGCTCATCCGCCTGCGTGGGGACCACAGAAGCAGTCGGAGCTCGGAGAACGGGGCAGGGGTGATGCAGATCTCAGATCAAGATTAATAGAAGCCGTGACCGTGATATACACCTCTAAAGTCCGTTCCGTGATACAGCCGGAAGCCGCGGAGAGGGGCAGGTTCATGAAAGTTTTGGGTTAAACAAGTTTCTTTTTTTTAAAGTCGGCGACGGATAATGAGAAGCGGGATGATAGGTCCAGGGACCTGCGGAAAGATCTTCGTCGCAGACCTCGGGTGTTTGTGGTTGTTGATGTCTTTTGACAGGTGTCTTGTAGGTTTTAATCTCAAGCGAGCGCCCAAAAAACGTTGATATCGCCCAGCAAATCATGGTGGACCTTGGCGAACGGACGTTTACGGGAGCATAGGGGCGTGGCTGGTCGTCAAGGGGCTGGGACGTCGGGAGCAAAAGGAAGTGCTATAGAGAAAGGAAAGAAGGACATGAGCCATTCAGTTAGGCCAAGCTTTATGAGGGCTGGCAGGCAGGTGGTGCCCTGGCATGCAGGGGAGGAGAAAGACGGGAGACGGCAAGGTAAAGGGTGCAAGGAGAGAAGAAAATGTAAAGAAAAAGGAATTGCAAAACACCATTGGCCGTGTCCACAGTCACCTCAACACACACACGGGGGCAAACACGGCTTACATACACCCCCCTGGGACCCCCACAACACACACACAACGCACCATCGACGGCCAGGCAACCCGCACACACGCCGCAACCCGCTCATCGCCCCCCCTTCATTACCTCTCATCTCCTTCTTCCTCACTTCCTTTTCCCCCTCCTCCGTCTTTGTTGCCCCCCTACCCACATCACCCTTCTCTTCTTCTTCCCACCTCCGTCTCCCTCCTCGTACACCTTGCTCCCGGGTCGTTAATCAGTCTTATCCTGACCTCTGTCCGCCCCTTCATCAACTAGTACATTCCCGCATAATCAACCCCTCCTACCTTGTCAATCCCCTCTTCTCACCAGACACCATACCTCAACAACATCCATCGCAATGGCACAAGCAGGACGTTCTAGCCATTCATCGTCACATATGATGAAGACGACCAAGCGCGGTCGGCCGTTCCTCAAGGTGCGTCCCTATCCAGTCACTGCAATACTTACACCTCATTCTGATACTCATCAATCACTCCCAGGATACACTCGATCTGTTCGCGACTCTTGTTGTCTCCCTTGACCTGACAACACATCGGCAGTTCTTCCGTCAGATCCCAAACAGTTTTACTACGTGAGTACATTCGTCTGACATTCCAAGCACACAGCTAAGGCCTGCATTCCCTCAGTGATGAAGCATGTGCGAACTTGGCCAACCTGAAGTTTTCCCAATCCACTCGCGGGCCGGACCCCAAAGACCCAACAAGGATCGTGACAACTACGACAACGACTACGTTCTCCATGTCCCGGGAAATGGCCAAGTCAATGTGCCAGCACTTCATGGATGCTCGCTTGATTGAGAACGCTGGCGACAGGCAGTCGAACATCTTCAAGGATCGTGGAACATATCAGGTCACACCGAAGGGATTGCACATTCTCGAACGGTTCATCACCAAGAACGGCATGACGGCGGATCATCTCGTCAAAGTGTTCGCCACCCAGCCGATCTGCATGAAGCTTCTTCACCTCGAGCGTCGGGCAGAAGATGACGACATCATCATCTCGCAGACTCCCATTGTGGACTTGTTCCGTCGATTTGCAGGACGTCAGCCCAACTACCCTACCACGTCGGAGACCAACATGCCACCTGACCCGGCACAAGAGCACCACGAGCGCGCAAAAGGCATCTTCCTCCAGGATGTGACCGAGCGTGTTGACGGCCAGAAGGGTCCCCAACTCTTCCGCTACTGCTTCTACTCCCCTGCCGCGCTCGACTGGCTCTGCGATTTCTCAAGCATTGTTGCCCGTGATGAGGCCGCAGAGCTCATGGCTCATTTTGTTAGGTACCAGCTCATTCAATATGTAACGGATCATTCGAGCAGGAGGGAGGATACGATCAGCTTCGAGGTCAAGGGAGGGCCGGGTACCTCCATCCGGGCCTTGGTAAGCTCAATGTATGTGCTCGCATCATTTACATGGCTAATCCCTGTCTCCCCAGCCGAAGGCCGAGTTCATTTGCAACCCGAAGACTTTGTACCGCCTCACCGATGAGGGCCAGCGCACTGCTCGCTGGAACGTACCATCGCGGGCTGGTGGTGCTTCTGGTGCTGCTACTGCTGCCAACGGAGGGGACCAAAGTGGACGTCCATCCGAGGACAGCAGTGAAGTTCACGCCACAGACATCAACTACGGCCCCGGTGCTGGTCCGACTGCAGGACCGAAGGGTATGGCGGCCGCGCAGGAAGCTCAGGCGCAACTGCAGCGCAAGGGATCCGTAGCGGAGCGAATGAACAAACTTGATGATGGCTCCGCACACGACTCACCCAAGGAGAGCAACACGGATCGGTTAAAGTTTATTCTTGCTGAGCCTGCGCTGCGTTCTCTGTTCCGTGACTTCTTGCGCGGCAACTTCTGTGAAGAGAACTTATCCTTCTGGTTGGAGGTGGAAGACCTGAAGCGCCGCTTCGTCACTTCCTCGTCTGCCTCTGCAGCCAGCGCAGTCCCAACCGCAGGCAAGGGCAGTCAGATGGAGAAGCATCAGGACGGACTGATCAAGATGGCCTTTGTAATCTTCAACACCTTCCTGGCGCATTCGTCCCCATGCGAGCTGAACATCGACCACGGGTTGAGGAACGAGCTGGATGCGTACCTCAGCAACGTGCTTTCGGTGGATGGGAAGGGTTTCGTGGGCAAGGTCGAGCCCGCACAGACGGCCCAGTTTACCGCCACCCAGTTGCAAAACATGATCCGCTTGTACGAGCGTATCCAGAACCATGTTTTCCGGCTGATGGCAACCGACTCGGTCCCGAAGGTACGCTTCTTTCTGCACTCTTGGATCGCGGTATGCTTATTTTTTTCACAGTTCGTCAAGACGAGGCAGTTTGTCCAGCTTCGTCAATATGTGCAAGGCTTGGAACAGGTGGACGCCGATATGCGTCTGGCGGTCGAGACGGTTGGCTCTCCGCCCAGCGCGCCCGTGGGCGTGTCACATGAGTATGGCGACTACGGGGAAGAGCCTGCCGGCAGGACGTACATGACTATCTCCACTGCGGCGAACGAGAAGGCGCGTGCACTGGCTACCAAGGCAGACGCGAAGCGTGTTGGGGCCGGCGCCACCACCGCTGCTCGATGATGACAGGGCCTTTTGTTGCTTTGTTCCTATGTTTCCGTTCCTGTTCCTGTTACATGCCCATCATCACGTTCATGATTCACTTCATCAAATCTCCCCCTGCTTCCTCCTGACGCCGCATGCTGCTTTGTGCGTGTGGGCCAAGGCGCATAATTTCCCTTTTTCGTCACTGCCGCTGCTTTTCCTTCTGTTGTCTTATTCCACTGTCTTTGGGAATTGTCCGGCTGGACGACACGCATCTCAACGTCGCCCTTACAAAGCAAAAATTATTGTATACGAGTAATAGCCACCAACCAGGGTGGTGACCAATGATCATTGTTAATAACAAAGTATGTCGGTGCCTTGTGGTAAGGGTAACATTATCATTGCATGAAATACGGTATCAGTCGGAATTTTGCGGGTGATACACTACTTTACATGAATGCTACATTCTTTGAACGAATCCGAATACAATCAGTCGAGGCCCTAAACACCGGCGTGGGCAAGCCCTTCCTGTACAACCATCGCCATGGCTTCCAAAAACACCTCAACTGGCGGAGGAGGGTCAAAATCTGCCCCAGTTAAATGATGGGCAGCGGCAAGCACCGGCAGCCGACGGAGAGTCCGACCTGACATGCCTTTACATCTCGCAGCCAGGCTGTACAGGGAATTGCTCGCCTCTTTCGCTCTAGACTCGGTCATCTTCGTAATGAGGCGATACTCGGGGAGATCTAATAGTTTCTGTACCGGCTGTGAGATTGGATTGGAAAGCGCGGGTTCGACTCCGGCTTACCACCGGTGCAATTAGTTTTTTCTCTATGAGCTCTAGCAGACAATCCCTCAGAATCCAATAGACACCGTCTTGAGGAGGCAACCCGACATATTGTATAATGTCTGCCCGGTCCCTGAAGGCTGGGTCTGCATCATACAGTCAGGATTGGCTGTTCAAGCCGAGACGGCCTGGACGTACCGATTGAATCGATCAAATTTGATGTTGTCACCACCAAGACGTTCTTGCGATGTTTCAGTTTATCGAGTTGTGTCAATAACGCATTTACGACCTGGTACACCGTTCAGAGTAAGGCGGGTGTCCGGTTTGCATCACATACTCGAATGGATTCGATTGGCTCGCCCGAAGAAACAGAACCCGCCCGTGCTGCAGTCAAACTTTCTACCTCATCTGCAGACGTGTTAGGCTATATCAGTAATCACGTATGAAGGGTCTGCACACCTATCAAAACAACGACAAAATTGTCCTCGTCGTCACACAATTCCTTTACTTCATTGAAAAGGCCTTGAACTAATTTACCGGATTCGGAAAACCAGCGAGAGAACAGGGAGTGAGAGTTGATTTCGATAAGCTGCGTTGCCGGGTATTCCTTCCCCAATCGAATCGAAAGCTTATGGGCAAGGGCACGACAAAGAGATGTTTTGCCTGTCCCAGGTGGGCCATGTAACAGAAGCACGCTTTATCTCGTAAGTGAGTCAGCCAATGATCGCCAACAGAGACTCGTACCGGTTCCAGGACACCACATTCGCGTCGACGCCGGCCCTTGAAAATCGTATAGTAGCATATATGTAGTTCAAAAGACGGCTTTTGACATCATCTCCATAATACAGACTAGATGCGAAATGAGATGTGTGAACACACAAGAAGACCCATATACCTTTGCCATAATCCTTCGACGGACGCGCTTGGCATTAGGCACACGGTGGCGGCATTGATAGTTTGCCCTTCATCGGCTCCAGCGCTCGTGAGTTCCTCCGGCTCCGATGTGTTTGGGGTGTAGACGTGAATGTTGATGGACGAGTTGGTCAAGTCGACAGAGCTGACAGGATATGCTGTGAAAGTATGAGAACGGTTCATGCACTCTATGAAGGGTTACTTACATGTCTCTGATACATAGACAGACTCTACAACATCCCTTAGACTCCCCACCGTTCTCCAATCTTCCAGGTAAGTCCCTGGTATGACAGAGGCGAGGTCCGACATCATCCATGTGCGAACGGACTTTTCCACTCTGTTGGAGGCCGTGCTACTCTGAGCCTTCATACACACCTCCACTATAGCAAGACCGAAATTAGTGATCGAGCATCTCATCAGTGAGTATATTATACCATGTAGTGGGCACATGAAGGCCCTTCCAGGAAGACGGGATGTTAGGGCGAAGGAAGACGAGCTCGTGTTCGGGGTGGTCGAGCTCGAGGCTGATACCTCAACCGATGAATCCCGCTTCACTGGCGACTCGATCTTGAACATTGAGCTAGGTGCAAAAGAAGCATCCTGCATAATGGTATCTTGTGCAGAGGGAGGTAAGGCATGCGGGGACATCGTGGTCGAACGAGAAGATCTAGTGCACCTACACTAGTAGGGTGGAATGCATACACCACCTTCGAATTGCTTCCGGGACGCGTCGACGCGTCTGATTTCTTTCCGGTCATTCAACGCGCACGAGATCACGGTCGTTTTCACCTTCCAACAACTGCATCTCCCCATGGACTACAGACGCTCGTCCGTCTATCCTCGTCATTCAATATTTCCTGGAGCTACTGGGATTGGATCAGGATCTAAAGAGGCGGATGGTCCACGACCGTATCTCCCCCATCTAGAAGCCTGCATCAACGCGACAAATCAGAGCACAAACACGGTAAGACTGATTAATTCAAACTCTGTCCAATGGCTAATGGCGGATGGTTGCGAAGCTCAAGGCGCTCTTAGAGGATTTCAAGGATGGTACCGGAGATCTGCCGAGGCTGACGAAGGTTCTCGAGAATAACCGCGTACGAGATGGGCCTTCAACCAAAACTGGGGTACTGATACGTGTCTAGCTGTTTGTTCTTATTAATGAGGACGTCTTAAGAAAATACAAAGCGCAGCTAGTGGAGGAGATAGAACCGCAAGTTAGCGAGCTTATCTCAAAGGCAGAAAAGTCATTGGGAGTCTTAGAAAGGCGAGAGGCTCAGCTGCAGAAGAAGGTGCGTGCCTCGTTGCACGCATTGTTTAGGAAGGGACTGACTAGCACTAGGTGGAGGCACAGCAGAACGAGGGATCTACCAAGCCTGCCATCCCTGTGGCTGCCAACAAAGGAGAGGAGAGGAGGTTAAAACTGATGGCTGCGCGAAGGGATCGGTTGATGAAAGAGTTGAAGGCATTGGAAGAAGAGGTGGAATCCCTGGTCAGTGTGACAGTCGCTAGTCGTTTGCGTTTCTGATGTTATGTGATAGGGAGCACACCTTGGGGAGGGTCTGTAACGCTTTGCTTTTTTATGGTGGCCATGATCTTATGTACACGATAGATTTGTGAAATTAGTACCAATATTACTTGCGGTCCTTACGGTCGTCTATGCCAAGCGCCAATGCATATCATGAGCGCCTGACAAGGCGCTCACCAAATCGGGGCATGCTTTTTCACGCGACCTTCTCAGCGTCATAAGCGGGAATGCCTCCGAGCCTCTCTTCCCCCGCCTTCCGAAGCGCGCCGTGAACCCCTGTGCCGCCATCGACCCACCACTATTTCTTTCAGTCAATTCAGTCACCTCATGTAATTTGTCCATCATGGCCGCCGAAAATCCAGGCGCATCCAGCTTGACACAGCTAGCTGATTCACGTGAAGACGAGCTCTGGAATGCAGACTATGTCAACGAAGAGTGCGCATTCTACTAACTAACTCGTGTCGTGTTCTAACAATGACCGCAGACATATTATGGCATTTGCTCGCGCACTTTCTGCAGAGGACATTCTTGAACCAGAAAGTCCTGTTGTTTCTCCGTTAGATTCAAGACGAAGCCCTCCGGAGTTCCGAGTCCGAAAGGTCTCTGCAGTTAGTGATTTCGCGCCCATCAGTACAAAGGTCAAGAGGTGCGCGTTGTCCGATATCGCGGCAGCTATGACTGTTCAAACTAATATGTGGTAGGCGAAAAACTCCTGCATCTCATGGTAGAGCTCAAGAGTGGTCGTACCAGATATTCAGATGGCCCTTGCTGGTGTGTTTTGTCCGTTACCTAGACAAACAATGGCTGACGTGGAACACAGCTTATTCTGTTCTTGATCATATTCGCCGAGTTCTATCTATATGTGCTAATACGTCAGATCGTCAATGTATTCGAATGGGTGCTCGCATGTGAGGCATTTGAGTATATTTAGCTGTCCTTGCTGTGCTGACTCTGTCATCCAGGGAGGGGGCGCAAGCGGTTGCTTCGGAGAAAACTCCGTAGTGCCAAAACATACGAAGAGTGGAAGAGCGCGGCTACGATGATGGATGAGTATCTGGACTTCAATATATGGAAACATGTGCGCATACCAACCCGTGCAGTGTCGGTTATATTTACGGTTCGCAACAGATAGACGAAGATCCATACTATGATTATCAACTGGTGAAGAAGGTAACGTCCATACCTATCTCCCCTGTGGAATGGTGATACAATGAAAATCAGGTCCGACGATCACTCAGGCTTCACAAAGAGAGAAATGACATTCGGGGCTTGATTGGGGTCCTGGAAGTCTGCCTTCGGCCCAATTTTGCAGGCACAGAGAATCCCCGGCTGTATAGTGAAGTAAGTCCACTGGTCATAGTCTGACTTGTGATGCTAATCCGATACCTGTAGACATTTTACGGCACCAAGATTCTCCTTGAGTCGTACGTAAAGGAGGTCGAGTCCTGTCTGGCGTTCGTCCGCAACAGCAACGAAATCACGGTTGAAGAGAGGCGAAGGTTCTTCCGAGACGTCAACCGCGGTTTGGGAAGCTCCGCCCTATGCCTTTCCGGAGGTGCCACATTTGGTTACTACTCCTTCGGTGTTATCAAGGCATTTCTGGACGCCAACCTGCTCCCCCGCGTCATTGCTGGCACGTCAGCCGGAGGCCTTGTGGCCGCCTTGACTTGCACGAGAACGGAGGAGGAGCTGCGACAATTGCTTGTACCCAGGCTCGCAGACAAGATCACTGCATGCGAGGATCCATTCCGGGTGTGGTTCAAGAGACTCCGGCAGACTGGGGCGAGGTTTGATACTGTAGCATGGGCTCGAAAGGTGCGCATATATGCACAGCACTCGGGCATCTGCTAATCACCCGCAGGCGACATTCTTCACTCGCGGATCCCTTACTTTCAGGGAAGCGTACGAGCGTACCGGCCGAGCACTGAACATATCGGTTGTTCCATTCGATCAGCACTCTCCTACAAAGCTCTTGAACTATCTCACCGCGCCAGACTGCGTCATCTGGTCGGCTATGATCGCATCTGCAGCTGTACCTGGAATTCTCAACCCAGTGGTTCTGATGCAGAAGACGAAGGATGGCAGCATAATCCCATGGAACTGGGGTTCTAAGTTCAAAGATGGAAGCTTGCGGGTCGATATACCCATACAATCACTCAATATCCTGTTTAACGGTGCGCATATATTGCTGATCTGTGGTGTATTAGCTTATTTTCGATCTAGTCAATCACCCTATCGTGTCACAAGTTAATCCGCATGTACATCTATTTTTCTTCGCTCCGCAAGGATCGCCTGGTAGGCCTGTGGCTCACCGGAAGGGCAAAGGTATGTAGTTGCATGCTTTCACGCGCTTCCGTACTTAGCAAGACATCAGGCTGGCGCGGCGGGTTTTTCCTTTCCGCTGCTGAACAATATCTCAAACTCGAATTGACGAAGAACTTCAAGGTGTGTGTTTCATGAACGAAATTGGATGACTCAAGTTAAACTAGGATTAGGTTATTCGGGACCTGGAGCTCATGCCCCAGCTGTTAGGCCAGGACTGGTCCAGCGTCTTCCTCCAAAGGTTCGACGGATCAGTCACGTAAGCCCTACCTGACTCCTCTTGGTGGGAAAATCGCTCATTGACGTGTTGTACCAGAATTTGGCCAAAGACTCGTTTCATGGTAGGCTCTCGGCTCTGTTCTCGAGTCAAGTTTCTCATCTGTGTAACAGGACTGGATCAATATTCTCACGGATCCAGATCGCAAGGAGCTGGAGCGGAAAATGCGTGTCGGGGAGCTCGTCACTTGGCCCAAGGTTCGTCTCTTTGTCGAATTGCATCTAACCAACTCTCTCACCTCAGCACTAGCTACACATGATTGAGAACCGTTTCCTTCTTGAGCGTGAAATACTACGAGGTCGCCTCGCGGTCCGGCAGACAGCAGTTGTGCGAGAAGCTGGGCTTGGCCTTACTCTTGACAAAGTGGCCGCCCCGAACCAGCCTGTCAATGCAATTGAGAAGCCGACCCCGGATGGAGATGTTCTCCCTGAACGCGTGCGCCGCAAACGTCAAATCTCCATCGATTCGGATGCCGAGTCTGGTTTCAACAACGAGAAGGGTGTTTTGCGACGATCCCGCCTTTCTGCGACATCCCTACCCGATGACGCGGTCTCTGTACGGTCACTCCCTGCATCATTCGGCTCGGATTGGCTAAACGCCCCACCGGTTGGCCCACGTAAAAGACGCGCAGGTCGTGCTTCACCTGCCAAAGGAGACAATAAGCTCCGTGAGCCATTTCTAAGGATGCCTGGATACCCCACGGTTGACAAACTATTTTAGCAAGCACAAGCACGACGCCAGCTCACCCTACTAGGAGTCCGAGCTTCATATCCCGTTTACGGTCTCCTTTTGTTTCCGCGTTCGCATTCCATAGGAGTCCACATTCTACGCCGCCCGAGATCAAGGAAGAAATCGACGAAACAGAGCAGCCATTGCAGGACTCGAGTTCAAGCGACACTGAGACGGACATCGCATGGCTTGCGGAACGAGCGGCACAAGCCTCACCGAGTTTCATGCGCCTCGACGACGGCGCAGGCATGGATGAGGACGACGACTCCTGACTGTCTGTAATATCATTAGGCGATAGGACGTATAGCAGCGACGACTACGACAGTAATACGCCTTATCTTTATCCGTGTTGCGTGTTGTCTCAAGTGAATCCACCCATATCAGGAGTCAGGGCAACTCGATACTGCGCTGTTAGTGTGCCGCCACCTAGGCATCCATCGCCCTCTACATGCTGGACCACTCAGGCCTCCAAGTTGACCAATGACCCCACTGTGCGCGCATGTGAACATCAAGATCCTGAAACTCTGAGTTGCAAAGGTGAGCGCGGGCAGCGCGGCGAACCCGAAGTGAAAGGCCGTGCTGCCGTGCACACCATATGCTGCTCTTGTTCTCGAAACAAACTACAACCTAAACTCTCGCGTCGTCTCCGATGGCCGAGATAGAGATAAGGGAGAAGAAGCATGACCACAAGGATAGAACATTAGACTCGCACACACATGATTATCATACCTTAGAAAAGGTCCGTATCACCTTCCTATCACGATGTACATGTCCAGAAGGAGCTTTGTTCAAGGGCAGCAGCACGCTTACCGCGATTTCGTCTCATTATTGTCGAGTACGCGGAATAAATGCACTGCAATGAGAGCGCATTTACGCTGCAAATCGGTACCTGGTCCGCGGACTAGGCTGACTTTAAGAAGCATCCCTGCCTGCGGCATGCCCAATCAGCTGCCTCGTGGAGTATGTTTTCGAGCGTCTCTCATCTGTGCCGTCAGGTCGTTGACACACGACCATATCTAGCAGCTCAACTTCGCTGCCAAGAATGGAAATAGCAGATGGGTGACCAAGTTGGAATAGACTCCCTGAGGCGTCTTTGTTCTGACCGCATCCAGTAATTACATACGAAGCAGCACGCACAGGATCAGAAGCAGCATCGCAGTTTCTACGCGAACGTCAGTCGCTGATGTTCCGGAATATGCCTTGTTATTACAGTTGCGACGGAGTTTCAACTCACGACGCTATTATGAAAGAAGCGATTTAGCACAGCTCCGCGGACATGAACAACGGTTTCTACCTGTGCCATGAGAGTTGCTCTGCACCACCTGATGCCGACCGTCGTGAGGTTAGCTTTGGCTAGATCGGTGGGATGCTACAACAGTATCACTTACTGATGCCGCGACTGGCACACACACGGCATCCGTGCAGCAACAGTCGGTCCGAAGCACAGCACGGTCGATAAGATAGAAGATTACAGTTCTGCTAGTAGCATGGTACCCAAGCTCTGCACTACTTGGTCACCCATCGCCTTCTCGACAGCCTCTTCCAAGTGTCTCTTCGGATCTTGTTTCCCAACATGCCGGGTCTTCAATTGCTCAGCTGTTAACGTAGACTCTTCCTGCACAGACTTATTGTACGCTTCTGATAGAGATTGCATGCCCTAATATACGGCAGCCCCATCAGAGAGTGACTTCATAGTAAACCAGATGATTCTCACCTTGATCGCCTTCTCATTCGACTCCTTATGCATATTGAAGTCTTTCAGCTTCAATCCCTCTGTCCAATTCCGCTTGTGAAGATTCATGAGCATGCCTTGCTCTTGTTCAGTTTTGCGGTAGTTAATGGCAATACTGTAATAATGACGGTTGAGGCCGTGAATTAGAGATTGAATGGAGGGCTTGTTGATATGACCGATGTTAGACGTAGTTTGTCGTGGCTCTTGCCCGAGGACCACGGAGTGAGGGTTGATGAGGCGAAATGCGTCAATGACGACTTTTCCTTTCACTGACTGTATGGGATCCACGACCACAGCGACCGCGCGGGTATTGAGGGACTCAAAGGACTGCCATAATTTCAGCAGTGAAAACACCTAATAGATGCATACCACATACTTGTTGGGTGTTGATGTCGACGCTGGACAGCCAACAACCAAACCCAGGATGAGAATGGTACCAACCGACAACCATTTCTGGCCTGTGCACCGTCAGATTCGACGCATATATGTGGATCATATAGATCACTCACCGACCAGTTTGCTTTAGCATATCCATCATCTTAGTCTGGAACACATGGTCCACGGATTCGACGGACACAGTTGTTCCTGACTGAGGCATGGCAAACACATCAATAACTTGCACTGTGTAGTCGTCGACAAATTCTCCCAGCATCAGTCCCATGACTTCCATTGGCACCCCCGCACGCCCGTGCTTCAGCATCTTCAGGAGGGCAAGAGAGGATATATGGATGACTTCCCCGCTGTGGATATGTATCAGCACGCCGGACTATCGAGGACAGTGTATGCGCACTTGTCCGGTATGGGGTGGTCGCCTCCTGGTGCAGCCTGACCCCGCTGCTGAGCGGCTACCTGCTGCATCATTCTATCAAGTCCCGCGCCGTCCATTCTGAAGTATACACGGAGATCACAGGGGGAAGTACAAGTAAAAGGTCTTGCGGGGCGTTCTGCGCTGAGTGCAGGCGATTTGGCCCGGGCGACGCGTAATTCAGGGAGGTCAGTGGCGTCTGAACTGGAAAGTTCCGGTTTGCCACGTGATGCGAGGTTGAACGACCTCTTGTACTCTCTCCGCCACATTCAAACCTTTGCACTCCTGGGTTGATGCAGCACGTGAGCTTGGTTTGCGTGCAAAGCTCTAGATGAACATATAGATGCGATCGTTATAGTCACTTTATTACGCTGTTGGCTTCTTTTTGCACGTCCGCCAGAGTGGCACGCCGGACACTCGGTCTTCATGCATCGCTGCTCGTCGTGGTCCAACTTCTTCGGAGTCTGATCACTCAAGATGCACTGGCGCATCTTTCTGCGGAGATTCTTACCTGAGCTTTATGGTTCCCCATCTAGAACTGCCCCGAAACGTGTTCAAGCCTCATCAGCCCCACCGGACGGTACCGCCAATTGCACGGCTCTCCGATCGGTCCGCTCAATGTATCATGTCCCCGCTCGTGAGTGTCCACTTTAAGATCTTCTACGGAACACTTGCGAGTTTATGTTGGCTCAAGTCTTTAGCCTATGGATTGGTCTGTGCACGTGATGAACTGCGCGACTCTTGTCATGCCGAAGGGGTGTCCACAAATTGGCCAATCGGCGGGCTCCGAAATGACCAAGTATTGGGTGGACATCGATTCTGTGGCTTTTGTCCATGACTCGGTGAGAAATACGCATCACATACTCTTCCTGGACGCTGAAATGCCAAAAATATGCGGTTTCGATACCCTTGCTCGTCCTCGGCTTCCTCGGTCAAAGAGGCTTCGATGCAGCGAAGTCTGCGACCTTCTGCGTCGAGCTTGGGCACAAACAAGTTCAACTCTATGTGGCGGATTGCAACATGTGTAACGATGAGACGTAAGCGATTTCTATGGAGCCGATGCTGGGTGCGGCGTGGACATCACTTCCCGTCTACCCCAGCGTATTCGATACCATTATTCTGACGGCCAAATTACCCCGAACTCGCGCCGTGAACATCCTTGGTTGGCGACGACACTATCTCCTACCACTCGATGCGATGTTTTGCGGTGTGACGTTTAGATGACCCACACGAAGGCTATCGGCGCCACGGTCCGGGCGGAACACGGAGTTGCATTCATGGCCTCACACTAGGTGTATTCTATGGCTGCGGATCCAGATTTCAGACCTCGTGTTTCGCTTATTGCCTGTCTAGGGCCGTGATAATGAACTGGAGAGTTGTTCCGGATCCTCGCTATGGGCGACTGGTCCATTTCAGCTAGGGGATGGGAAAAAAAGGAACGGTGGGTGGTCGATTGACTCAGCACCTGTGTGAATCCTCTGATACGTTCTAGGCAGCGTACTGAGCATTCATTTGAGGATATCTTTTCGAGGCTTCGCCGCACCATATCTCTCGTCAAGCAGTCGGGCACGAAGCGCCCGTGGCTGTGTCCATCAGCGGCCTATCGTCATCAGGGTTACATCTTGCGCCTCCAGAGGTTTCTTATGTATTCTTCTGAAGTATTCCGACCAACCAGACGACGTGTATTTGCTACCCACTGCCTTCTCTTAGGCATCGAGAAGCTGGTCTATCCTATCATGTGGGAAGTCTAGTGGGTCGGGACAACGTTGCGTCTAAACTCAGCGGTTATCCGCCCCCTTATTCAAAGACTGGTCCCCTCTATCGCGTGGCCATCCTCAACATCATGGCCTGACAAGGACGAAGGTTGGTTCCGTCATTCGCGAAACGCTCATTTCTAATGCGAGTGTTATCATTGGCTAACACCGTCCTTCTGTCAGTCTGAATAGCTATCCACGGCCATGGTGAGGCTCTCAAAGTCCCCTATGGATTCCCCAGTTCTCCGACGGCCCCCAATCCGGCAGAGTCTCGGAATTGAAAATGTTCTTTTCATGCCAGGTACGTCGTGCTTTGGCGACTGTTTAGTGGCTGGGGCATGGCGCTGTGCCCGAATGCTGGCCGGAAAGCACCCCGCGTACTGGTAGGAAAGGGAGACTTGGTCTCGAATGTACCTAACCTGTGCATGTGGAGCTCCGCCTGTACGTTGACAGACTACAACTTACCCAGTTTCAGGCCTCGATTCGCCCATACCGCAAGCGTTCACATCTTCTGCTGTCGGCGGTCGGAGCAGCGCTTGATTGCCAGCGCTCGCATCGCGCATCGCTCGTCGTGAACGCTACCAGCAGGATAGTGATGGTCTTTTCTCGTGATCAGCGATGCTCCATATCTGGATCACCGCGGACGTATTTTGGTATCCTATTTCCTTCCCCGCACTTTGCGGTCTTTCTTGTGAACGAATTCATCATAGGTTGCTGTGCGATGAGCCGCGGATGCTCCAATCAGGATAGCTTCGCGTATGTCGTAAGGTTAAAACAGCTAAAATGGACAGAACAGTGATGCGGAAGTCCAGCAAATCTGGCCTGGTTGTCGGAAGAATGCTGATTGGGGATGGGAGAATTGATCGTTGTACCTGATCCGAGCACTGCGGGCAAAGGCATTGTCAGGCCAAAGGACTTCGCGAAGGGCTGGACCAGAAGCGAATGAATAGGTGTCACCTGCCTTCTCCCAGGTTCCGACTGTCGAGAACTCGGGGCGGAGAGGTGTGGAGGGACCGGGTCGTGAATGCGCTTGTCCGTCATGAATATTCCCCATTCTTGACGGGCGCATGTGGCCCCCAGACCATGCGCCAATCGCCTGTGTTTCCTGCTCGATATAAGGAGCCAGGTTCAGGGCTGTTCAAATCGACTGTGTTCCCCCCCGCCGCTGTCGTTCGTTGTACTGCCCAACCGTTTCTCTCCAAGTTATATCCTCGGACGCTAAATCAATTGGGCGCCGTTCCCTCCAAGTGGCATCAGCACCCTGACATAAATATTTTGATCCCATCCCCGCATCATGTCCCTTTTCTACTTCGCGGTCATGTCCCTCTTCTCGGCCACTGGACTCTTCAAAGAGGAGAAGGAGCAGGACGACATATCAACAGACCTCGACGAGAAATGTGTCCCATTCTCACTCGACGCTTGTCGATTCTGTGCCGAACCATGTGATGAAGACCACCTGGAGTATCCGGCAAAGCTCGACGTGGATCAGACTCCTGGCATGTTCGGGTCGGTCAAGCCCTATGCACGCCAAGTGAGCCTGATGCGATTTGATTCAAGTCTATCAATTATCTAATGTCGTTGCTACCCGACTTCCCTCAGATTGTTATCTCAACCGGCAAGACCGACTGGCCACGGGAGATCACCGAGGAGGAGGACAGCCTCGCACAGCACGTCGCTCAGGTGAACGCATGGCGGACGCTGGAGCGACAGGTCAATGCTGCCTCTGAGGCAGCTCATGGTGCTGAAAAGCAGCTGGTGAATGGCTTGGCCAAGTTGTCGCTGGACGACGGTACAACGGCAGTTCCTACGCCAACAGACGCACATCCGCCGATCCTGGAGCCTTCTCCAGTCAACCACGATGAACATCCAAAGTGGGACGGGGTTTGGCAGTCGCAGGATCCATCCGCCTCTCGTCTATCCATCCTCAACGGCTCCCACACCGCTTCCGAGGATGGGATGGCTAACGTTCTCATCTTCCCGGACTACAAAATGGTTCGAGTGGAGGAAGGCCGGGAAGGCGCCGAGACACTATGGGAGAATGCATTGAACCCGGACCTACGTCTGGCCGGTAAGGGCTCCGAGCACGAGAGCAAATCATACCTGTTGCCCTACTCTTGTGTGATTCTTCTATGTACGCATGTCTGCTCCCCCACCGTGTTCTCTAACGTACATATGCATAGGCTCACATAAGCGACGCGATAACCGTTGTCACATTGTCGCCCCCAAGCTCTTACAAGGTTCGTTGACGTTGTTTACCATTCCGCTTGCACTCGGCTAATCTGTTTGGAATTTAAGCTTTCACTTCTCAGCTTGAGTACGAGGGATGGCAAGTGGATCACAACATCGATGAGAACTATGATGACTGGGGTGATTCGCTGGAGTCTATCACGGGCCTCACTCAAGACGAACGTGAGATGATCGTCGAGAAGCGTCTGGCGGACCCCGAGCGTCGCGAGAATAAACGCGTGCTCATCCTTCGCAGCTCTCACGTCGGCGGGCATAAGTATGCTGGCAACGTCATCGTGAGCACTACACTACCGGAAGAGGTGGGAACCGCGCTCATTGTTTCCACCAGCTCGCCTTCCCCACCCGTGCTATGGTCTGGTACGGCCGTGTGACACCACATGAAGTTGCATCCATCGTTAGTTGCCAAGTGTGTGCCTCGTATCCTTGCTGACTCGCCGTTCATTGCAGGTCAAGAACACAATCACGGACGGCAAGGTGTTGCCGAAACTAATGCGCGGCGGCATGAACCTCTCCCGGAAGTGTGGAAAGCGTACATTGCTGGAATGGTAAAACGCCTTCTTGTTGAGTGAAGTAATGAAGGCGGACTTGTTGGCTAGTTGGGGTAATATTTCGGCATTGTAAAGTAGTAGAGGATCTCTGGGCATTGTACAGTGGTTACAGATATCGGCCAGTACAACACCAGTTCAATGTACATTAGCTTGCAATCAATTCATACACTCCAATCCTGTTCACATTTTGCAGCGAAAAACAATTCAAAGGTCATACATCCATTTCAACTGCTTTCGATACAAGTACACAGAGGTTGTTTCTTGGTTTGTTCATCGCCTCTACGACCCGTGAGGACATGTACAACTAATAGCACATCCGCACACAAGACACAGAGTTGAGCATGGAGTGCAGGCGGGGGAGAGGAAAGGGGAAGCGACGACAAGGGAAAGAGAACGTACAGGCTGGTATGGGACGCTGAACCGAAAGCGGCTCAGGTCAATTGGGAGGATAATTATAATGTCGAACGTTAGGTTGGAGAAACAGATCGGATATCGAGACTTGGGAGTTAGCATTGGTGAAGGCCAAGTCGAGGTGTTGGAAAGGATTGGATGTAGCGATCAAGGATCGACGTCCATGCGGTCGTTCGCCCGCCTTCGTGCATTACGGCCAGCGGCCACTTCTTCATTCAGCTCATCTTCAGACCTTTCGACCTCTTCATCGCTTAGAGCTTCGTCGTCCTCAATGTGAATGTCACGGGCTTCAAGGAAGCTCGAGGCATTCTGAAGGACGCTGTCGCCAGTATAGGTGAAACCCTTGAAGTTATCCTGCACCGAGCTAGTTAAGGGGCTGCCCTGTTTGAGGTTCTGAGGCTTCTGCCCGGAGATATTCATCGGTCGTTGTTTTGCCTGAGTGCCTTGCGGGCCGTTGAACGTCTTCTGCCCATTGGTTCCTTGCCTTGTCCAATCATCCGAAGTATCTTCGGTATCATAGATGTCGATACCAACTTCGGCAAGATCCGCAGAGGTGAACTCAGGATCAAAGTTGGCTGTAGACTCGTCAGACTCGACGTTAGGCTTGAAAGGAGGGGTGATCTTCTTCTGTGCAAGAAGGATCCAGTCAATCCCGTGGAAGAATGGGTGCTCCTTGAGCTCCGCGGCGTCCCTCAAAGCACCGAGACGATGCTTCGGGTTGCGGTTCAGAAGCTGGAACTGCGTTAGAACCCGGCACACGGTTCCATAACCTGAAACGAACTCACCCCCTTGACAAATTGCTTGCCGTCCTCGGAAATGACCCCGCGGGGGAATCTTATTTTTCCGAAACAGATGTTTTTGTACATCTGCTGGGTGTCCTCGGCGTAGAACGGGCTCCAGCCGCAGCACATCTCGAAGAGCAACACGCCCAGCGACCAGAAGTCGACGAGCTTCGAATAACCGTGATCGTCGAGTAGCACCTCAGGGGCGAGGTACTCCGTGGTACCGCAGAAGGTGTTCGTCAGTTGGTCTCCTGGTAGATCTGGCTTGGATAGACCAAAATCGCACAGGGCAACATGGCCGGTGGCGTCGAGGAGGATGTTTTCCGGTTTCAAGTCGCTGACGTCAGATCAGCAGATGTACCCTAGATATTGGGCTGATTAGACTTACCGATAAACTATGTTGTATTTATGGAGATGCTCCAGAGCAAGAACAAGCTCGGCAATGTAGAACCTCGCGCGCTCTTCGGTGAATCGTGTCTCTTTCTGCAAATGCCAGAACAGTTCTCCACCGCTCTTGAAATCGGTCACGAGGTACAGGTCGGTCTCGGTTTGGAAGGAGAACTTGAGACCAACGAGGAAAGGGCATTCCAGCGATCGTTGCAGAATCTTGCGCTCGCCTATAGTGTGCGCTACTTCTTTCTTCGCGACGATCTCCTTCTTCGAAAGGACCTTCATGGCATAAATACGCCTCGTGTCCTTCTTGCGTACCTGGAACACCCGCCCAAAGGTTCCACGGCCGATTAACTTCATGAACTCAAAGTCACGCGGTGACAAATGGTGTTTCGTTTTGTGCTGCTCATATCGAAGCTGTATCCTAATCTCCCCTGATACCTGTTCGGTCGCATCACGAGCACGAAGCCTAGAACGCAAAATGAGGGCGCATACATGAAGGCACAGAAGGAGTTACGTACTTGTACCATTGATCCACTGTATGCTCATGGATCAAGACCGGCTTGAGATCCAAAGCACCCAGGAACACTTCCGGGTCGACCGACCGGTCGTACACGTTGAAGGAGATATACGATTCGTCAGAGGTCACATCACTGTATCCCAATGCGGATTAGCGTTGAAAATTTGTCGTCTCAGGCGAAAACTGTACGTACAAGGATACCTCGTGCTTCCAGACCGGATTATATGGAGAGGCCGTTCCGAAGAGGGTTGCTCCCAGGCCGTTGGAAGACTTTTGAGACCCAATGGAGGAGTTGGTGTCTTTCCTCGACCGTGGTTGTAGACTCAAGTTTCCAGCAGCCCGTTCCAGCGTCACGAGCGCCGTGCTTGAGTTATTTCTACTCAAATTCGTCGCGATGCCCTTTGCTTCCCTCTCTGTCTCAGGGATAGGATCCCGTCCGACGAACTCATTCTGCTCAAATTGTACTACGACGTAAGGCTTCGAATGCGGGGAGGGTACCCGTAATCCTCGGGCTTGGATGAGCTTGACGTGGATCTGACCACGGGAGGAAAACGTGTTGCCTGCATTTGAGGACGTTGTTTGGGCGGTGATACTCCTCTTAAGGGGCGGGGGTTTCATTGCGAACTCGGGAGGGTGGAGGGAGAGTTGGGTCGTTGCTGGAGTGCTGAAGCTCCCACCAGGGGAGAGGGGACCGGTCGGTGTTGCGTCACCTCGGCCACCGTAGCTTGTGATGTGAGCGTTTAGGAGGTGATGATGGAGATTATGTGTGCCAATGGTAGGCGTGCGCGTGCCCGAAGCGGCTGGGGTGCGCTGACCAGAAGTCTGGGGACCTGGGGATGGGGATGGGGACATGGCGGTTTCGGTCAAAGTGGGGACAGAATTCGGCTGAAATTGGCCGGGTTGAGCGGTGCCGTTACGCGAGTGATTCCTGCCTTCAGTCTGACCGAGCAGCTGCTGCTTGCCGTTGGTGGCAGCGTATGCTGCTGCGTGGGCGTCCCGTGCTTGCAGCTGATCGTGAGGAGGCAGGGTCGAAGTTGCTTGTACCGTGGCGGAAGAAGTCGCCGGGGACGCGGGAGCAGCCTGTGCAGCGGCCATATCGAATGGGTCGCGCTCGTATACGGTGCCGCCCGCCTGGGAAGCTCTTGGTGTTGTTTGGTCAGCCAGACCGGATGGCCAGAATCTAAGCATTGTTGGTATTGTATTCGAGGTCGTCGCGGAACTGATGTGGAGGAGATGGTTGATGAGCGGGAAAAAGAGGGAAGACTCGAGGGGAATTAAGGCAGTTGCTAATCGTAGAGCGGGGCCCTTCCGGGGAGCGAGGTGTTTGCTCTCTCTCTAGTTTTGCGCTTCCGTCCAGCTGACACTCGTGGTGGCGTAATAATCGCGATATGTCCCTGATCAGACCCTGCAAATGCTCTTTACACGTTAGAGCGAATAAGTGAAAAATTGTTATAAGAGTGCGGGTAAGTTGAGAATAGTTTAGTTTGCCGTCCGCACTTTTTGCCAAGTTGTTGATGGTAAGAAAGAGAGAAGTGATGGGGAGATTATGGAGCGCTAATCAGTGGGCTTGAAGAGAGGGGCGTGATTCTGAGCCTCCGTTCCCGTTTGAATATTCGGACAGGCCCGGCCGGCTTGTTACCCGCCTCGAGGTACAGTACCTATGACGTAGGCATCTCCCACTCCCGTCCCTTTTCCTTCCCCTTCGCACATTTACCCGCTATTAACCGCTCCACGTACGTTTTAACCTTCATTGTCCACGGATTAACCAATTGTTATTATCATCCCTTCACTTCACTTCTCCCACATGTTCCTTCATCCACACTTGAAACTTACGACCCAGCGACGTCGTAAGCCCAAACCCAGCACCCAGCACCATCATTTGGTAAACTTGCCGCCGAGGCATTCGATCTGTTTTCTCATCAGCCCCTTTATGCGCCTCCCAAACACGACCGGCAATATAATCCACAGATAGTTGTAAAAAGATGAGACAAGGAATGAGGAGTGAAGCAAGTTCCGTCGTACACAGCATTTTCCTACAGATCCGCTGACCTGTGTTGTGAGGGGGCTGTTGCACAATCCCACGTCTCGGAGCGGAGATGCTCCGGCATTCAAACATTCCCCAAAAGCAGAAAAAGTTCCCCCAAAACGGAAGATAAGCAGCAAGAGGTAATGCTTACAAACAGCACTGACAACCACACCGCTCCCCACACCCGCGAGGATGTCCGCCCACTCCTTCATACCGGCGTACTGGCCCACATCCCGCCAACCAACGTACAGACATCCCAGACCGCCCAGCTGCAGCCCACGCCACGCGCCGCCCTTGATGCTCCCAAGGATGACCCTGTAGTTCTTCGTCTTCTGGTAGAAATACCACCCCTCCATCGTCGTTGGTGCCCGGTGTGTGTTTTCTGCTGCGAATCGCAGGCCGGCCATCCGCCCACCGCGGATACACCCAGTCATCGCCCCGAGCGCAAACAGCAAACCGGGTATGACGATATCCTCTTTTGGAATGTCGGGTAGGTGAATCGCACGCGCTTTACGCTCTTCTAGCGTGAGCCCGCTGCTGGGGCCGGCCTCTGGTGGTGTGGTCATGGTGGATTGGGCCAAGGGATGTGTACGCGTCCCCAGTGCACAGAGCCCTGACAAGCCGAACAACAATCCGGTGGGGTGGAAATATTCAGGACTAGAAGCACCCTTAATGAGCTTCTTGTGTTCCTTGGCATCAGCTTCGGTGATTGAAGCAGATTCTATCGTCTATTTCTCTATTCCCTTGTTGCCTTGTTCTTGCAGGTCACTGGCAACGGCTTGATCGAGAGTGATCGACACTCATCACCATATATAATCACACAGATCCGTGATATCGGACAGGTATATGTCTTGACACCCGTCCTTATCATCTATAGGTCTCAACAATAGGTGTCCCACATTAGACCTGCTAGTGGAGAATGGGTCGTGTGACAGCCCAAGTTTAAATCGCGGTCCGCCGGGCTGTCCATCCGACCGAACTGTAAAGCGCTTCCCTGACTTCGGACACACACCCGCTTGCTTTCATCCCGTCCACTAGGTTGTCAGCAGGTGCTCATTCATTCCCCAACGATCGAAAGTGAATTCTACCGCGACGTAAAACATATCAGATTGGACGGTCAGTCCGGGCATCAGGACCTAAGCCAGCGGATCCGCTGACCTGACCAAGCAACAAGGGGTGGGGCGGGCGGTGCACGGACCGTATACAGAATTAGCAAGCACGTTGCTGCCAGAAGGTGCAGACGTCGACGAGGAAGCGTCAAGCTTGTCATTGGATATGTTTAGACGACCCCACAGCGTTGACAAGAGGATCCGGATGGTTTGGATGGCTTTGAGGTCACAGGCTCGCCCGAACATGCCTCCATCTCTCGGCACGTCTACATGCCGCGACAAAGGGTGCATAATTAGAGCTCAACCAAGGACGTACAAAGAAGCTGTAGAAACAGACTTTACCAGACATGCTACTTATTGAGAGTGACGGATGGTCCTACCATCATACGCTCGTTCTTCACCTTGCTCCAGACTGGTATTAATCCCATCGCCTTGGCCCGCCTGATTGCCTTTCCCATCCTTCGCTGACTCCGCCACGTCAGTAAGGATTGAGCGCGGCGCACGATCCTCCCGGTCTCCGTCACGTACTCGTTGAGGAGTTGAATGTTGCGATATTCGTCTAGCGGGTCGATTTGGTTGAGCTGGAAGGGGTCGACTTGCATAGCGACTTTCTTCGATGGCCCGAGAATTCGGCGTGACTTCCTTTGCCTACCACTGAATTCGCGATTATCTACGCTCTGGCTCCAGGGTGCGTAAGCCTAGCAAGTACGCGATGAGCGAGAGGAGGCACATAAGTTGGTACGACGTACTTTGTCCGGGAAGAACCGTCTTGTGCGTTCCATGGTAAGGACTGCTTCTACATCTGGTGATAGATAAGACAATATCTTAGACTTTAACGACATATAAATTCACCAGCAGACTGAGAATCCAAGCTACTGGCAAGACGTTCATAAGCATCTCCTTGTTCTGCGCCTTGCTCTGGTTGCGTCGTCGGCGCGTAACGGCGGACACAGGTTGGTGAGAAAGCACCGAATCGCCTTGCAAAGGAAGGGCCGGCGACAACGGATCGTGGTAGTGACGGTAGGCGAGGTATCACGAATGGGAACATGGCGATAAAGGTGGAAGCGGTGAAATGAATGTCTGGTTGGTGCTTGTCGATCCCTTGACGGGTCGCCAAAAAAAGGAAGACACGGGCCAATTGAAATCTCGAAAAGGCAGGTGGACCTAAAAAGGAAAGCGGGAGCAAATAAAGAAGGGACCAAAAGCGTCATGAGACCCAGAATGACGAGGGGTCTTGCACTAGGGGAAATTACAAAGTCGCGAATCGACTCCTTGTTCTCCGTGTCACCCATCTCCTCTCATCCCTTCCCATCGTCCCTCCCCATCCCCCTCCCTTCGTCCTCGCCGTCTTATCCTCTGTTGACAACGACGACAGCCATACATTAGGGCAGCGAGCTCGCCCATCAGGGACGGCCTTCATAGGTCTGCTTCTTGTCTAATCGCCTCCCTTTCGCCAGCGATGTGCATCTGGTCTCTTATTGGCAGCATTTAGCCTGCGATACTGCGACCCTGGGCTCACCCACGACACTCTTATCGTCAACCGTTTCATCTCGTCCATCCTTGCATGGCACGTCCCAACTCTTTGCAGATGTTTGCAAGTTCACCCCCTACCCTGCCATTCACCTCTGTACCATCCTCCACAGCCACCTCCCCGTCACCCAATGCACCAACTCCGGCTTCGACCCCTGCGCCGCCGACGGGGACCTCCCCTTCGGCTTCGCAAATTTCTGTTGCCTCACACCCTTCCTACATTCAACGGCACTTTCGCAGACGCTTACAGGCATCGAAACAAGCGTGCGACACCGAACTGAAAAAGGTTATACATGCGGTAACCGCGTACGTGGAACATTCCTTGCGAGCGCAGCAAGAGGCGGAATGGGAGGAAGAGGAAGAGGCTCGCTTGCACGAACGGGACGATTTACTCGCGGTCGAGAGCACGAGTGACGATGCTGGCGATGAGAGCGATGCTGGTGGGGGCGTTCGCAGGAAGAAGAAGGTTTCCAACACCCATCGACACAGGCGGAGCTTCATGCTCTCTTCAGGGACCAAGCTTCCACCCATGGGTGCCTCGACTGCGCTGGCCATTCCAGGCACCTCAGCCACGCATCCTATTCAGGCAGCGCCACAGGCTGGTGGACCGTCAACCAGCCCTGTTCGCATGTCCGCGTCGTCTTCACCGACCTCGACGTGGAACAGAACCTCAAATATTGTGGTTCGACGAGCCTCTCGATCCCGTCGATATACTTTATCTCCACCTCTGCCTGCGACTGTTCCCGGTAACGTTCCTCCGCCTCTCGCGCTGCAGCCTGCGCCTCTGCCTGGTGCAACTGTTCCCCTCCCCCCATCACTGGCCCCTTCTCGCGCATCGTCTCGCTCCCGTTCTCGGTCTCCTCTTCCTGCTGCAACCGCCCGCGCACGCTCTCCAATCGGATCGCCTACAAGTGAGCTGCCCCAGTCCGATTCCAGTCCAGCAGCAAAATTGGATTTTATTTCCACTTTGCGCGATCTCGTATCGCTCTCGACCACACTTGTAGAGATGCCTTTGTCTACCTTGACTTCCCCCAGCTCGCCCCATGCTCTGTCGGAGATCGTACAAAACGTGCAGGCCCTTGGAAAAGCATGGGACTTGCGGCCCGATTGGCACGGACGCGGCTGGTACGTGCAAGTCCTGCTTGCAGTCGCGAGTTTGAGCCGCGTTGTGGAATGGTGGCAAGCTGAGCGTGAGTTCTGGCATTTTGGGGAAGAGGGCGAAGATGAAGACGAGGGTGAGGTGGAAGGCATGACTTTCGTCCTCAAGCCTGCCGATGATGAGGCTGGCCGTGGCGGTAGCTCGAGCGGTGGTGAGGAGTCTACCGACAGAGAAAGGGATCACGAGAAGCACGAGGTGGAAGAAAGAAGCTTCTTTGATCGCGAGAGGACGGTTGTTCCGGACGACAAGATCCCCTCACCCTTGAAGATCACACCTCCGAAAGAGCGGGACGATCCTCTCTCCGGCACGCACTTGGTGCCGAGTGCGCCGTCCCCTATCAAGGACTTACCTAGTCGCGAACCACCGCTGCATGTCGAGATCAGCCGTACGAAAGCGAACGAGAACCTCCGCACCTCCGCCGAAAAGGCAATGAATGAGCAGGTCGTTATGGAGATCGGGTTGGATGGTGAGCGGATCTTATGGGTCAGCCCGAGTTGGGAGAGAGTTGTAGGGTACGTGTATGCGTCCTTTTCAGATGTCATAGCGATGCTGACTTCATTCACAGTGGACCTGCCGACAATGTCGCTGGCACGAGCATCGTTTCGCTGCTTGCCCCCGCAGATCAAAACGTGTTCGTCCAAGCTACGCACCACCTGGAAGTAGAGGACCCACTTACGATTGAGGCAAAATTCCTCATGCTCATTAATCCGCCTACCCGTCCCGCCCCGGAAGGTCTGCCATCTCCTCAAGACAACGGCCGGCCGTATTTCATCGAGATGGACGCCAGAGGGATGCTCGTCAAGGATCGCATCGGTGGTGAAGCCAGCCACACACTCTGGCTGTTCCGTCCTCTGCCGACTGCTTCGCCTATTTCCCCTAGTGCTTCCCAGCTTCAGCAAGATCAGTATGAGCCAATGGTTACCGGTCTGGGAGTAACCGGTGAACAGGAAGTCTCTGTTGCATTCCACGAACGGGGCAAGATGGAGCCCGTCACCCCTTTCCCCTTCCAACGACCCATCAACACCAGTACCATTCTTTGCCGGATATGTGAGCTGCAAGTTCCTGATTGGTTCTTCGAGAAGCACAACGAGACGTGCAACGAAGTCCACAAGCTCGAAGCAGATATTGTCGAGTGCGACGACAGTCTCCAAGAGCTCGTTAACACTATCGCGCAGATGGTCGTTTCGATCGACAGACTCGGGCAGGCCAGCCCTGTTCCCGGACAAACTGGTGCTGTCCCACCAGCTCAACCATCTGTACCTATGAGGGACCCGTTACCAGAATATCGGGGCGTGTCCCTCTTTACACCAGGCACTGCACCAAGCAGTCCCCTTCAAAGCGGTGGTCTTCGTACCAGCGCTTCCGCACGTTTGCAACGTGTGACAGTTCGCAAAATGCAGCGGAAGCTGTTGGAGGACTTGCAAGAGATTCTCCAAGCCGCGCGCGAAATCGATATGCCCGCCGTTAACGAGGACGCCCCTAACGTGCCTCTCGAACGCCGGCCGTTCCTGACACCCCAAAGTGAGGAGCGGGTCGCACTGGTTAACAAGTGGCAGAAACCGCAAACTGACGACCCCGCCCTTGCCCAGCTTGTCCAAGATGCTGAGACACTGATGCGCACAAAAGTCGAGTACGTCAGGAGAATGATCAATACTCTCATTTACTCGGAAAAAGTGAGGCACGAGTGGGAGGAGAAAGTTGAACAGACGCTGCAGGAACTTGAGTCACAGGAGGGAGACGATGCCGATAGCGAGCCCTCTGACAGTGGTCATGAAGAAGGTGAAACACCGGCCGCCCCGTCGACCGAACAACCCACGGTAGTTGCGCCTTCCCCAATTCCGTTCGAAGCCGCTCCTGCGTCATCCCTTGCCGCACTTCCAGCTCAGACTTCTATCAACTTCGTTCCGGTTCCTTCTCCAGCCTCACTCTCACCATCACCACCAGCCAGCCTTTCAAGTCTCTCATCTCCATACTTGCCTGTTTCTGTGTTACAATCCGCTTCTCCCCACCCCATCTCACCGCTCACGACATCCCCGTTGGTTCCATCACCACTAGCTTTCACCACTCCTATTTTGGCTCACCGTGAGTCTGACGAGCACCATTCGTCAGAGGTAGCATCGTCAGCTTCTGCGGATGCACAATCCTCATTACAGATGACCTTAGGGTCCCCTGCCGCCGTACCACCCACAGTATCTTCTATCCAAGCCCGTCGAACAGCGGTCAATGCATTGGCGGAGCCTACTGTCATGGTCACACCACCGTTTTCGCCTGCGCTTCCGGCCACAGCGCCTTCTTCAATAACACTTCCACCGGCCAACATGACCGCATCGCAATCGAGCATTTCGAGCAAGCATAACCGCCGCTTATCAACAGCGTTGCCGTTCAGCCCTGCCATGAGCGCAGGGCCTCTCTCCCCTCGCATTCCATCCATTGCCCCTACTTCTAAGACCACACCTTCCTCTATTCGGGATTTCGAGATCATCAAGCCTATTTCCAAAGGTGCCTTCGGATCAGTGTATCTGGCCAAAAAGAAGACCACCGGCGACTACTATGCCATCAAAGTATTGAAGAAAGCAGACATGATAGCCAAGAATCAGGTCACAAACGTGAAAGCGGAGAGGACGATTCTCATGCAGCAAGCGGATTCGCCCTTCGTCGTCAAGCTTTTCTTCACATTCCAGAACAAGGACTATCTTTATCTTGTGATGGAATATCTTAACGGAGGAGACTGTGCAGCGCTGATCAAAACCATTGGCGCTCTTCCTGAAGATTGGGCGAAGACGTACGTGGCGGAGGTGATACTCGGCCTGGAAAATATCCACGCTCGAGGCATCGTTCATCGTGACCTGAAACCGGACAATTTGCTCATTGATGCCCGCGGACATCTCAAACTGACCGATTTTGGTTTGAGCCGCATTGGTCTATTTGGCCGCCAAGCTCGTGATGGACGTGCTTTCGCTTACCGAAGGGGATCTGGAAACCACCGTGGCAGAGTGCCTCGCAGCGGATTTCCGTCCCGTCAGGGGTCCATAGACTCCGGTGTCGCATCTCCGTCACCTGAGGTCGCTGTGGAGACCCCGAACTCCTTTGCGCCATCATCCTATTTCACACGTGGCTTGTCACCATCGCATCTGTCCACCAGTGTTGACGATGTGAGTGAGTCCAGCGGATCAGAGAGCATATCAGGAATGTTCCAACGAGGATTGGCTTTGGCATCCGAAAGTCCGCAGCAGTCTTTCGCGTCCGAGCTCACCAGCGACCTGAGGTCTTACAATACTGGAGGCACGACACCACCTGGCGAACAAAAGTTCGTGGGGACACCAGACTACCTTGCCCCCGAAACGATTTTGGCTACAAGCGAGGATGATAGATCTGTCGACTGGTGGGCACTCGGCGTTGTAACTTATGAATTTTTATACGGTTTTCCTCCCTTCCACGCCGACAGCCCTTCACAAGTGTTCGACAACATCATTTCTCGTCGCATTGACTGGTTCGACGAGCACGTTGATTTCAGCAAGGACGCCAGAGACTTCATGGAGCGGCTTATGTGTACGGACCCAACCAGGCGACTGGGTTTCAAAGGTGCCCAGGAAGTCAAAGCACATCCCTGGTTAAGCGATATTGACTGGGAGCACCTGACCAGCAAGACCGCTCAGTTCGTGCCTCAAATAACCGATCCGGAGTCAACCGATTATTTCGATCCCCGCGGAGCGCACTTACTGCTCTTCCAAGAAGAGGAGCCGCTACAGGTGGCTGAGTCATCGAACAGTAGTCCTCGTGCCGAACGTCTTTCTCTACGGCCAGGATCTACCCATCCAATGGATACGCCAGATCCGGGGCTGTCACCTGCCATCGACGACTTCGGAGCCTTCAGCTTCAAGAACTTGCCAGTTCTGAAGCAGGCCAATGACGATGTCATCAAGAAACTCAAGGCAGAGAGCCCATTGCAGGGTCCAGGAAGTCTTCCCTTGATGTCCTTGCATGGCCGACGAAGCAGCATCTCACAGAGGTTTCGTAACAAGCAGACTCTGGGAATGGGAATCACCGTCGATGGCAAAGGCATCACCAGCCCACCGTCTCCTTCCACTTCCACTTCGTCCATTGCATCCACTCCCTCACGGGCGAACTTCCCGCCTCTCACCCTAGGCGGTAGTCCTGGACATGTACGGAGGCCATCAGAGCACGGTGTGTTGGATCGTTTCAAAACTCAGCACGAAGATGGCATCAGACGCAACTCGATGCCCAGCCGTCTGCGCACCGCATCTGTTTCCAGTGGTGGAGATCATACCTCAGGCACAGAAGGCACTAGTTCGTGGCAGCCTGCCCCCATGGAAGTTGGTACTCCAGCCACTTCTGTTGGCTCGCACGAGATGCGGCGCGGGAGTGACCCGAAGATTGACCGCACGATAGTCTGCTTGCTAGCCGAAGACAACGTCATCTCTCAGAAGGTTCAGGAGATTCTCTTGACGCGGCTTGGGTGTCGTTGCGTCCTCGTGTCTGATGGTTATGAGGCCATACTGGCTGCCTGCGGCGAAATTCGTAAGTAGATTCCCCCTTTCCGTTGCTCTCTGACTGACGATGCTTTAGAATTTGACTGTATTTTGATGGACTATCAGATGCCTATCCTCGACGGTGAACTCGCCACAAGATTCATCAAGGGCACCAATAACAGGAACAAGATGACTCCTGTCATCGCCGTCAGCGCATATAGTGCGCTTGATCCGTCTATCAACGCTGATCTCTTTGCCGGCTCCTTGTCGAAGCCTGTTCAGCGTGACGCGCTCCTTGCGGTCATGAAGAAACTCGGTTTCAAGGTGACGACGGAGACTCTTGGCTCCAAACAGACCCGGAGAGTTGTCGTAAAATGATTCTTCTCGCTTGTATCTGCAATATGCCAGGTTTGTGTTTGTTCTCCGATTGACTACCCTTCCACTTTCCTTCTGATGACCTCTCCCCGGTATTTCCCCCCTTCATGCACACATGCCCTTTCCCGCCACCCGCACTTCCTGTAGTTTTGTCACCGCAATGTACCATAGGACCCCCACACAATACATACCTTCCTCTTCATTGATTGCATAATGGTGTGTCATCGTACAGAATCATAATGGTGAGTAGAATACAGTGTGCACGATCAGAATATCAGGAACAGGTCTCATCGTTATTCCACATCCTGCCAGTCTTCCTCTTCCTCATCCCACCCAAACAGCTTGTGAGGAATACCCAATTCGTCAAGCATTCGACCCACCCCCCACGACTTCTTTTCTTGTTTCTTATTGACAAGCTTGAGCCTCTCTTCGATAGCACCACGTTTAGCATCCCCAGCAGCATCGTCAAATGCAAAACTTCCCCCAAGCGGTAATAGAGACTCCCTCTTCTTGAATGGCTTGTCTAGCGCGGCTTCAAGCTCCTTCCTGAGCCGCTCGGTGGATGGTAGTTCACTTTCTTCGTTATCGTCACGTTCATAATCGTCCTCGTGCCCGTCACCCTCAGCCATATGTTCATTGACAGTCCCCCAGCCCCATCCACTTTCAGGCTTCTTGCTGAAATCTAACCATCCCCAGCTCGTGTCGAAGCGTGACTGGATCTGTGGGCCGTAGCCCCAACTACTGCCCCCATAACCGGACTGTTTTTCCTCGGACTCGGGCATCGACTCGAGCATGCCCGAGTCCTTGACGAGCCTGTAGAAGTCCGTGATAATCTCGCGTCCTGCCGATCTCCACTTGACAATGAGCTCGCCTGTCGTGTCGTCATCTTTCGTAACATGGACAGCACGTTTGAGCAGATCCCGTTTTTCGACAAGAGTCAACTCCCGAGCTGGACCGTGGGATGGCATTCTTGGAAGAGTCGCTTTCGATTTCAGAGCAGCAGCCAGAGCAGGGTTCATGATCTTCGGAGAAACGAAGGGTGCATGAATAGAGCGTCTGGGTGGCTTAGTTGTAATAGGTCGGTTCTCTTTAGCAGGCGCAGGGCTAAACTCCGAGGTCTTGTTGGCTTTGGCCGTCGCATCCTTGGGTTTATTTTGATCTGAGATAGGCGTAGGGGAAGTTTGATTTACTTTGTCGTTCATGCATCCTTTCTTTAGCGCGGACTTGAGAGGGGTTTTGACAGATTCCACGATGGTAGCATCAGAAGATACGTCTGGCTCTTGTACAGCTGCTCGTATGAATGCAGGGGCACGAAAATGCGCTCCGCGCTTTCCCGAGCTAGATGTAGAAGGCTGGGCCAGGCGCTTCGATTGAGGGGTATTGACAGGCTACCGAGGCTTAGTGCGTGGCCAGTTATCAAAAAGCGAAAAGCTCTACCTCATCGTCGCGAACGCGCTTCTTAGACTTGATCGATTTGCTTTTATCTTCAGGCATGCTGCAAGCCTATGTTGTAGAGAGTTTGGAAACAAAAGACTGGATATATGCTGCGGAAAGCAAGGTGTATGCGCCTCAACTTTCCCCTAGACACGATGGTGAGTGAAAGAGCAGTTAGGAGACGCGTCGAGTGAAGGTCCAGATATAAATCAGGCGCGTCGTGTCACGAAAAGGTCCGTGCGCCACCGGACCCCTATAAAATTTCGATGTCGCGTGCCCCACACCTCTTTTCTTTACGTCCTCCTCGACATTCCGAAGCGCCAGCCTCATCATAGGCTCTTGGTTAATTCCAAGGATGGCGTATATTTCGCTATCGGGAGGAGCTGTTCGCGCGGCATCCTTCGGGATCTTCGACTGACGCTGCTTCAGGTAGTATCCACAGCCGTTTGCATTTCTTTCCCGCTTTGAGTCTGTTTCGGCAGAATCGGTGCTTTAGGGAGAGGGTGTGGTGTCGACCTGGACAGTGCTGGGGCTTATATTCTATATCCTTTCTGAGTCACTATGTGACGCTGACTGTTGGGAGAAACCATGAGACCTACATCCTCTATCTTACGAGTCTTGCTCTTTGCACACGAAAATTTAGACTTCGTTGGGTCATGCATTTTTTAAGATTAGGTTTATAATGATTCATGGATATCATAAAATCAATGCTGGGCCGTGCGCGGTGTCTGGTCTTCCTCCTCATCACCAATATCAAATATCGCCTCTGTCCGTGGCTGGTGTGTGGGCGTAAGGTCACCCCCATTCGGCGCCTTTTGTGTCGCGTTCAATAGTTCTCTTGAGGATACGTCGGCATCTGTCTGGCTGCTCAGTGGTATGCGCTCCTCCAAATCCACATGGTCCGTGTACGTGGCAGCCTTGGGCAGCATGGCGTACCGTCTCCGGCGACGAGCGACATAGACAACCAGTACAATACCCAGAATGATCAGCAGGAAGACGAGCACCATGGTCCCCGAATTGTAGTATGCTGTTACAGACATTAGCTGGAAGACAACCCTAGCGAGGCAGGCGAACTCACATCGCCAAACATCAGGGTCTGTGGTGGAAGTCCGTCCACCAGAAGAGGAAGAGCCAGTGCTTTTTGTATCGTCGAAGAAAATGCCAGGCTTGCTCACACCGCCAACACTGCTGGGGATGCTTGCAGAACCACCCGATAAGGAATGGAAATCGACACCCATGAATCGCAGCATCATATCATGCGCCACATTGGGTACGTCAAAGCCGACCATGTGTGATGCTCCGGACAGCTTGACGTAGGAGAGATTGCGAGCAGTGACCCACGAGCCGGCATGTGCACCATCGACCTCCCAGTCTAATGTCTCAGCGTCCTGAACAATGTATCAGCCCATGTCATGAATACCTTAACCACGTGGGGCTTACTCCGAGACCCTTTCCCCCGTTCCAAGTCAATCCCTCAATCAATCTCTCCATCCCAATATAGTTGCAGATGAAGTCTTGATCGCCAGCGAAGAGCATGATTGGAATTTGCGAGAGGATGTGTGGGAAGAGAGTGATGGACGGTGGCGAGTTCATGAGCGTTAGCTGCTGGCCGACGCGGCCATTGCACTCGACCCATGCTTCCGACTTCGCTGTTGCGTGAAGCGCTTGGATGACGTCGTCACGCTGAAGGCAGCTCAGTAAGGAACCTGGAATAAAGGAGTCATCACTTACCCGTAAGTAGGTGTAAACACTAGCAAGATCAGGTGGCCAATGCATACCACAGGCAGGGAAGTCGTCCACCAATCGAATATCGTACACGTTCAGGCAAACCTGCTTACCATTCACGCTGTCACATGGGTCAACGGATAGTCGGAGGCAGTATCGTGCACGGCGTACGTTTGCATCAGACCTTTGGTGATCGCGCTCATGATACCTTCGCACTCGCCCATGTTAACGTCGTCTACAGTCGTCTCGTTAAGATAGTCCATGCAGCGATCCAGCTCGACTTTGACCCGAGCTTCGTTCTGCACCGAGAATCATCAGTGATGTTTCGGTCACATCAGAGACGCAACTCACGTCCGGCTTGATCATCTTGTTCTTTACCGCGAACTCATAGTAGGCGGGATACTGCGTCCGGCCGTCTATCCAGCCGTTACCAATCGTGATGCCCTTCAGTTGTGCCTTAATGAGAGTGGTCTTCAGGAACGCATCGGCTATGTATCGTCTCAGCGTGCGCCCAGTGAAGGAAACATCACACACACCGAAGTACGGGATGTATTGTCCTGCGAAACTCTCTCCGGCAATCCACGTGTCCATGAATTCGAGCTCGGGAAAGACATCGTAAAAGTTGCGCATGAAGCGAATTACTTGGTTAGCAGCCTGATTTCCTCCACATGAGAATTACACTACAGAGAGAGGAATTCACTTGCCTCTCCGAGCTCGTGAACGTATTGGTCTGTGCTTGTGTACGAGAACCCAGTTCCAACTGGCTGATCAACTAAATCCCGTCAGGTGAGATGGGCGTCTCAGCGAGTTTTGGAGACTCACGATATATGATCGTCGCGTACTCTTCCCATCCACCACTCGTGAGTAGTTTCAGTCCACCTTGCCCATCAACTCTCCACGGCCCAACTTCCATCATCGCCCCGTCAAAACTGGAGCATCCCGGTCCACCATTGAACCAGATGATGACGCGCTCCTTGTCAGCCACCCGCCGGTTCTTAAGCATCAGAAAATACAAGTGTGGTTGTATGTCGTTAGACGGTGGCCCGGTGGGCACAGTCGAGGGCAAGTGACCGGCATAGATGTGCAGCGGGTGATTGGGATCTTGCCGCAAGCCTGGGAGGCTGGGAACATAGAAGGATGCTGCGGATCCTGCATTATCGGTCAGATATACTTAAGCAGGATGAGACAATTGTGATTGATAAAGAGGCATACCGGGTGCGGGTGCAGCATATGCAATATCAACAAGAAGGAAAAGAACGAGCGCTAATGCGCGTTTTGCAATGCAGCCTAGAGAGACCATTGCGCAAAACCCTTGAGTTGCCCTCGCAGTTCTGCTTGACGTGACACGATACACCACCGATAACGGCCCAGCAAAAGGAAGGACAAGACTGCCACTAGATAGTGATACCGGCGCTGACTGGGCCGATACGCAACAGGACTAGAAAATCGAAATCAGGGGAAGTAACGTGTAACGATGAGGAGAAGGAGGGTCTCCGCGTACGAGAGTTCGTGTGGACGCTGAATGATCAGGCCCGCGACCATGATGGAACTCCAGGCACTTTCCGCGTGCTTCGCTCACAGCCACTGCCATCGTTGATAACGGCCACATGGACCGTTTATCACAGCCCACACGACACCGAGGTGTTCAAAAAGGTCGAGCACGACACGCAAGCGACCCCCGATAGCCTTGCCCGCTCTCTGCTATACCACCACGGTCCACGATGAGGTTCTCTTTGGCCCTCGCAGCCTTCTCGGCGATCTCTATGGTCGATGCGGCGTACTTCTCTGAAGGTTGGAAGCCGGGTCAGGCACCACCAACGCAGGCTATACCACCGGGCAGCAAACAGACTTCCGTGCCGCTTGCCGACTTCCTAAAGCCCAAGGCTGCAGCTGACGCACCCCCACGAAAAGGCATCCTCGAACTTGTGCAGGAACTGCAGACAATGGCGACCGATGCGCTCACTGCGCCGCTTAAAAGCGGGCCAGTCGCCGACATAATACAGAGAACAACTGGGCTCAATGTCAGTCAGGCCATCGAGAGGGCCAAAGCAGCCGCATTGCAGGACAAGTGGGACTCCAGGATAAAGCTGATCACAGACGACAATTGGGAAGATGTGATCGAGTACGAACAGCTCTCGCCCGAGGAGGAAGAAAGCCGGACGTGGCTCATCTTGATGTACGAACACCGGTTTTTTTAATCTCCGAGTGTCACTGACGTTACTTCAGCACACTTTCAGAACAGAATGCGGTGACGCAGTTTGTGGAGGAACAGTTTATCAAGGCCTTCAACGAGACTATGGACAATGACGATGACCTGCCAGGCGTCAAGTGGGGCCGGATCGACTATTTTAACGTCACACTGATCACGACTAAGTGGCTCATCTTTAAGTGCGTGATTGATTCGCGTTTTGAGATGTACTCATTCTAATCCTATGTCTAGGGCGCCCCTTGTTGTGATGGCTTCACACCGCGGGAAGGATCTTCGTTTCTTCCACCCAACGCAGATCAAGATGAGGGAGCTCCACGATATCATGAAAGAAGAGCTATGGAAGAGTGTCCCCCCTTGGAGGTCGAGTTGGGGACCAGGTGGTGAGAAGTATGACAAGCCATTCTCGTCTCTTTTCCTTTCTAATCATTTGTCCAGTGCCTGGGTTTTGCACCATGCAGGTATTTGGTTGGGCAAGTACAATGATATCGCGGGTAAAGTGCCCAAGTGGGCACTGATGATGGTTACTGGCGTTTTCGGCTCCTTCGTGATCCAGCTTCTTCACGGCCGAGATAAAAAGAAAGCCGCGCCTGTCATCAAGAGCGACGATGCTGCGAAAACGGCCCCGCCACCTGTTGCTCCCACGACGCCCAAGAAATCTCCGGCAGAAACCAAAAAGGAGGCAAGCAAGCGGAACCGGTCTGCCAAGCGAACCGCAGACTAATGCGTTTTCGTGCATATCTTTCACGATCTTGTATACGATATAATTTAATGCACTACATCTTTCGCTACATTTTTCTTCGTTTGGTGGTCTGCGTCAATATGAGAGCACGAGATCAGCAATAGTCATAGTCGGGCCCTTCCGGTTTGGTAAGGGATCATGCGAGGGTGAACGAACCCCTGGTGACGTGAGTCCATGATCATGCTTTGCCGGCACCAGGCAGCATTCGCTTCACTCTGCCCGTACATAACCTACACCTCCGAATGAGTCTGGTTGTTTGGCTCTACTATCTGTAATCTCTGAGTCTGTTTCTACCTGAAACTCAAGCAACTGTATTGGCATATAGACGCATGGTCGCAGCTGAATCACCGCGGGAAGCACGTCGGCGGTTAAGCGCCTCCCTGGGTGCACGCAGCCTTTGGCATTCATTGGACCGCACGCAAGTGCTTGGAAACGGAGGGTACTATGGGCACTCGGGATGCGTAAATGCTCTCAGTTGGTCGAGTGATGGGCAGACGCTCCTGAGCGGTGGTGACGACCGCACGTACGTCTCGATGACCAAGCGCTTGATCAAGCTAACTCATTGGGACCTTAGAATCGCTTTCTGGAGAATGCAAGATGATACTGGTGAACTATCATTAAAGAGAGTTATCCAGACGGGTCACACTGCGAACATATTTAATGCCCAATTCCTTCCAGATTCACCGCTTATCGCTACCTGTGCGGGGGACAGCGAGGTCCGAGTGTTCGATATCGAGCATTCCAAGGGGCTTGGTGAGCTCAGGCGAGCAGACAATGGTCACACATGGGAACACAGCGGGAAGGAAGCGCTAGTGAGAGTGTTCAAATGTCATAGCCGCAGGTCCGTCTCGGTAAGCTCATCCTACCTTTTTGAGCTTGCTCACGCTCAACCAGAACCAAGCGAATCATCCCCGAGTCGGCATCGAACTTCTTGTCCGTATCTCAGGACGGAACAGTCCGACAGCATGATTTGCGCATGCCGCATACTTGTCGGACAGGCTGCCCACCGCCCTTAATCAAAGTGCCGCATCAGCTCTTCGCCATCTCTCGCTCGTCTCTAACCCCCTACTACTTCGTCGTTGCTGGCTCCTCCCCTTATGTGAGCAGCTCCTTCAGAAGTCTTCCAACATAGACTGAACTACACTCGCAGGCACATCTATTCGACCGCCGAATGATACCTCGCTTGCTAGAAGACGAATGGGGCGTCCAGGCACAGGACGATGAGTTGGCCCAAGCGGTACGGAGGTTCGGTCGAAGAACCATTCCGACATATGAGAAGGCACGAGATGCACATGTGACTGGCACACGGATGGCGGAAAGCAATGGGCATGAACTTCTCCTATGCATGTCTGCCAAAGTCACTATCGATGTTGTACTGATATCGCAACCCCAGCTTATAGCGGAGACGCGATCTACCTGTATTCCATATATGACGACGTCGAAGATACGTCGTTCGCACCCAATGGGTCTAATATTGTTGCAAGAAGCCCAAAACGGAGACGAACCGAGCCGAAGAGTGATGAACCTCATTCTGCACATTCTGCGAACGGAGTTTCCAGCGAACAGCGGGCGCACGACGTGTCCTTCCAGATCACAGAACCGGAAGAAGCCGACTCTGGGGATCTATTGGATGTTGAAGATTTGGTAATGGATATTGACATGGATGAGGAGGACCTGACCGACATTGAAGAGGAGTTATTTGAGGCAAGTCAAACATTGGATACCACGAAATCCGATCTCGACGGGCTCAGGACGGTCATGCCTAGACGTACATTTAGAGGCATCTGCAATATTGAGACGGTCAAGGATGGTGAGGAGCTGCAGCCCACGCGTTTTTTGAATTCGCTGACGCGATTCTCGCAGTGAATTTCCTTGGTCCGAACGATGAATTCGTTGCCTCAGGCTCCGATGACGGCAGCTTCTTCATTTGGGACAAGCGAACGTCACGTGTGGAAGGAATCTATGAAGGCGATGGTTCAGTCGTAAACGTCATCGAGCAGAACCCATTCCGGCCAATGGTGGCCGTCAGTGGCATCGATCACACCGTCAAAATTTTCTCCCCTGTGCCGTCTACGACGGAACGAAAGTATTCAAGAGTTTCCGATGCGGAGGACATAATGCGACAGAATACGCAACGAGCGGAGGCACAAGCCAATGCCCCTGCGGTTCCTCTCATGGATGTTCTCATTCAGATGTATGCGGCCAGAGGAGGTCGCAACATTGTCATTGGCGAAGGGGGAGAACGAGAGTGCCAGATTCAATGATACGGCCAGCTGATCGCATTTATTGATGCTTTCACTACTGTACTAGTATGCGCACTCATGTATAAATGCACTCATTTCGCGTAGGTTGGATGGAATATGCTGGCTACCTGCCATTGTAAACCTGTCGGGCAGGCTGCCGATCGCCGTATCACTGTCTCTGTCAGGACCTGCCCCGGAAGTGAGCGCCTCGGCCGTCGGTGTGAAAATGAGAAGGGTTATCATGGGGCACAACCTAAGGTCTTCGCATTACACCTGTCAGGAGACTCTGCACATGCACTAGACAGTCACTGAGACTCTACTGATTATACACAAAGGTCACCCTCTGCAGCTTGCCACTTACGTACGCGGTCAGCTGTTCGTTGGCGCCGCGCAGCGATTTGAAACTGAGCCATGATCCAACCAACCGTCACACGCCCATCCTCCCCGAATGAACCGTACCCTTGAGGATGTGTGGTTATTGTCTCTCGAACTTGGGTGGTTTCGTCGACGAGGGGTGGATTCACCGTGGTGATCGCTTTGTCACCGGTGCTGTCAAGCCCCGTAATGGTAGAATTTCGCCTGTGGGTGGTGGTGCGACGCTTACGCCGACTTTGGTACGCCTTTCCATCCTCAGAAGAAGAGGTTTCCTTGGGTGCTTCATAATCGTCCTCCTCGTCTTCACTGTCTTCTCCGCCCTTAGACCTAGCTTCCTTTGTGGCATGGAAGTCAGCGGTTCTGAGGGTCGTATTCGTTTTGCCACAGTGGTGCAAGAACGCGCAGGCAAGATGATAGTGGGAAAGCTTGGCCGAGGGCAATGGAATTGAGAAGTCTCGATCAGTCGGAAAGAGGGCGTCGGTGTTGGCTGGAACATGTTTTTCCTTGCCCGGGCGCGGCGGGTGAGGATATTGAATAGTGTAGCGAATGTTAGGGAGTGGTTCTAGGCTAGTTGTTTCTCTGTTGAGGTTTTCCGGAGTAGTTGCAATGTCTTCCGTAGTAAGAACTTTATTGGGTGTCTTTGAAAGCAAGGAAGGTCAGTGTGAGGTGTGGTGAGCAAGCGATACGATCGATCTAACACACCCTCACGAGCACACAGGCGTATCGCGCGAACATCTGGTGTACAATGGAGCTCACGAATATACCATTGGCGGGCGAGTTAATAGAGCGCTCATCTTCTTGGCCTCGATCCAGACGGAACGTGCCATTCTCCGTCTCCCTGGTGTCATCGATATATTGTAGGCACTGGACGGAGACCCGTGACCACCACCCTGAAACTTGAGCGTAGCCACACTCACCTTTGATCCTTGTGAGTGGGGCAATATGTGCATAGCCTCACAGTAGTCCTCATCCGTCCCGGTGAATACACAGGAATGGTCGCGATTGGAGATGACCTCGCGGAAAGCTCGTTCACGTCCTTGATGATTTCGAAAGGTGGGTAGACCAGTCTCACGCCGACGTCGGCGCTCTGAGGAAAGGACACTGCTCCGCTCTTCAAAATAATGGCCGTCCACAGCCTTGGAATTCAGCTCTGTAGTTGAACGTCCTTATCGTGAGCAGATATTTAAGGGGAAAGAGAGTAGCCGAACGGGAACGTACCTACGGGGTGACCCTCTACCCACAACACCCACTCATCTCCAGCTCGTGGTACATCGTCGTTGTGTCCCCCTTCTTGCGGGCGCAGCCGATGTAGTGACGGCCTTGATTCCCCATGTTGTCCTGCGACGGTTGCAGCCACGAAGCAAAGGTAGGCATTTTGCTTGCCTGGCGCGGCATTGCGCGTCGGCACGTCAATGGGTATATCAAGGATGATTGGCTGGCCACTTAGATGACCAACCACAATCCGTACGCAGTCAGGAGATAATACAGGGAGGTGTTGCTCTTCGTGCGTTGCAGTCGCAGACATTGCAGCTTACAGATGAGAGCAGAGGAGAACACTCGACGAGGAGTGACAACGAGAAAAGTAGTATGTAGGTGTAGTAACGCGCGCGTCGGAGGCAATTTACCTCCGTAACTTCCGAAAAAGGGAATTCTTGCCCTATGCACCTGCGTGAGTTAGGGTATACTGGTTAGGATCCCATCCAGCAGGTTAGGGTGGTTAAGGTTAGGGTGGGGTAGGGGTTAGGGTTAGGGTTAGTGGTAGGGTGATAATATCATATTTTTAACTAAGAGAATCATTTATTTAAGCAATGCTTTGGGCAAGGTCCATAGCATTGGTTTGTTATCAAGCTCTTTCTATATTTGGTAAAAGTAGGGTCTTTTGCCTCTGATCTGCATCAACCTACATGCTACTTACTACTTTTCTCATCTATACTCCTTGACAAGGGTAGGAGCTATGGCAGAGGCAGACTCCAGTACATCTGGGTGTTTTTTGTCCACTGCAGAGATAATTCCTGGAGTTAATTTCATCTGAATCCAGCCAAAAATATGGCCAGAGGAGGCAAAAAATGGCTGGCAGGGGCTGT